TGTTGTTGTTGTTGTTGTTGTTGTTGTTGTTGTTGTTGTTGTTGTTGTTGTTGTTGTTGTTGTTGTTGTTGTTGTTGTTGTTGTTGTTGTTGTTGCTGCTGTGCTTGTTGCTGCTGTCGTTGCTGCTGGAACTGTCCTTGGACACCGGATGAAGACAAGGGCTCCATCGACATGGGTGTCACAGCCTGCAATGTCTGCCGAGACATCTGGAATTCTGACGACAGCAAATTCCGAGGGAGCTCTTGTTCCAACTCTCTATTGCACTCGTTTGTCTGAGTGGTGGGTGAGGGACGGGACAATGACATCTTGATGCGCGGCGCGGCGCGACGCGGTGCGGCCCTGCGCGCCTGTCTGCACCACTTTATGTCTCAGCAAAAAGGAAGAGGTTGGAGGCCCGAGCGTCTGAGATTGGTGTCTGACAGTGTCCACCAATTGACATGTTCACATTAGACCACGATCGCATCAAGCCAATGCCTCGAGCACTCAATTTGCAGCCATCAATGGCAGCGAAGAAGAGATGATGACATTTATATGCTCCGTTGTGAGCACGGACGGCATCTGCTATGGCGTGGCTGCAGCGAAAATTTAAGCTCCCCTCGAGAGTGCCGCCCGCTTTTGCACGTCTCACTAAGCGTGTCGCGATCTGATCACAACGACGAAAGTTGCCCTTTATCCCCTTTTCTTTTCACTTCCCGACAGACAAAGGGCACTGAAGCCCGTGGCACAAGCAGGCAAGAGCGTGTCATCAAGTGACACGAGACCCATGCCAGCGGTCACTACTGCTGGGAGAGCTTCGATCTTGACACCTGGCGTGCGTCGTTTCGTCTACCCCGTGTCAGCCTTTGCAGCTTTGGCCGCCGTCTACATTGCTTCGCAGCACTCCATCAGGACGCAGCTGCCGCTCTCCGCGCCCGTATCAACGCCCCTTCTCGCCCCGTTCGCCATCACCAGACGGCTCTTTGGCAGCCAGAGCAGCGTTCGGACCACCACCATGTCGTCGAACCACAGCGCTCCTGGGTGGAGCTCGGAGGAGCGCCCAAAGTACCCTAGTGCGCGACGATCGGCAGAGGACAAGACGACTTACAAGTCGGCCGCAAAGGGTGAAGTTGCCGTGCCCGAACCCTACCTCTGGCTTGAGACGCCCCCTTCTCAATCGGAAGAGACGGCTGCGTTTGTCAAAGCTCAAGCTGAGCTCACCTCCTCGTACCTCGAGGGATGCAAGGATCGCAGCGAATTCCAGAAGCGCCTCACCGACAACTTCTCCTACCCTCGTTTCACCGCTCCATCAAGGAAGGGCAATGACAAAAAGACGGGCAGCTATTACTACATGCACAACTCCGGCCTTGATGCTCAATACACCATGTACAAGGCCTCGAGGGCTCAGCTCGAAGAGGCGGAAAAGACAAAAGTCAAGAGCCCATTTGGAGAGAAGTGGTTCGATCAAAACCTCCTCAGCAAGGACGGGACGGTGGCGCTCAACTCCATGGCCTTCTCCAAGTCTGGCAATTTCCTGGCATACGCCATCAGCAAGTCCGGCAGCGACTGGGTGACGATCTACTTTCGCTCCACCGAAAAGGTCTATGTCGAAGCGCCCTCCGACCCAGACGAGGCAGCAGCCGCTGGCCCTGATCGACTCGATGACGAGCTGAGCAACGTCAAGTTCAGCAGCATCACCTGGACCCATGACGACAAGGGCGTCTTCTACCAGCGCTATCCGGATCCCAAGAAGGATGAGGAGGGCAAGACGAAGCGTGGCCAGGAGACCGATGCTGCTAGAGATGCTCGTCTCTACTATCACCGCCTGGGAACCAAGCAAAGCGAGGATGTTCTCATCATCGACGTGGTACCCGACATCCCCTCTGCCCTGTGGGGTGCATCAGTGAGCGAGTGAGTTTTCTACTAGCGTCCATCTTAGATACCTCACCAGACTAAATCTCCGTTCAACAGAGACGGGAAGTGGCTCATTGTCGAAATGTCCAAGGATACGGACCCAAAGCAGCGCACGTTTGTGGCCTCGCTCGACCAGCCCTTGGGAGAGAAGATGAAATGGATCGTCCTGGCGGACGACTTCAAGTACTCCCTCGAGTACATCACGAACGTCGGCCTCGATTTCTACTTTCGCACGAATCGGGATGCGCAGAATTACCGCATCGTCAAGACAACCTTGGACCCTTCATCAGCAAAAGAGGTCAGCCACGTCACGCAGCTCAAGGGTGAGGCCGATGTTATTGATGTCATCCCTGAGGACAAGGAGGCGCCGCTCAATTCGGTCAATGTCGTCAACAAGGACAAGCTCCTCGTCATCTACGCCAAGGATGTCAAGGACGAGCTATGGCAATTTGAGCTCAAGACTGGTGAAAGAGTCGGCCGCCTGCTCCCCGACCTCGTCGGCACCATCACACAACTTACAGGCCGCGAGGAGGACGATGAATCCTTCGTCTCTACAATGAGCTTCATCAACCCGGGCATGCAGACGAGGCTGACCTGGAAAGAGGGCAGCGGCCCTCGCGATCTGCCCACGTCGACGCTCTTCCAGTCGACTGTTGTCAAGGGCATCGACCCCGATGCCTTCATCAGCAAGGAGGTATTCTTCAAGAGCAAGGATGGGACAAAGATCCCTATGTTCCTCACATACCGAAAGGACACAAAGCTCGATGGAACCGCACCTTCGTGGCTCTATTTCTACGGTGGCTTCGGCATCTCCATGAAGCCTCAATTCTCGCCCACGCTCATGACGTGGATTGCATCCTATGGCGGGTCCCTGGCATGGGTGAATGCGAGGGGCGGCGGAGAGTACGGGTGAGTCTGAGCTATTCGTCTTGTCTACCCAAAGAGAAGCTGAAGCAGGTCATCAGAGACTCTTGGCACGAGGAAGGTCGCTTGTTGAAGAAACGAAACACGTTCGACGACGCGATCTCTGCCGCGCAATACCTCGTTGACGAGAAGATTGCGGCCGAGGGCAAGATTATCGTCAATGGCGGATCCAACGGTGGCTTGGGCGCCATGGCTGTGGGAAATCGGGCCCCCCAGGGTCTCTTGGGCGCCGTTGTGGCCGAAGTCGGCGTCCACGACATGTTGAGGGTGAGACATCCTCCACCTTGCTTGGATCATAACGAAGCTGACCAACTTTCTCGCGATAACAGTTCTGGATGTTCACCGCTGGAAAGTTCTGGACGGCCGATTACGGTCACCCCGGTGAAGACCCAGAGATCTTCGACTACAACTATGGCTACTCGCCCCTGCACAATGTCGACGCAAAGAGAGTCTATCCGACGGTGCTGCTGCTTTCTGCAGACCACGACGATCGTGTCTCTCCGCTGCACACCTTCAAGATGACGGCCGAGCTGCAGCATCATCTGCCAAACAATCCCAACCCGATCCTGGCGCGCATCGAGCTCAACGCAGGACACGGGGCTGGAAAAAGTACGCAAAAGAGGATCGAAGAGGCCACGGACAAGATCAGCATTGTCGCGAGGGCCCTGGATCTGAAGATGCTCGATGTCCCCAAATGACTAGCCGATGGCATCCAAGCCCATTCAAGGCTGTAAGAAAAATCTGAGAGAAGAATCAAGCACAACAAAACAAAAGACAAGAAAAGAATCACATCACTTAACATCATCATTAACAATATTTATCATACATGCACTTGTGCTCTATTTTGTCTCGGATGCTGATGCCACAGATGGCTGCAGGCGAGCCAGCCTCTCCTGTCGTTGCTCATCAAGCCTCGTCGCTTCCCTGTAGCAGTCCCACTCGACCGTATGTGACCCCTTTGAAGCTGCGATGAGTCTAGCGACATTGAGCCGCCTCACGAGGTCCTCCTGTTCCATTCTTGGCTTGCCCTGTGCTTCGCCTTTAATCCTCGACTCGACAAAGTCGTCTTGGATTTTCTCCGAGATGGGCTCGGGGATCGTGATGCCCACGATACGGTCCTGAGACCTGGCGAGGTAAGCCCGCAGGCCATCAGCCTTGGCGCCTCCCAACATCGCCACCGCCTCGTTGTCGTCGCCTCGGCCGCCGCCGCCGCTGCTGTACAGTCTCGCCGGGTCTTTTGCGTCCAGCGGCACCTGCACGTCGAGGGGCAAAAAGGATTTGCCGTTTGAGACGACGAGGAAGCGCAAGTCGACGTCCATCTCGACGTTTGTGCCAAAGGGAAACGCATAGGCGAGCCTCTTTGTCTGAAGGACTGTCGAGAGGGTGCGGATGTTGTTGATGCCGCCCTCGCGAAGCTGGCCTTCGTCCATCGACGTCTCGTCGAGCAGGACAAGGGTGCCGTCGATGAGTTGAAGACGGCCTGCATCGAGGCCCCCGCTCGATGCAGAGGCGGGCGAAAAGGCGTTGGAAGCCTCGTTGAGGTGCGAGAGCGACATGGGCTGGTGGACCGACAAGGGGAGAAGGTGCGAAATGATGTTGAAAAAGGAGGGCAGCCTGTTGTCGTACGATGAAGGCGAAGTGGGCGAAGGAAAGTGGCTCAAGTTGAGCGAGAGGGAGCCGAGAACATTGGAGCTCTTGCGGGTGTGGATCTTTGCCAAGAGAGAGAGGAGGAGCCATTCGGCAGAGAGACTGTCGCCGCCAAGGGAGCGTGTGATAGCCTCAAGCAGCACACCTCGATCTGCTGCGTCGTTGCCCTGCTTCGGCGGTGCGTCTTGGAGGGTCTTTACGGGAGAGAGCGAGAGGACATGGATTGCAGGCTGGCTGGAGGTGGCATTCGACTCGTCGAGAGCGTGTTCAGGAGCGCCCGTCTCCGCCCAACCTGATGTCGGCGGGACGCCTTCGTCAAGGATCCCGACGAGGTCAACGACGTTTGCCACGCGCAAAGCCTCGGCCAGGTCCTCATCGTAGAGTTTGAGAAGGGCTCCAAAGCCTTTCTTTGTCGGGAGCTTCCTCTTCATTGTTGCGAGGTCCACACCAGGAAGCGCGGGCAACGCGGCTTCGTCGAGCTGGAGCATCGCCACGGCGTCCTCAGAGAGCCCAGGTTGCTCCACCTGCCGACGATACCAGTCCGTCTGGCCAGGTAGCGAGACGCCGTACATCGTCGTCAAAGACGCCATGTTGGAAGGCTGTGCAGAGAGAATTGAGCAGGTGGTCTTCCACGGGGAGGCGACCGCGCCACTCACGTCAAGGTCCAGCTCCGCTGTGACAATCCCGTTGTTCGCACCACCAAACAAGGCGCTCTTCCATGTCCCATCGGCAGCACGCAACTTGTATGGCGTCACTTCATCGCCCATGTTCGTGTCTTGGATCATGCATCGCCAACGCACCAACCGCGTGGGGCGAGCGCTCCGGTCGGCTTCGAAGAACTCTTTGAGAACCTTGCCAGTAAGTGGCGAAATCTATCGGATGATGATGGACATGCGGTCAGGAGATGTAGTTTGGGAAGAGATTTTACACACGCTTACCTTTGCCCGGGCGTCTGCCTCTGAAAAGAGACGATCAAAGTGAGCTTGAACATCGCGGACGAGGCCAGTCGAGGGCGATGGCGAGGGCGAGGTCGAGGAGCTGCTTTGCTTCTGCTGCTGCTCAAAGAGCTCTTGCACCACAGAGGCAGGCGAGGCGAGCGCCTTTGAGAATTCCGTACTAGAGGCGACGACCATTTTCTTCGGTTCTATTCTTTGGCGACAATCAATGGGGGAAGGATGTTTGATGTCGAAAGCAGCAGAGTAATTTACACGCTCGGTTTACGCGACGCGTTGCCTCGTGACATGAGCTCGAGCTTGCTAATACGCTTTTGGTAACTTTTTTTGGGCAGTGGTCAGTGTCGATCTAGGCACCGACGGAAGGCAGCTGCGAAGAGCATGTCGGCAGAGTTGACGACGCCGTTCGAGCAAGCTGCCTCTGCCTCGTCGTCTTCGGGCGGCTATCGCGGTTTAACAACGCTGCCAAGCACTGGTCCGCCTTTGGCAGACCCCTTTGGGACGCCGACGTACCGCCACCTCCTGTCTGCGGGATCGCTAACGCCGCTGAATCCGCTCCGAGTGGTAGCGCACTGCGACGTCGATGCGGCTTACGCCCAGTTCGAGGCTCGAAGGCTTGGTATCGATTCGTTTGAGATTCCTGTGGCAGTCCAGCAGTGGAGTGGCCTCATTGCGATCAGTTACGCTGCAAGGAAGTTTGGCATCAGCCGGCATGCCGACGTAGAGGCGGCCAAGAAGCTCTGTCCTGAGCTCGTCCTCGTCCATGTGCAGACGATTGCGGTGAGTCTACAGCCTACTTCACACCAGCAGGAGCATTCTGACCACTCATGCGCCGCCCCTTTTGACAGCCTGGCGCAAAACAGGCCGACTACAATGACAAGCCCCGACCAGAGACGCACAAGGTCTCGCTCGACCCATATCGACGCGAATCTCGGAAGATTCTCGATGTCTTCAAGCGAACATGCCCACTGGGTGCGGTCGAAAAGGCCAGCATCGACGAGTCGTACTTTGATCTGACGCTCGAGGTGCGCAAGCTGATCCTCTCGAGGTATCCTCACCTGCAAAATGCCCCAACAAAGGGCAAGGGCATCGATGAGCCGCTGCCACCGCCGCCGACGATCGATTGGGAAGGCCGAGGCGAGCTCGTTCCCGTCAAGTCAATCCAGGGCGGTGAGCGCAAGGAGGAGCAGGAAGAGGAAGAAGACATGGATGAGCGGCCAACATGGACAGATGTAGCGCTTGCCCACGGAGCTGAGCTCATGGCAAATGTTCGTCGAGCCGTTCTGTCCGAGCTGGGTTATACAACATCGGGAGGCATCGCCTCAAACAAGACGTTGGCCAAGTTGTGCTCGGGCTACAAGAAGCCAAATGCACAGACGACGCTCCTTCCCCGCGCTGTACCTGGTTACCTCAAGACGCTTCCTGTCTCCAAGATCCGCTTCCTGGGTGGTAAGCTTGGACGGGCCTTGGCCGAGACGTGGGATGCAGAGACTGTCGGTGATCTCTGGAGCGTCCCGAGGGAGAGGATGCAGGCCCACTTTGGCCCCGATGCCGCGTGGGTACACGCTGTCATTCGGGGGGTGGACCATTCGCCGGTAAATGCTCGGATCGCAAACAAGACGATGTTGGCCTCCAAGAACCTTCGTCCGCCGATTCGAGCACGGCATGAGGCACACACCTGGCTCGAAATGCTCGCGACGGAACTTGTCGTGCGGCTGCGCGAGCTGTGGGAGGATGAGGCAAGCTTCCAGCAGCAGGGAAGTAACGATGCCGGAGCAGAGGACAAGATGACGGTCAGCACGCTATGGCCAAAGATGCTCGTCTTGCGATTTATCAGGGCACAGACGGGACCCAGAGCCCGTCAAGCACCTTTCCCGTCCGTCAAGAATCTTGAGCCGGAGCATGTGCTTCGTCTGGCCGAGAAGCTGTGGAACGAAGCGTGCGATGACATGGGTCTGGACTCAGGACAGACTGTGACCAGGGGCTCTTCCGCAGAAGTTGTCACCATTGCCTTGGGTTTCAGTGGGCTCGAGAGAGGAGAGACAGGTCAGAAAACGATCGATGGCTTCTTTGGCGGGGCAGCAGCAGCAGCATCAGCGACCAAGAGAAAGAGACTGGAAGAAGGGGAAAAGACTGAGGATGAGGATGAAAGCGGACGGAAGGAGCCTGACAATCAGGAAAAGGTCCAATGGCGATGCCAAGACTGCAAAGAGACACTCAGTGTAGTTTACGACACAACATTCGCCACAAGGAACTTGCAAGACGAGGACGATCTTGAGACAGACTTTTTCGCTGAGGAGGGCCAGAAGGAGGCAGTCGAAGAAAGAGAAGACGAAAGTCGAAAGGAGGCCGAAAGATCGCTCGGAGCGTTGGTCCAGGATCATCAAGACTGGCACTTTGCCATGAAATTACACGAAGAGGAGCGAGCGTCGCCCGCTGTGACTATGACTACTACTGCTTTGTCGCAGGCGCCGCAGAAGAAGCAGAAGAAGATCAAGAAGGGAAGACTCGACAGCTTCTTTGTGAAGAAGTGACAAGTCTGCGTATACCCACCGGGATTATGGACATCCCCAAGCACACACGCCCCAAGCACAGCAAGTGTATGGTAGAGAGTTGGAGAGAACATGTATTGTTCAATTCCTGCCCGACGACTATTTCACGCAGGCATCGTGATAATGACAAGAGACCGAAGAAAAGGGGGAAGAGAAGGAAAAGGGGGCAAAAGGGGCACACAGTGCGGAGAGCAGACTACAGCGTTAAAGGAACAGGATTTTCGACTTCAGCAGCTCAAAGAAGGGGCGAAAGGATGTCGAGGTTGTTCTCGCTGCAGCCGAGGATGTCGATGTTGATCAAGGCAGCCGATTGGTAGATGGAGCACTTCTCCTCCTTCTTCTCCACGCACCCGTCGTCCTTGCCCTTGGTCGAAGCGTTGCGCTTCTCGAAGCGCTGACGGCCAAGGAGGTCCGACAGAATGCTGATGTCGGTCTTGGAGCAGCCGAGAAGGTCCAGGTTGATCAGACCACCTCGCTGGAACTCGGAGCAGATGTCCTTCTTCGACGAGCCCTTCTTGATGCAGCAGTGGTCGTCGTTGTCGCCGCCCTTGCTGGGCTTGTCGCCTCCCTTGCCGGGCTTGTCGCCGCCCTTGCCAGGCTTGTCGCCGCCCTTGCCAGGCTTGTCGCCGCCCTTGCCGGGCTTGTCGCCGCCCTTGCCAGGCTTGTCGCCGCCCTTGCCAGGCTTGTCACCACCCTTGCCAGGCTTGTCACCGCCCTTGCCAGGCTTGTCACCACCCTTGCCGGGCCAGTCACCGCCCTTGCCAGGCTTGTCACCACCCTTGCCGGGCTCGTCGCCACCCTTGCCGGGCCAGTCACCACCGTCACCAGGGACGCTGGGGAGGTGCGGGTGCTTGGGGTGGTGGTGAGGCTTCTTGTGAGGGTGCGAGACAGGAGCGGGCTCGTGGTGGCTGCCGCACTTGGAAGATTCGGTGGCAGCGGCCATGCCGACAAGGGCAACGGTGGCGAGCGTGGCGACGGAAGCGAACTTCATGGTTGGCCGTGTGTGTTGGTACTAAAAGAATGTAATGTGTGGTTGGGTCTGTGTTGGTCTATGAAGACACGTTGGGAAAAGAATGTAGGGGTGGGAGGGTTGAGGGGCTGGGAAAGAGCTGGAGGGTGAAGATGGGATGAGGGGAGGCGAGTGAGAGAGCCGTGGGGAGTCTTCTTATAAGGGAGAGAGAGCAGATTTCCATCCTCTCTCCGTTGTTCCTTTCCCTGCTCTCACTTACAATCAAATCTAGTTTCATCAACTGCTCGAGCTTTCAAGCAAGGTAGACAATTGTATTCTGCTTCCCCTCTCGCAGGGAACGGACCGATCTGCATCGTTCTCTTCAGATGAATGCAAGGCTGCATAAAGAAGAGCGTTCAGTGCTGCGATTGCGAGCGCACTAGTTTCTGGTCTCTTTGCCGTGTCGGCGATTGCTAAGTTCCACTTTGACCACTTCTTTAGTTTCATAGACACAACTCCATGTTTCTCGACTGGCCCACGCCTTCCTGATTGGGAGGCTGCCCGGTTCTCATGTTCGTGTCCCTGCAAGTGAAAACATTCCCCGGGTAGTAAGAACAGATCTGGCGTCGTCGCATCAGAGAGTCTCGATCTGCTGGAAAAGAAGAAGAAAACGTCTTCTTTCCCCCGGGAAAAGGAGGTGCAAAAGGAGGGGGTTGCTTTAGGGCGGGAGAAAGCCACCAAAGTTCCTGCGTTTCAGCAGCTAAGAGCCAGCATGCCCAAAAGCTGAGGTAACGTTGGTCACTGCATTTTAAGGTATACCAGCAAAGCAATACAAGTCGGGGAGCTAGGGATCAGTGTAACGATACTAAGCAGAATCTTACCCATATTTCCCGAAGAAGATCGAGAGTGAGGGGGGCTGTCATCGGAGCTTGAAGCTCCCCGACCTTCCCCTGACGCGGGCAAGGGGAAGAAGAAGAAGAGAAAATTCTGTTCCGCAACCCCTCATCAGGGGTACCTAGCTTCAAGCTGCTCGGCTGTACACTCTAACGCGGTACCCACTAGCTAAAAGCTCATTTTAAGAGTGAGCGCCACTTCTCCAACTTTGTACTGCGCGCTAAGAGAAGGGCCGAGACTCGGCATCGATCTTTACGTTTCGCATCTAACTACTTTGGCTAATTTTCTTTGCACACGAGAACTTTCTTAGCGCAGGTACAGCAGAGCTTTATGCATCGACCCAAGATTTCAATCGCAGATAGAAGCGCAACAAACATGTTCAACAATGGGGCCAAGCACATTAGGGGCAGTGTGAAGGGGTGGCTCCTGGACCGCAATACAACGACACCGTGCTCTTGGCCTTCGGTAGTCGAGAGGATCCGGGACCATTGTGGTCCCCCATTTTGGTCACACGTTGGCCACAGACCCGGGAAGCGTAAGATTCACCCTGTAGCGATTGCTCGATTTCCAGCCTCATCGTTGAGACCCGGGTTAATGCTGTAATATGAGATCCCAGAATTATTATACAACCGGTGCTGATCATCAAAGGAAGCTCCGCAAGAACCACGCAAACGAGCCGGCGCCTCCGAGACGGCCCAAATGATGCCGACCTTGCCAAATGAATACCGCTTCGTTCTGGATTCCTCCATTGGAAGAAGCAATTTACGCACGTACAGGCACATACACGGACCAAGCCATTTCTGCAACTGAAAAAGCCAATTTCGGCCAAAGCATCTCGGCCGGGAGAACGCAGGCCATTTCCTTCTCTGCCAATGCGTCGAATAATATGCGCCAGGAATGCCTAGACATGTGCGACTGCGAGCAGTCCAGCGTTGTCTGCACGCGTGTGGGTTCTGGTGTGGGTCTTAAGTTGGAGGCAGGAACGAGCTGGTGGCGCAGCAAAGCATACAGTGTGAAACAAAGTACTCTTTCGTTGGGTCAACGGTCCTCTTCCATCCTTCCCGTCTTGAACTGGAAATACGATGGGAAAACATCGCGAGCTCGTGCGCCTGCAAAATTACTACATTGGGAAGAACAGGCACAGAACAATCGTAGTACATGTCCCAAGAAATGAGGTCAATGATCCCAAGAAACGAAGTCAATGATTTCAGCTGCTGGTCGGTACAATTGCTCATTTTGATCTGATATAGTTCTCATTTGTTCAACACTTAGGAAAAACCCGAATGATAAAGAGTCAGCTACGTAATAGGGGCGTGGAAGACAAAGAAACAGTCGGCCAGCCACAGAAGAGCAACGCATGGACCGCGAGAAAGACGCATTCCTGCCAAGGCGGCCTGAGCGCCGTGGCGCATCGCATGGTGATTTAGGGGCAAGCACGGAAGTCGAGCTTGGAATAAGGGACCAAATGACGTTGACCTTCTTCCCAGCACAATCGTCTTCCGAGGATACATCCGACTCTACATGGTTTCGCATTGTGAGGATTCCACAAAGATCAAGCGGATAAAGTTGTACTTGAAGAGGGCTTCTGCGTTGATTGGAGATACAGTATGCACCTTAAAGGCAGGATTAGGAAGGTGAGCGAACTTCGAGCGTGCCATCAGAAACCTGAAGACACAGTCGACCCGGATCAAATAAACGGCACGTATCTCTAATCGTTATTGCGGACGAGACCCAAAGAGAGGGTTCGAGAAAAGAGAGAAAGTATCTTGATGGGTATACTAATAGTTTATACAGGCATGCTTGGTGGCGAGATCCATACCCTCCCCATCGAACTGTGGAATTGTTACACATCCCGTGTCAGTGGGGTGGCGAGAAAGGACAAGGAACGGGCAGATACCCACCATGAGGGCTTTACCGTGCTGATAGCCTTTCACCACATCAATCGTAGAGGGGTCAACGCCGGCTTCGAGAAGATATTGAGTCGATGCGGGCACGTCGACGAGACTGTAGTGGAATCACGTGAGCAAAAGGAGGGTCGGGGAAGCCAAGACGCCTGAAACTCACAGATCCTTCTCAGCCAAGATGAAGTGCGTATCTTTCGGGTCGAGGGTCGGCAGTTCGTCTGCCCAGAGGCACATGTCGGACCAAATGAAGCGGCGTCCAATGGTGTGCGCGACGCCCACCTCTCTTGCGACAAAGTAGCCGAGGAGCACCTCGATAAAGGTGGCCCACTTGCGGTACACAAAGGCATAGCAGACGGCCCCTTGCCACAGGCAGAACGAGACGGGGTCCACCAAGACATTACGTGCGCACATCTCCGGAGCCGTTCGCAGGATCCAGCCATGCACCATGGTGCCGTTAGAGTGGCTCAAGACCGTGACACGGTCCATGCTGTGTCGCTTGAGGACCTCGACGGTGGCTTGGGCCTGCTCGTTCTTCTCCGGCGGCTCGAGGAAGTGCGATGAGTAGATGCCGGCCGAGATGTGGGGCTGGATCATGATGACAACGCCGTCCTTGTGGCGGGCCAAGCGCTGCAAGAAGCGCTGGTACTGGCCGATGCCAATGCCGAGGCCATGGAGGAAGAGGATGGGGAGTTCCTTTCGGTTGCTGCTCGCTGACGACATCGGCGGCTTGACAAGGAATGAGCAGCGGCCTACATGCTCGTAGCGGAAACCGTGAGCCAAACGCAGCCATGTGATTGTGGCGGCCGTGACGGAATTGACTACGACGTAGTGGCCCAATGGCCGCTGGAGTACCTTGACAGGGTCGATGGTGAGCCTGAGTGGCTTGTGTTTGGGGTTGTAGCCGGGCTTGAGGTCGAACCACTGCAGCCTGATCTTTGTCATTTCCAGTGCAGCTTCGACGAGCTGGTAGATTTCGGCGTCTGCCTTGACCTGCTCAAGCTCCCTGCCGGCAAAGGCCCACGCGAGCCACTGTCGTACGTTGTCGGCGTAGATCTCATCGAGGGGCGCGTAATGGAACCAGATCCTGAGCTTCTCGCGCTGCTCGTCTGCCTCCTCTTGGTGGATGAGCCGATCCTTGAGCGCAGCCACGCCCTGCAACTTCCCATTTGATGACGAAGACGATGGCGGCGGAAGAGAGCCACCGACTTGGTGGGCCACTTCTTCTTCGTCATGCTTTCCATTGCCATTCTGCATTCCTCGTCGTCGCTTCGCCACGTTGTTGGCTGCGACTTGTTCCGCCGCCTTGACGTCCTCTCGACTCAGGCCGACCTCCAGGCACTTTGTGAGAAGCTTCTCGAGCATATCGGTGTCGATCTTGGGCAACGGCCTCGGCTTCTGAGCCTGTCGCATGAGATAGCGAAGGTAGATGCTGAACGGCACCTCCTGGCAGGCGTAGTAGAACCAGAATTTGGAGGCCAGGGGCGCGTGCACGGCAGGCATGTACCTCGCCAGTCCGGCGCTCGGCAGCCGGTCTCCCTTGAGCAAGGGCCGCAGGACGAGGTAGTAGAGCACCGTCAGCCAGCTTGCGGGCGTCACAAACCACACGGCGCCGGCGATGAGGGCGGCGACGTAAAAGCCACGCGTGCGCCGCGGATTCGTCGTGGAGGAGTGGTCGCGCCCCAAGGTAGATGCCACATCCGTGTGCGTGCTTGGCGGATGCGCGCTGCCGTTGCTTGCGACCCCGTTGCTTGGCTTGCTACTCGTCGTCATGTTGAGTCGGAGCAATGAAGTGGATGAAGAGGTGAAGGAAGACGTTGCAGCATCCTCAGTAGCCAAGAGGAAAGAAAACAAACGTCAAGAAATAGAAGGAGGGATCGCCCTTTCACAGATTCACAATTTTTATGGAATGTGGAGGCAAATAGAAAATAAGACTCAGGACGCAGTCTAAGCCTCAGGTGTGACGCCGTCGGGCTGAGCAAACAAAAGGCAGCGGAAGTCAAAGGGTCCATGGGATTTCGTACCGTTCGTTGGGGGGTAACATGAATGAAGATGGGTATGAAAGCAAGACTGTGAAATTGTGAAAGCGTCGTAGCGTCGTAAAAGAGTTTCGTGAGGTTTGTGTGGTAGGCTCGAAGATTGAGCCGTGTCTCGTGGGTCGCGCTGAGTAGGACATGACGGTAAACGGGAAAGATTCTGCTATTCGAGCGTCATCGCCGCAAGAGGGCCCTCCTCCCCACGCCGTAGTCATCGTAATGGACAATGGAGTAGCGTGTGCCGGGTGTGCCCCCAAGTAGCGTTTCCTTGACGATGATGGTTCCTGCAACGTCGCCTTCGTCGATGGAGGGCTCTCGCTCTTCTTCGACGATGCTCTGACCTTGCTGTCTGATCTGAAACCCAGCCTGGTGGCTGGGTGATGGCTTCTTGCGCCTGTAGATGGGCCTCGGCGTGCCTGCCAGGCTCATTGGGTCAAATTCCGGCACGGTCCATTCCCACTCTTCGGCGTCTTCATCGACGTCGTCTTCGTCTACTGATGGAACGGGAGCTCCAGTTGTCCCAGTCGCCCTAGCCTTCTGCGAATTACCATGCATAAGACCTGACCAGGATGATCCCAGCCATTCACCTGCACTCCAACCCATATTCGTCAGGCTCTCGAGCGCCGACGTAGCACCGTGTGTCGCAGCAGATACTAGCGTCGAAGGATCCAAGGCACTGGCCAAGAGCGTGACAATTGCTGGACTCGGGGCGACTGTCGCCGCTCTGTCCTCGGCGGCCCCTGAGACGACGCCGTCCTTGGCGGGAAGCGAGGGTTGGGTCTCCTTTGCGGAAAAACCAAAGAACCAGAGGAGGTGCTGAGGAAGGACAGGAATGTAGCGCATGGCGCCTTCCCTCTCGATGTTGCCCACCGACGTGGGCGAAAACACCGTGGGGCCCTGCAGCGATGAGGGGGGCCGGGCGTCGGGCACGAGCGAAGACACGTCGGCATTAATGACGCTCGCAGCAATTCGGCTGCCAGCCAGAAACTCAATCAGGACCGAATTGCCCTGGAGAGCCTTGCCTGCCCTCGTCTCTGTGGCCCGCGTCTTGGCGTTCTTGTTGCCCTTGGCGCTGATCCGCGGTCTCTCGCCCTTGGCCATCAGTTCCAGTCCGTCTTCTTCCTGCTCCTCTCCAGCTGCTGCTCCATCCTCGTCTTGCTCCTCGGCCGAGTGGCCGTTGTCCTTCTTGCTCTGCACGGCCAAGTGGGTATAGGGCGCGTCGATGGGCAGTGACTCGGTCTCGAGGGCATCCTGCCAGACGCGATCTTCGACGCTGTGGATCTCCGTCGTCGCCATCAGGGCTCGCGGCCTATGGCCGTGTGCGCGCATCGCCTTGACCGTCGCAGACGTGGGGCCTCGGACGTGACTGCGATTCTCGTCAGACTCCTGAGCCTCCGGCGCCGGTTCTGGTGCTGCTGCTGCCATCTCCAGCTCTCGCAATGGGTCTACGATTGACATTCTCTGGGCATTGGTGTCGATGATGGTGGGTTCATCTTCCTCGTCTGCATCCGAAAAGAGACCCTCGTTGGCCGTCTCTGCCCTCGATGTCCGGACGCTCTCGACAGACCGCTGGCTTGGCTCGCGCCTCTTGGCTGCCGTCGTCGGTGCGACATTGGCCATGACGAGGAGCGCCTTCTCCTGCTTCTTGGCTTCCTTCTTGGCCATTCGCTTCTTCTCGCCCTCTTTGCCTCCCCTCGCCTTGCGCCACAGCTTCACGGCGGGACCACCGACGGTCGAGCCACTCGCATCGCTTCTGTTTCCAGCATCGTCGTCATCGTCGTTGCCATTGTTGACGTCGCGCAAGAGATCTGGCCGGTGTGCTTCTCCATAGGCGACTTCATGCACCCCAGTTGCTTGCTCATCATCATCGTCATCATCGTCATCATCGTCGTCGTCGTCGTCATCGTCCTCCGCATCTGGCTCATCGTCGCTTGTCTCGCGTGCACTGAAGAAGTTGGCGCTGGCCATGGACGAGCGCATGCTCTGGGGGCGGGGTGCCGGCGGCTGACGCAAATGTTTGGGCTTCGTGGGCACAGGAGGCGGCGCAAACGTCGCCTCGCCGAGCACACTCCCTGACCGGCTCGGCGGTCGGTTGTCCTCATCAATGTAGACGTGTGCTGCCCCGTACAGGACTGATCGTCGAGGGGTGGCCAGCTCCTCCTCGTCCTCTTCCTCTTCTTCATCGACGTACCGCTGCGTGGCGCTATTTTTCGTCGGCGTAGGCGCTTGAACATTGAAGAAAGGCTCGTCTGGACCAAGCGCAAAGCCGTCCAAGGGCGTGTTGACATCCTCTTCCTCGGGCGTCGACGGCTCTTCGCGGCCGAGTGAATCGGCATCGAGGACGACGTTGGAGGCCACGACGCCGATGACCTGGCCCGTCTCGTTGTCGATGGCCACCAGGCTGTTTCGCCAGTCCGACGGTGCTCGGCTCGACAGTCGCGGACGCGGCACGGGTTCCACCATCGTTGTCGTCGTCGTCGTCTGCGCCGCCACCTCGTCTGCTTTTGCGGTCTCTGGCGCCTGGTGGAGCACAGCTTCCCGGTCCAGGGATGCCTCCTCAGCCTCTGCCACCTCCGCCTCTCCGTCGGCCTCTTCACAACTTTCAGGCACACAAGCGTGACGAGATCCATTGAGCATCTGCAGCGCCACGGCTGCCGCCTTATCGGGGGGAAAGACGGGATAGTGGACCTGGGTGATCTGGCCCTCCTTGAGGAGGAGCGTGACGCGCTGGAGAAAGGTCCTGCCCTGCCACTGGAGCGTCGGCAGGTCGAGGGCCTTTTGCAGGGCGAGCGACTCGTCGGAGAGGAGCGCGTAGGGCAGCCTGAGCCGCGTGGCGGCTTCCTGCTGGATAGCTGTTGGCTGGACGCTGAGGCCAAAGATGGCCAGCGTCGGCTCGTGCTCGACGAGAGGGTGGAGGCCGTCGCGGATGGAGCAGAGCTCGGGGGTGCAGCCGCGTGCGCCCGGAAGTGCATTCCACGACTCGGGCACCTCCTCGCCGGGCGAGGCCGTGCGTGGGTACACAAACACGAGGACGGGCCGCGAGAGCGAGAGGAGGAACAGGTCGACAACACCGCCGGCCGTGGACGCCAGCTCGATGAGGGGCGGCATCGGGTGGCCAGGGAGGTGCACGCACGCGCCCGTATCCTCGGGCACGGGCAGGTTCGCCGGCAGGGGAAAGGTGCCAGCTTCCGTCATTGTTGTCGCGCCCCGCAGTGTCGACGATGGTTGTGTTGGCTTCCGTTAGTCCGAGGCCGATCCTGTCAGAGCAAAGGGCTGGACTAGCTACTACTAGCTGCTGCTCCTCTACACAATAACAACGACTACGACTACAACTACGACTAAACAAATAGGCGGCCTGGTTCTATCTTACAGAAAAATCAATCGTTCGGAGATGTCAATCTTCTCGAGGAAAAAAAAAAGGGGCCAAGAGAAACCCCTGAGTAGGATCGTGCGGCATTTCGTGCAGGCGTGGAGGAGACTGTGTCACTATCCAGCAAAAATTTACGTCATTGAATGTGTCATGGCTCCTTGGGCATTCGCCACTTCCGCCGGACAAAGCCCACCATTACATTTGATCAATAATCAGGCCGAGGGGGAAGCTAGCAGACCTGGAGCAGAGCGGTACACATACATGGACTGCTTGTGTTCCTGCTTGCCCTGGACGAGGCAGCTTCGGCAAAAAAGAAGTTTTGATTCGGTGGAGGGTTGCTCACCTCTGAGAAGAATAGTAAATCTGAGTCCGCGGTGTGATGCACGTCTGTAGTGAGCAAGTGGAGTGAGCAGGTAAGCTTCGCGGCTGGTGCTCGGAGCTGGCTATAAAACTGGCTTCTCGACCATCAGAGGCTTCTGAGCACGATATAAAGAAAGGTCTCCATCCCGCCAACGACCACATCAAACACTAAAGCAGCAACAAGGAAGACATCCTAAAAGATGACGGCAGCGACAGACTTTCCAGCTTCCAAGACGGCCATTCCGCTCTCCTTCGGAGCCATGACGGTCGGCGGAGAAGGCACGATGCAGGCCCGAATCCATGATCTTCCCACCTTTCAATCTATCCTGGACCTTCTCAAAGAGCATGGACAAGAGGAGATCGACACTGCTCGGGTCTACGGCAGCATGACGAGCGAAGAGTACGTGCGCGACGTCGGCGCCGAACGGCAGGGCTTCAAGATTGCCACAAAGTGCTTTCCCAACAGCTCCTTTGGCGCCATGCCCGACATCACGCAGTACGACCACACGCCCAAGATGCTCCGCCAGTCCGTCGACGACTCGATGAAGGCGCTCAGCACGGACAAGGTCGACCTCTTCTACCTGCATGCGCCTGACCGCAAGAACCCGATCGGCGATGCGCTCCGAGTTGTCGACGAAGAGTACAAAAAGGGCCGCTTCGACCGGTTCGGCATCTCCAACTACACCGTGGCGGAAATCGAAGAGATTATGCGCATCTGCGAGGCCAACGGCTACGTCAAGCCGACGGTGTACCAGGGCCTGTACAACTGCCTAGTCCGTAGCGCAGAGCCCGAGTTGGTGCCGTGCCTGCGCAAGTACGGCATCAGCTACTACATCTACAACCCGCTCGGCGGCGGCTTCCTGACGGGCACCTACAAGCCCGACAAGACGGACGAGGAGGACAACAATGCCGAAAAGGGCAAAGGGTCCCGCTTTGACAAGTCGTCGTGGCAGGGCCAGGGGTACTGGAAGCGATACTTCCATGACGCCATCTTTGAGGCAATCGAGGTCATCAGGCCAAAGGCCGAGGCGCACCAGATCCCCCTGGCAGAGGTAGCGCTGCGATGGTGCATGCATCACTCGGTGCTGAAAAGGAAGTACAACGACCACGTCATCTTTTCGGCCTCGTCGATCAAGCACGTCCAAGAGAATCTCGCCGCCTTCGAAAAAGGCCCCTTGCCTGACGCCCTGGTAAAGGCAATCGACGAAGCGTGGACCGTGGTCGACAAGAGCGGCCAGGCTCCCAAGTACCACTTCTAAATCTTTCAAAGTAGCATTTCAAGAGCACATCGGTAATTCATCATCAATCCTAAATATACATTCAAACGATCTCTCATCGTGCGTGCATCATCGTCGAGAAAGAAGAAGAGTGAGGTATTCAAGAGCCAATGACGGCCTCCAGCATCTTTTTATAGTCGCCGCTCGTCTCCCCAGAGACCCTCGCGCGAAGACCCTTTTTGCTCTGGGTGCCCTGGTAGCACCGCTTGACCTCTTCGAAACGCATGCGATCCCAGTGTGCTCTGAAGAGGCGGTAGATGAGCCGCTCGTCCTTTGTGCCCATGCCTGCCATGCTCTCTTCCAGCAGATCCGCATCGCGTACCACGCCCGGTGGACCAGGCTGGGCCGTCTTGGCAATGTAGAGAAGCGCATTCTCCATGTGCCCCGAAAATTCAGACTTGATCATGGCAACGAGCGTCTGCTTGTGCATCGACTGGTACGTCTGCCAGATGGCTTGAAGGTGTGGCGTGCTCCTCGAGACGAGGATGCCGCAGATGGTGATCTCATCGGTGCCTGCCCCCCGAGCAGCTGCCTTGAGTTTTCGGCAGTCCTCCTCGACGAGCCGATGGTCTACTGGCGCGTTGTCCTCTTGCCGCGTACCTTGGAGGGCCATGACAAAGAGGCGCTTCGTCTTCATCGACAGCTCGTCCTCGACAACCTTTTCCATCGCCTTGCCATACACTGCCCTGTATGCGTTCTTGAGTGTCCACATGTCTGCATTTGTTCGGCAGAGCAGCACCTCGTTGAGCAGGTCCTCGTGTGTGCCTGCGCCATCGCATGCACGGTGGATGAGCCAGACATCGTAGCCAACGGGACCGAGGACCTTTGCACGGAGGGCGCCCTCGAACCAGCCCGACGTCTCCTTTTCGAGCACCTTGAGCAAGTCCTTGCCCGTCGACGCCTTGAACTGGTTCGAGAGGGCATCGACCTGGAAAGCATCGAGCGGGGCCAGAGTGCGAATGAGGAGGGCCTCGTCGGTGCCGAAACCCTTTGTGGCCTTGCGGATCGCTTCGACGTCCCCGTGGACATTGTATCCGGGCGGCGGCGGCAGAGGCTGGCTTCCAGGTGGAGGAGGGACCGGCACGCCGAGGTAGTAGGTGCCACCTGCTCCTCCCATCGGTTGCTGAGGTGCATAGGCCTGTGGCTGAGAATGCGAGTGGTGGTGCTGGTGGTGCTGGTGGTGCTGGTGGTGCTGTCCGTGCGCAGGAGGTGCGTAGCCGCCGTAGGGTGCAGAGGGTGCCTGATGGCCATACGGAGCCGGAGGAGCGCCTCCATACCCCGCTGGTGGCGCTTGTCCGTAAGAAGGAGCCTGGCCGTAGGGAGCCGGCGGGGCGCCATGGCCTGGCTGGGGGTACTGGGGCTGGCCGTAGCCACCGCCCTGCTGGGGATAGTAGCCACCAGCGGGAGGCGCGCCGTAGGGAGGTTGGTAAGACATTCCGCTCAGGGTAGTTGTTTTCGTTGATAAAATGTCGAGGTAGTGCTGAGGTGGGAGACGACAAAAGAAGCCGGTGCGGTCTTTTTATCGTGTGTGCCCGCGAGGTTCAGCGCCAAGGCGGTGCTCGAATGACTTGTGCCTGGCACAGCTTTGCTGCTTCTCCACATGCACCCACTTGCTTGCTTTCTGCTTCGACCTCGTGTCTGTGTCGGGTGCGCGTGCGCAGGCCCGTCTGTCACTTTGGAAATTTGACTTTGAGCCTCAGAAAAGACACGGCAAAAGAAAAACAAAGCTCATCCGTGCAGCAATCAGCTTGAGACGAGGAAGGTAAGGAAAGAGCGGCGGATGACGATGGGGAAAGACGACGAAGAAGCAGGGCCATCGTCTTTCAAGGCTGGGGAGAGCTCGATTCAAGACAGATTCACACGAATTGGCGGACACTGGACACACCGAGTCGAGCATGGGGATGTCTTTACCAATGAAAGCGTCGAAGAGGTCAATGATGTGAGGCGCGAGCGAAGTCCCAGCAGGGCATCTTCGGTCATGCAGCCGCCTTCCTTTGCGGAGTCACAATTCGCGACTATCGTCCGGAGGCAGAGAAAGCAGCGGATCGTGTCGCCCACAATGGAACGCCTCGAGCACGGCGAGGTTGGAGCAACTGCTCCTCCCCTTGCTACCCTGGTCGGCGTGCCTTCGACGCCGAGGCGGCGATACAACCGTCGTGGCACCGATGATGACGACAACGTCGACGTCAATGATGAGAAGAACACAGTGCTCCCAAACGATACACCCGCGAAGCGAGAGATGAAGACATCGCGAAGAAGACGCACCTCAACGAGGGAACTGTCCATCGATGGGTGGGACTTTGCAGGCTGGGGCAAGATGTCGATGCTCGAGCTCAGCCGTGCAGATAGAGACGAGGCAGCGGAAGCAATCGCCCGTCGTCCTCGCGCCCTCCTGGGGCAGTGGAGGACGGCAAGCCTGTGCGGAAACGCCCTCACCGGCTCTGTCTTTTACTCGCTCCCCGCCGTCCTAGCTGCCTCGAGCGTTCTGACGCCCATCGGCCTCTTTCTCGCCATCGCTCTCCTCTGGCCCTTTCGGCCGATCATGTGCGAGCTGGCCAGCGCCATGAGCTACGGAGACGCTGGCTCCTACTCGTACTTTCTCAACACTACCACTAAGACGACCTTTGCGCTCCTCGCCGCTGCCTTTGTCATGCTCGATGCCGTTGCCACGGGCGCAGTCAGCGCAGGCACCGCGGCATCGTACATCTCGGCGCAGGCCAAGGAGAACGGGTCGATCAGCGCCAGCCTGAAGGCTTTCCTGGATGGTCCCGCCATCACCGTCATTCTTCTAGTTGGCATTGCCAGCATCGCTCTCCTGGGCACCCGTGGCAGCGGAACTGTTGCCCTCGTCATGATCGTGTTCCATCTCATCACCATGACCGCTCTCATCGTGGCTGGCATCGTCGCATGGGCACAGCAGGGCAACGCCACACTTGCGTCCAACTGGTCCGATGCTCGCCCAGTGCTGACCAGTGGCAAGGGATATGCCAGAGCCATCTTTGATTCGTTCTGCGTCAGCTTCATCGGCCTGACGGGCATCGAGACCAGCGTCCTCTACACAAGCGCCGTCAAAAAGGATCAGTTTCCAAAGGCACTGAGAAGCCTGCACATCGCTGTGCTTGTGAGTCTCTCTTCCTCCTCCTCTTCCACTGTTCTTCATGGAGCCAGTCACGCTGACAGTCAAGGCACGTATTGCAGCTGACGGAACCGACCCTAGCCTTGCTCGTCGTGGCTTTGCTTCCCCTGTCAAAGGCACTCAGTGCCAACAATGTCCTGTCCCTGCTCGCCCAAGTGTCGTCCGGCGGAACTGGACCATGGCTCAAGTACGTGGTTGTTGTCGATGCCGTCGTCGTTCTCGCTGGTGGCATCTTGACAGGTACCCAAGCAACGATTGGCTTGACACAGGCGCTGGCATATGACTCGGTGCTTTCAAGGCAAATGCTCCGAAAGATGCCCAAGACGGGTGCCTACTGGGCCGCCATCTGCCTCTTTCTGTGCCTCTCGCTCATTCTGTGCGCCACGTCGAAGTTCAACCTGACGACGCTTTCATCGATCTTCAGCATGGCTTTCCTTGCCGTCATGACGATGTTTCCCCTCTCGGCGCTCCTCGTCATCTGGAATCGGCCCAACCTCCCTCGAACGCCGAGATGCGGCCTTGCTCTCATCTTTTTCGCTGCTGCCGTCGGCATCGTGGCCATCGGAGGCAATATTGCACTGTCGCCCATCGCACTTCTCCAGACAGTCCTTTATTTGCTCGTCATTGTCGTCGTCCTCTACCTCTTCAAGAACCGCATCAGCCTCGCCCACTGTCTCGTGTGGCTACTCGATGAGCGCTGGATCAACACGTCGGCTCCGTCGGCAGCCAGGTCCAAATGCAGCAGCAGCATCGATGTCAGCCGATCCACATCGCCCATCTATCGCCTCAAGCATCGCCTGATCAAGTGGGTCGGCCGCCAGCGCCGAGAGCCCGTCGTCTTTTTCACAAAGACGGACGAGATCTCGCACCTGAACCGAGCGCTTCGCTACGTAGAGGAGAACGAGCACACGTCTCGGGTCATTGTCGTGCACTGCTTCGACGAAATCGTAGACATTCCCTCAGAGCTCGAGGCGAATGCCCAGCTCATCGATGAGGCCTACCCCAGGATCACCATCGACCTCGTCTTTGTCGAGGCGCAATTCAACCCCGTCGTGGTAGAAGCCCTCTCCAAGAAGCTCAACGTGGCAAAGTCGAGAATGTTCGTTGGTGTCATTCACGATTGCCAAGAGCATGAGCTGGCCGACTTTGGTGGTCTCAGAGTCATTTCGAGATAGAGTCAAGAGTTCCTGGAACATACCCCTTCCATTTTTCGCACAGCCTATAGACTGCATCAGATATTAATATGATTATGTGTCATTGCTAATGGTATCACCTATTCGACCGTCTCGGTCTCTGCTGCGCTCTCGCATTGAGCCAGTCTACTAGCGTCGCAAGGCCTGTCCCGTCCTTGGCGCTGCACCCAACCACGTCCCAGTCCTCCCACGTGCCGCTTCCAGCCTTTGGTCTGGCGAGTCCCTCTATGTTCTCCATCTCATCGCGCAGGTCCGACTCCTCGGCCTCCTCCAACCCTGCAAGCCGGTCAGCAAGAAGACCCTTTATCCGGGTTCGAGCCGATGAGGCGGCTGCTGATGAGACGTGGTCCATCTTTGTGAGGACGATGAGGAGGGGAAGCGCCCGGATCCGCGAGTGCGATCGTAGCGAAGCTGAAATATTCACTCGGGCACATCAGCCTCCTCTTCCATAACACATCACGAGAGGCTGTGGAGCAGGAAAGACTCACCCAAGGCACTCCAGCTGTCCTCCTGCCGTGCGGCCCTGGCCTCCTGCTCGCTCGCGGTGCCTCGCTCGTGGTCGTCGTCATCATCCTGCTCTTTGGAATACGAACGCTCGATTTCGTCCTCATCGAGCCAGTCGCTGATGTCCATGACCCAGACGAGCACCTCTGCTTCTTCAAAGTACTGAGGCCAGATCTTGCGCAGGCTCGCTTCGCCTCCGAGGTCCCAGAAGTGGAGAATGGCATGCTTGAACGTCAGGTCGAGGACTGGAGCCCAACGAACGGGAAAGCCCGGGTCAGCTTCGGTTGAGAGAAAAAGGGCAGGCAAGCATTTTGGTGCGGGCTAGCTCACCATTCTGACCAACGGTTGGCGCGATGCGAGCGAGGGCCCTCGACGATGTCCGTGTATGCCAGGCTCGGACCTTGTCAAGCAGCGCCGTCTTGCCTGCCCCGCTCGTGCCGAGGACCAAGACGTTAAATTTTGGCCTCCGACTCCATTCGGCTATGAAACACTCGTGTATGAGCCAGAATTCTTCCTTGCTTCTAAATAGGGGAGAGAGGTGATCGCACTCACAGTACAGGCCCGTGATGAGATGGTACATCGTCGCCGACACGACCACAGCGAGGGTGGGAGAGTCCTCTCCTCTCTCCCTCAGTGGAGGGGAATCTAAAAAATTCACGTGAGGGATCGCGCCTCGCGGAAATCCTGTCACGGCGCGTAGAGGGAAAGGCGGCCTTTTAAGAACATCACCTTGCAACTCTCGAGGCCTTAGAAACGCTGAGAGGGTCGGGAGGCAGAGACAGCGGGCAACATGGCAACATCCGGGCTCAAAGGCTTGAAGCGCTCGTGGTCAGGGAACAGCTCGGACATCAATGGTCTCATTGGAGTGCCCTCACAGCCTGCTGCGTCCAACGGAGCAGCGGCCGCAACGACGTCGATGATGGCTACGACTTCGATGATGCCCACTAACAATAAGAGCAACAACGCCATCTCGTCCCCCCCTAAGGACACTATTAACAAGAGCCTGTTGCCATCTTCAAGCCCTATCGAGGTGCCATTCTCTTGGTCGCCGTCTCCCTCGCCGAGTAGGAGGGAGCCGCTGAGCGACAAGAGCAACAATGGCGCACGAGGTGAGTACACTACATGCGTGCACGCTCTCGTGCGTTCTAATGTCAGGGTCTTCCAATACAGGCGGGAACCGCGCAGATTCCGCAAAGCAAAGACATTCTCCCCAAATTGCGATTCCAGTTGACGATGAGGAAGAGGATTTGGACGATGTAGAGACTGAGAGAAGGGCTGAGCCTCCTCTCAAAAAGAGGCAGCTGCCTCAGTCATGGAAACGCTCTGGGACTGGCGGAAGCAACAGCAGCAGCGCGAGCTTTCAGTCTGCTTCCAATGCCTCGACGACGAGGTCAGCGTCAACTTCCTCCATGTTCAAGCCTTCGGTTCTCGACAAGACGGCGTCCGACCTCCGTCGCGAGGGAAAGTCGTCAACCAACTTTCTCGTCAAGGGTCACGGGACGGCAGCCGAGACGAAAGAGCATCCATTTGGTGGCGCCAGCCGCAAGCTGGGTGGTGTCTTTCTCTCACGCGAACAGGCTAAAGTCAGGGACATGGTTGTGAACGGCGGGAAGAATGTCTTCTTCACGGGAAGTGCAGGTGAGCTCGCCTCGAGAACACGCAGTAGAGATCGGGTACTAACACGCAAGAGTGCGGTACAGGAACGGGCAAGTCGGTGCTGCTACGCGAGATCATCTCTCAGCTCAGGCTCAAATATAACAGCAAGCCCGACGCCGTCGCCATCACCGCCTCGACGGGCATTGCTGCTTGCAACATCGGAGGGGTGACAATTCACAGCTACGCTGGAGCGGGGCTAGCAGACGGGACCGTGGATCAGATCTGCTCCAAGATTCGTAGGAACCGCAAATCGAACAGCAGATGGCTGAGGACGCAGACACTAATCGTCGATGAAGGTGAGCTTCACGTTGGGTGTGAAGAAGCCCTCTGAACAGCTTACTCACAAATTCATCCGCTGCGACCAGTGTCAATGGTGGACCCAGGCTTTCTCGACAAGATTGAAGAGACAGCTCGCAAACTTCGGAAGAGCAGCAAACCATTTGGAGGCATCCAGCTGGTATTGACGGGCGACTTCTTCCAACTGCCTCCCGTTACGAAGAACAACGCACCGACCCGCTTCGCCTTCGATGCCAAATGCTGGTCACAGGTCATTCACGAGATGGTCAACCTGACTCAGGTCTTCCGTCAGAAGGATGAGAGTGAGTCGAACAAACCCTAAATCGACAGATACATGCCAGCTGAATGCCGTGCATACGTCCCAGACTTTGTGCAGATGCTCAACGAGATGCGCATCGGGAAGTTGTCGGAAGATTCGGTCCAGCGCTTCAAGGCCTTGAGTAGAACGCCAGAGATTGCCGATGGCCTGGTCCCTACGCAATTATTTGCTTTGCGACAGGAGGTCGACCGTGCCAACGTACAACGCCTCAATGGCATCAAGGCGCCTCTCAAGATGTTTGATGCCCATGATGGAGGAACACTTCCGGAGGAGCAGAGGCAAAGAATGCTCGAGAAGTTCATGCCGCCGCCCAAGCTCATGCTTAAAGCAGGTGCTCAGGTCATGCTCATCAAAAACATCGATGAGACGCTCGTCAATGGCAGCGTCGGCACCATCTTGACGTTCCTCGACACAAAGGATCACAAGATGGCATTGCACCATGGGGTCGATTGGGACAGGATTCGACCAGGAATGACTGTTGAGCAAGTCGACGAGATCATCACGGAGTATCTCGTCAGCAAGCCCGTACCTGCGGCGGAAAGAAGCGCGAAGGCATTCAGGGCCGACGCGATCGCAAACGAGTACATGTACAGCGCCGCTGCTGCTTCAAAGAAGCTAAAGGCAGGCAAAGTTGACGATGAAGACTATGACGAGAACGACTTCGAGTCAATTGGGGACAAAGACAGAAAAGCAACAGCATCTTCGGCGGCACCGAGTGGCAATTCAAATGCGACGATGAAAGTTCAAATTCCGCGAAACGCTTCGTCAAGATCAGCCTCGCCGGAAAAGGGCACTGGTGGTCCTCTTGGGGCGAATCTACCAAAGTACCCCGTTGTTCGCTTTATCCTACCGAATGGGGGCTATCGGACGGAGCACATGACGCCAGAGGTGTGGAAAAATGAGCTGCCAAACGGAGAGATTTTGGCCTCGAGGACGCAGATCGTGAGTTCAACTTAGTTAGGCGGCACTCACTCTCTTTTCATCCAATGCTTATCATTTGCAATTCGACAGCCCCTCATGCTGGCTTGGGCAAGTGAGTCGACTCTTCCATGCCCCACATGCGGGTCACTAACCATTTTGTTCCTTACAACAGTGTCCATTCACAAATCACAAGGCCAGACGCTGCCATACTGCCGCGTCGATCTCGGCAAGGTCTTTGAAAAGGGTGAGTCTGCCGCGCAGGCTCTCGTCCCCTTTTCGACAGGACTGTGACTGACGCTCTGACGATGCAGGACAAGCCTACGTGGCGCTCTCCAGGGCAACTTCGCTTGAGGGTCTCCAAGTACTAAACTTCAACCAGGCCAAGGTCATGACAGACCCCCGCGTCATCACCTGGACGCGACAGCTAAAGGATCACAGCGAGACATCCAGTTGATACCACACTCACATCGATCGCCTTTCTATCATCTCTACAAGACAATTTACCATGAGAGCACCAGCACAAAGTGTACATCTACTTGCACTCATGACCCTTTCGTTCCCTCTCGTTCCCTCTCGTTCCCTCTCGTTAGAGTAGCAATTGTCATCAGACTTTACTGAATCATGTTGTACGGATGTGTATACGAAGCAGGTGTGATATTACAAGAGGAGACAGTGAGGGACATCTTTACCTCACGCGGGCCCCGATCGTCGTCCAGAAGCTGTCCTTTGGCCTGATCGACAGGTCACCGTACGCATCCGTCTGTTGCACGCTGATAAGATCCTTTGTGCCCAGCACGAGCGTCTCAAAGAAGAGCCCTGCCGCTTCTCTGCGACCCGATGCCGCGGTGAGTTGCTCGAAAGAGGCTGCCTCTCCCTCTTCTTCGTCCGCCGCCGCCAAAAAGGCTTCTCGGAACGTCTCGGCGGCTCGCCTCGTATTGTTTGAGAAGCCATCCTCATCGTGGCGCGCATCCTCTTCATCAATCCCAAGGAGGTTCGACGATGGCGTGCCTGACCTGCTCAGCGACCCGAGTGGGGAAAGTCGTCCCTCGGTCTCCTGGCTCATTTGGCGCACCGAGGATAGCCGGCCCTTCTCGAGGTGTCGCATACTCCGTCGCAAGCCATCGTCCGCCGCAAGACCCTCGGCCGGGATGTCAAAGTATGGCACGTCGCCAGCTCCAGCATCGATTCCACCAAATGCTCCTAGGTCTGTTGTGTCATCGAATCCGAGATCAAAGCCCAACGCGACGTCGTCTTCTGTCGCTGCCCTCCTGCCCACCTCGGACAGATTGTCGTCTTCGCTCACACCTGTTCTCTGACGTTTGTTGTGGCGCTCGTCTGCCTCCTCTGCTAGTCTCCTACGCCTCGACTTTCGCATCGCGTCTGCATCGAGCACAAAGAGTTCCTGGAGCTGAGGCGCGATGATCCCGAACGGTCCCCCGGAAACGAGATTCTTCGACGGTGCCTTGTACATGGACAGAAGCTGCATGTAGGCGGCCGACTTCGGCAGATACTCATTCGCGCCTTGCATGGACGTGATCAGATCGAGCGCAGTCTCATCCGGCGACAGCTCTGTCCGAGCATCGACGAGGTGCCGACTCCGTTTCGACTTAAGTCCTTGTTCCTCTCGCCTTACAATAGCTTCTCGAACCTTTGCGGCCGTGCGTGGCGTTAGCTGCTCGGCGAGGTTCGTGTCACTGTCTCGCGGTTGAGGTGTTGTCTGCCGTGGCCGATCCAGACCTTCGAGGCCGAGATCGAGACCCCCTTCGCCACCGAGGTCCATCAATGTATCATCGTCAAAGCCAGCAGTGATGTCTGCACCTGTACCTTCAAAAAGCGAGCCATGACCGACGCTCAGAGGTGCATCTCGACCCACGCCAATGCTCAAGCTGTCGTCTGCCGCTGGAGCGGCAATGACATCGCCGTTGGCATCGACGAGCTGACCCTGCGAGTTGCGCCTCTCCATGCCAAAGTCACCTTCGCCCGGCACAAGCCCAAGGTCTAATGGCGGCGAGCTTCCGACGTGACTCGCGTCAGGATCAAACACGCCCGACGCGATCCCAGGTCCGCTGCCGCCGACACTGAGATCAAAGTGGTTCAGGTCGCTGCTGCTCGCCTCATCATTCCAGAGGCTGGGCGTCCCGCCTCGATACTGCGGCAGGGTGATGTCGGCTGCTCGAGCGGTGTGTCGGGCAGCCATTGGACCAGGTGTCATGCTTCCCGCCCTGGAGCCTGCCATGCTAGCCGCGTCGTGCCCCGCACGCGTCCAGGTCTCAATCGATGGGTCGGGCATCAAGAGGTCGAGGTCTGTCCGCGTCGAGGTGAGCGTGATCTGCCTCCTCGAAGCCTGCAATGCGCCCGTGGTCGCGTCGCTTGATGCAAACGCTCCTCCTCCTGCCGTTCGGAAGGCCATTTTAATGCGGACGAGGGCCTCATTGCAGTCGTCCAGGAGGTAGCGAGCCTTTCGCGAGTAGATCCGAACGACGCCAAGAAGGAGCTGGCCACTGAGACGCAAGGCCATGGGCGCCTCAGGCCCCATGATTGATGAGATGCTCCGTTCGAGATCTGCGCCGATCAGTTGAGCCTTGGACAGGCGGCGCTCGGCATGCGCAGCGAGCCAGACCTTGGAGAGCGGGCCCCTCCTGGAGAGGATCGCCTCGCTGTAGAACATGATGGCCCTACTCTTCCTTTCGTTGTCGCTGTGCTGAGGATAGAATATGCTGAGAGGAAGTACTGTAGGTGAAAAAGGAGAATGGATAAAGAAGAGAAATGAGAGAAGAGAAGGTAAAGTCCCGAGGAAGGTGATGGGTGGAAGGTGAGGTAAGGCCCAAAGGACGTGTTGGATTCGCGCGTCGAAAAAGAACGCGTCGGACCGCGTGCTTATAGTAGAGTGTTGAAATAAAAAGGCAGGGCTAATTCTTGGTCCGAGGTCTCCACCAACTTGGAAACCAACAGAAAGATGCCGCCGCGGGCACAGGGTCGGAGGCAACCGTATGATGTAGAAGCTCTACGCGCAATAAGAGCACAGCAAGGGAGCTCTTACCCTCGTCCGGATAGATTGCAAGTGAGGGGGAGCTCAGAGGAGGACGACGAGGCCGAGGAGGGTGAAGAAGAAGAGAGCGGCGATGGCATTGCAGAGGACGGCGACGAGGAAGACGGCTTGCCACGAACAAACTCTGGACGCAGAGTCAGAAGAGTTGTCGTAGATGACGAAGCCTCGGAAGACGAAGAGGAATCTAGCGAGGAAGAAGAGAGGCGCCGGCAAGAAGAGGAAGACGATGACGAGGATGACGACGACGAAGATGACGAGGATGAAGAAAGCGCGCTGCAGGAAGATCAAGACGACGATGACGACGACTATGATGGGACCAGCGGTAGAGCAGGTCGTAAAAGAAAGGCACCTGCTCGGAGTAAGAAGGTTTGGCGGCGCCTGACGGTCGAGGAGCGTGAGGCCGTCACAATGGAAGGGGGCATCGTCTGGGAAGAAGCAAAGTAAGCCCTTTCCTCCTCTTTCCCTACTTCCCATTGTTTTGTCTGACCTTTGGGCGCGAAAAAAAGCTCCATTTTTGCGAGTCTCAACAAGCGCCAGCGCATGGTAGCGCAAGAAATGCTCTCTGATGTCCTCACCTACGTCGATCGGGAGCTGGAGCGTGTCGTGATACCGCCCACGATCCGCATGCCCCATGCTTCGACGGGTGGCGCCGCCGCAATGGGCCTGGCGTCGACGAGCGCTGTCGGGTCCTCGCTGGGCAGCATGATGAGCTGGCGTGCCGAGCGAGGCGGCATCCTGCGAGCCGATCAAGGTGACGACCCATCGGCAGCCAGGCCTGATCAGAACGGCTTCATGGCAGACATTGTCAGTCTTTCCTCTTCGTTTCTCACCCTGCTGTCTTCCGTGTCTGACGCTATCGTTGAACCCTAATAACAGAGAACGCTGGAGAATCTGCTGCGACCGGAGGCAGCCGAGATCTTGTCGATGGAGCAAGGCCTCCTCGAGCAGCAAGCCGAGCTCGATCGATACAAGTCGATCCTTTCCTCATTGCAAAAGGATCGCCAGGAGCGCCGGCGCAGAGGGGTTGCAGACACAAGAGAGACAAGGAGAAAGGTGAGCTACTGTAAGACTTCGTTCCCTCTTCATGGCATCGCATCGCTCACCTCCCTCGAGAAGTTGCGAGCTCGCATCGAAGAGCTATCCAGACCCTCTGAGAGTGAGGCGAGCACACAGGCCACCCCTCTGCCCATCACAGTCGATGCAGCGCTGCGCGAGTCAGCGGCAGCCTCGATTAAGGCCGCCCGTTGACGCATCCATTCCCACCGTTCTTGTACTTCTAAAGATTGCATATGTATTTCTCAGGCAAACAGCAGCGTCCGTCTACAAAGTCTCTAGCACAATGCCCGCCGCGACAGTTTCGCCATGCATGCGGAGAAGCACCCTGCCCATGTCTCTGCTGATTGCAAATGGCTCAAACGGCGTCGCTTGGGCCAGAGTGATTCTGACCTTGGCCGTGACGCCTCGGGAAAGCACCCTAGGTTTCGTCTTGATGACGGCGCCCGTCTTGAGATCGAGCGTCGCAATGAGCTCCGACAGTGTCACGCTGAGGTTCGACGAATGGTGGAATAGCTCCAGCGATGTGCCGGCCAGCAGCGGCAGTGTAGGCTCAAAGACGAGGACCTGAGCGACGATGTTCGACACGACGGGTACGGGCGCCGTCGGAGGGCACAAAACCGAGCCAATGTTGATAAAGATCATGTCGATGCCCCCGAGAAAGACGGTGACAGACGAGCCAGCTACGGCCCACGGCGCGCTCTCCCCATCGACATCGATTGCTCGGACGACGCCGCTCTCGTCACCTGGGACGACGCTCAGTCGATCTCCGATGGACAAGACGCCCGCAACAAGTCTACCGCTGACGCCAATGCCAGAAGAGATGGCTGTCTGACCACCCTTGAAGACGTTCGTAATGGGCATTCTCAGCGGCGCATCCAGCTGTCGCTGAGGTGGCTCGAGCTTATCGAGAGCCTCCACCAGCGTCGGGCCGCTGTACCACATCGAAAGGCCTGTTTCTTCCGACCGTTGCTGGAGATTCTCGCCGACGGCGGCACCGCAAGGAACGAAGGTCAGCTTGCTCTCGGAAAAGCCGGTGTGCGAGAGGAACGGTCGAAGTGCGGCGACGATCTCATCGTAGCGGCTCTGTTCGTATCCGACGGCATCCAGTTTGTTGACGGCCACGATGAGCTGCTGGACGCCCAGACTTCTCACAAGGATGGCATGCTCTCTCGTCTGTCCCTGCGGGCCAAAGCCAGCCTCAAAGCCCCCCTTGGCTGCGTCGACGACGAGGACGGCGGCATCGGCCTGTGCTGCTCCACTGATCATGTTCGGAATGAAGTCGCGGTGGCCCGGCGCATCGAGAAGCGTGAATGTTCGATGTGGCGTCGCAAAACTGTCCTGGGCCACGTCAATCGTGACACCCCTCTGCCTCTCTTCCTCGCTTGAGTCCAGTGCCCATGCGTAGGCAAAGCTGCCCTTGCCCAGCTTTGCGCTCGCACGTTCGTTGGCGAGGTGGTCGCGATCGCTGAGGCTGCCAAGCTCATGTAGCATTCTCCCCATCAAGGTACTCTTGCCCGCATCAACATGGCCCACGACGACGAGACTGAGGTGTTTTCTGCCTTCGCTGTCCTCCTTTCGGCGAAACTCTTCGACGACGCGCTCATGGGACAGAAGCACCTTTGGCGTGCCAGGAACGCTTCCTTTGGCGCTGCTCCCCCCCGCGCTGCTGCTCGCCATCTTTGACGCCGCGGCACCATCATCCTTGGTCGATGTCAGGCCCATGCCCTCAATGTCGGATCGTAATTGTGACACCGAAGGATCTTTCGACTTGGACGCGATACCGGCTCCCGTTGGCTTGGCCCCTCTTGCTGGTGTTGAAGCGCCAGAGGCCGGCTTGGAGCTCGATGGTGTTGCCCTCGCTTGCTGCTGCTGCCTTTTCGCCGCTTCTTTTTCTGACGTTATAATATTTCAACGTCAATTGTCATGTTCTCGCCGCCAGATTGGTCCCCTCCCGAGCCTTCAGGACGATGTCATCAGGACTTGGCTCGGAGAATACGGTCTGAAAGCGACTGTATTCTTCGCAGCCTTGATCAAAAGGCGATCCACCCGGTACCTCGCCTCCTCCCTCTTGTCCCGGCTGCAGGATCCTTGTAAACGGGGACCCTGCGGTCGGGTCGCCCACGCCTCCCGAAGGAAAGAGGGAGACAATGGCATCTCCCGATGGCAGTAGCTCCCGTCTTTGCCTCTCTTCCTCTAATCTCTCGTGCTCTCTGGCTCTCTCTGCGAGCATCTCTTCCTTGCTGATCTGAGTCCCTTGAGCAGCCTTCTTCTGCTTGGCAGCCAGCACCTTCTGCTGCAGCTTCGAGAGAGGCTTGCCTGCCTCTAAGCCTTCTGCGACTTCGGGTTCCATAGAGCTTGGGATGGGTGACGGCGCTTTTGCCCGGCTTGCGGCCAGCGCAGCAAGTTTGCTCGGACGAGGAGCCGTCGTCGACCCATTGGACGACAACGATGCGCCAGGGTGGGTAGCATCAGCGGGACGCTTTGACGAGGATCGCTTCGCAGCAGCCAGCTGTGCAAGCCTCGACGAAGAAGATGATGGTGCGCTTCTTCTTGGTGGCTGCTGAAGCTCTGGAGGAGCCAAGGAAGCGAGATTCTTCTTGGCCAGACCAGCCCTGCCCCCACCACCGAGACCCCTCGTTCCAGGCGCTGTTGTGGCTCCACTTGGATGCTTTGCCACACGCCTCTGAATCGAGAGGCGCTGTAGTGCAGATAAGGGCGCGCCACTTTCCTCTTCCTCGTCTACCTGCGCCTCGCTGTCACCATCCAGGCCTTCATCTGCGAGACAGGCAGGCGCAGTCAGCGAAGTGAAAAGGTGGGCGCCTCCTTTCTAGAAATCAAGAAAGCAGCCAGCATCTCCTCACTCCTCTGGTCTGCCCTGCCAAATGGCATGCTAAGACTTCCTCCCTCGAGCTAGTACTTGTATCTCCGAGAACAGCGAGACCAAAGAGGCAGAAGAGATGCTGGCGCCCTGTCGTCTGTAAATGCGACTCACCTGCCCGTTTCTTGTCGCGCGCTTCTCTGCGACTGCGCTCCTCAATGAGCGCGGAAGTTGCCTGATCGACGTCAAAGTACGCTTCCCAAAGCTGGTCTTGCATCTCTCGTTCGGTGAAGCCGTTCTGGGGCGATGGACCCAAGACCGAGGTCAAGGTGGTCATTGCCTCGTCCAGGGCCGCGCGCTCCTCGGCCGTGATCGACTCGTACGGGTCCTCGGCTCCCGAGTCGAAATCATCCTCTGCCATCTCATCGTCCAGGTCGAGGTTGCGGACCGCACGGTGTCGAGACATGGCGACCTGCTGTTGTTACGCCAAGAAGAGATTGCTTGGTCAAGAAGGATTGCTGCGAGCGAATGGGTCAGCGCTTTTTTCTTGCCTCCACCGTCCCAGCTTGGACGCTTCGCGGCGCTGAAACACGTGGCCTGTGCAAATGCGCCTGGAGCGCTTTCTTTCTTTCTTTCTTCGGGGTAACGCTTCTTCCTCTACCTTCAGCATCGAAGGAGGCAGGGCAACATGGCGTTCACTGGTTCATCGTCTCGCGGAATGGTGCGAGAGCTCCGTTTCGTGCGGCTCCAGATCGCCTCGGCGAGGCCGATTGCTGCGAGGATAGAGCCGGTCCGGCGGCCCATGCTGCGTCACTACTCGAGAGACCCGCGCCAGGCAGAGGAGGAGGCATCGACCGTGCGAGGCCATCGGGTAGAGCGAGCGCGGACAGAGTCCGGAGGCGCTTCTTCCTCCTACACCGCCTCTTCCTCCTCCACCGCCTCTTCCTCGTCATCGGGTGGAGCAGGCCAGCAAGAATACGAAGAAGGGAGGAGCTACGAGGGTGCTTCGTTGGGAGCAAGGCTTGCCAATGCGTGGAACTCGACGCCGATCAAGTGGTACCCTATCCCGGTTCTGTTGGGTGCTTGTGTCCTCGTGGGTGTCCAGGCAAGGCGGAACTACGTCCGGGATAGGAGAGAAGAGCGAGGAACTAAAGCGAAGATCGTCGACGAGAATGGCAAGGTTGTGACAATGCAAGGCCCCTGGACAGTGAGTCTCATTCGAGCCAATCTTCAGACTCACTCCCCTGACACCAGATATCAAGGTCTACGTCTTGGGGGCGCTGCCTCTCAATGCTATCTCAAGAGCATGGGGCTGGGCCAATGGACTGACGCTTCCTGTTTGGTTCCGGCCCTTTGGCTTCCGGCTATATGCGCGCATCTTTGGGTGCAACCTGGACGAGATGAAGGACACCGACCTGACCCACTACAAGAGTCTCGGCGAGTTCTTCTATCGCGAGCTCAAGGAGGGAGCAAGGCCTATCGATGATGCTCCTCTTGTGAGTTGTGTGCAGATGCTCCAGCAAGGAGCTAGGAAAGAGCTGACTCGGTAATTAAACCAGGTCTCGCCGGCCGATGGTACGGTGCTTCATTTTGGAACGATCAAAGGTCGACGTGTGGAACAGGTCAAGGGTGTGACCTATTCGCTCGATGCGCTACTTGGTCTCACATCAGACCCACAGGGCATCGAGACGAATAGCGGAAGGCCCGAGGCTGCCCGTGGTGGCATCGACGAGCGGCAATTTGCAAGTGTCAATGGGATCGAGTACAGTCTTGATCGCTTGTTGGGAGACGACGAGAAGACAAAGGAGGGCAAGCCTCGATGGAGGGTGGCCAGCTGGAAGTGGTGGAAGAGCTGGGTAGTGTCGTCCTCGAAAGGCCCCGCAAGCACGACGGGAATCCCTGCCTCGCACCCGGCGAGAGCTCCCCCGACAGGGCCTTCTCAGGAACCAACAAAGTCCTCGACAAAACCAGTCAATGAAGCGGACGAGGAAGAAGCTGGTGTGCCTACGCCCGACACACCCGAGGTGCTGGGTCGGTATGCCAACGTGGCCTACGACATGGGCAGCGGCGCCCTGCCTCCGATTCTCCAGCGACACTCTCCCGGTCGCGAGGGCGTGGCCGAGGAGAACGACCTCTTCTTCTGCGTCATCTACCTCGCGCCTGGCGATTACCATCGCTTCCACAGTCCCACGAGCTGGGTCGCCGAGCGCCGACGCCACTTTCGCGGCGAGCTCTACAGCGTCTCGCCCTATGTCGCCTCGCGGCTGTCCAATCTCTTTGTCCTCAACGAGCGCGTGGCCCTCCTCGGCCGGTGGCGCCACGGCTTCTTTGGAATGGTGCCCGTGGGCGCAACCAACGTCGGCTCTATTCGCATCAACTTTGACAAGGCCCTTCGAACCAATGTCCGCGACCAGCGCCGGCTCGCGGGCACCTACTCAGAGGCCACGTACGCTAGCGCATCGATGCTCCTCGGCGGTCAGCCGTTGATCCGGGGAGAGGAGATGGGCGGCTTCTTGCTGGGCAGCACAATCGTCCTCGTCTTTGAGGCGCCAAAGGAGTTTGACTTTGATCTAGAGGACGGGCAAAAGATCAAGGTCGGCCAAAAGCTTGGAGACATTACTCCAAAGTAGGGCCTTTGATGGTCTCCTTTTGGACAATGATGGATTTAATTGAGCTTGTCTTGGTAATAACATACATTTGCAACACTCTGGTCAATGTCAAGTGACAGGGAGTAAAGCCACTGGCTCGGCTCTCTCTGCATCAACGAGCCTCGAGATGCTCGGGACCCGACTTCCCGGCTCTGCTCCTCCCTTCTCCCGCTTGTCGCCCCACAGAATCGCCAACGAGTGTTCTTCTGGCACCCGTTTCGCCGTCAATCCAACCGTAAAGGGGGCCACGAGCAGTCGAATCGGCACGAGCGAAGCGCGAACGTGCTTCTCGATGTGGTCTTGCCATCTCTCGTCTCCCTTGATGGCGCTGTCCTGGCCCGAGGCGCTGCCAAGGATGCCCTTCAACGCACCAAGGACCGCGTCGTCGAAGCGTTCCTCGGCGCTCCCGCTAACCCCTCGCCTCTGTGCGGTGATCCTCTCACTGAAGAGATCCAGGAGCTGTCTCGACAGGCGCATCAGCTCATCCTGCGACGCACATCCTGCCATCTGAAGGGCCTGCGTCATGAATGAGAGCGCGCCCACGAGCCTGGACGAAGGTTTGACGGGCCAGTCGCCTTCATTGCTTTGACTAGCTGTCGCCGCCGCCTCCTTCCTCCCGCTGGCGAAATAGTTTTTGAGGGCATCATCGACGACTCGTCCCTTCCATGGCTCCAGACAGGCTCTTCGGATGTCGTCGAGGCCGTGGCGAAGCTGCAAGTGATCAAACTCCGTCGCCAGATTTCTGGGAGAGAGGGCGTCGGTGAGACGTCTGCTCTGGGCAAGTCCCGAGGTGATTCTTGAGAGCAGGAGGAGCTGAGCGGTGTCGGTGCTCTCTTCTTCCTTCTCAGCCTCGTGCTCTTCCTCCCCTATCCGATATCCGCCCCGGGAATCTCGAGGAATCGATTTTGGCTCGACGACGTCCTTCATCAAGCCCTGGAAGCTCTTCAAGATCTCCTCCGAAGCTGTCTTGGCGGCTCCCCTGTACAGTTTCTCAATATCCTGCCTCTGCTCCCGATTTCCTCCTCTCTCTCCGTCCTCCAGCTTCTCCTCTGTCTTCCTCTGCCGGTGCGACGCCATCATAGATTCGTACGCCCGAAGCTCGCCCACCATGATCCTCGCCTTGTTTTCCGTAAACGCCAGCAGGCCATCGATGCGCCTAGAGCGGAGCGATAGCCTTGATGCGAGCACTTCGACGCGGTCTGAACGGCACGACGCCTCTTCGTCATCATCTTCGTCGGCTCCAACGCCTTCCGCCTCGGCACCTCTCCCAACGATATGGGATGCGGATGTAACCTTTCGACTGGGGCTCGCCTCTGGCTCAAATAGGATCGAGAGCGGGTCAAAGGCATCATTCGAGCCTTTGCCTCTCCTGCCGCCATCCAGCGCCAAAGAGGCCTGCTCATCGACGAGAGCCTCGCGAGCCCCTTTTGCCACGGCCTGCGCAAGCCCGTTGGCTCGATCCCGACAGATGTCCTCCATCCTCTTTCCAAGCTCCAGTTGAATGGCCTTGCTCAAAGAACCCAGCCTCTTCTCCAACATGTCAACACATTTCGCTCGCAGTGTGTCGCCGCGTCCTGAGCCGCCAGCAAGATCTCTTTGGGCTCTCTTGATCGCACGACGCAGCTGGTCCTCGACCCGAATGTGGACCTCGCCAACCTCTACAAGCGATGAGAGACGCCCGACAAGTCGATTGACGACGTTCCCATCTTCTCGAATTTCGGTACTCTCCACCGTCTGGGCCCACTTGTCGATCTTGGATAACGCTTCGCTGCTATTGAGCCCATCATCAGTCAGGGTCATTTCAGGCGACAGTGTCTTGATCGAGTCCGGTAGGTGCGCGGCGAGGAGCGTCGAGGACGGCATTGTCTGGATGACGTCGATGGCCATTGGCGGGAAAGCGGCCTGACCTTTGCTTTTGATCGGTCGAACGAGACGGCCAAGAAGTGCCAAGAGGTAAGGCTCATCGTGGGCCTCGCCCGCGCTTGAGGGCGATGGTAGAGCAAATAGTTGCAACGCATGTAGCATGGTGTCGGCCACGACCCTTATGAGAAAGGAAAGGCGCTGTGCAGCGATTAACGAGTCGATGTCGCCCCTCGAGAGAGCATGAACGAGCCTTGCGAGCTGGTGCGTCATGTTACGGTGCCGGATAGCGAGCATGGTCTCCAAGGCACTTGGTAGAGAGAGTCCTTGGTGGATTGCCATGCTGACGAGGCTCGTCGTCGTACTCTAATCACAGTGACCATTGTAAGATTGCTTCTAACGATGCGCGGAAAGAATATGCCTCCTCTACTCACGGCGAATGTCGCTGAGACATCGTCCCAGCGGGGCATCTTTCCTTTGCCCTTCCTCGAAGTAGTGTCTTCAAGCCAGCCCACCAATCCCTCCTTTGCGACCTTGGAGATGCTACTGGACATGGGCGACAGCGAGCTCCACTGCTTCGCGACGTACGGGAATTGCTCGTCAACTATGAAATGGTCGACAGTCTCTCTGGCCTGGGGCGAAGAGGAGAGCCAGTCCCACGTCGCCCTTGCAAGCGTATAGATCCACGCGGCCCGGAGGACAGTTGCAGCCTTGAACTCTGCCTCGGCTGCCAGCGTCGTCGCCATTGAAGGCGAAGCAGACGAAGTCGCGGCCGATGACGAGGACGAGGCAATGTCGATGGCTCTCCAGACCTCGTCGGGCGCCTCGCTGACGAGCTTTGTCGCCGCAGCAATCGCAAACACCCGCTGGTCATCTACTTCATCGACGTCTATGTCGCTAATGTCCTGCCTGCTCCTCTCTGGCGATGTCCTCTCTCCTTCCTTGGCCACCTTTTCGCGCTCCTCGGCCGCGCGTTCGATGAGCTCCTGTGCCGCATCGAGCCTCTCGACGAGCTTCGTCGAGCTCTCGCCCATGTCCATCAGCGTATTGGCCGTGCCGAGCATCTCGCGGTACCGCTCCGCCACGAGCGTCCTGAGCTTCGCGGCCAGGTTCTCGTGCGCATGGCGGAGCTTCTCCTCGACCGCCTGCACCTCGCGCACGCTCAGCCTCGTCAGCGCCTCGTCCGGGTCCAGCGTCATTGGGTCCACCCCGAGCGCGCCGCCATCGTAGGACCCTCGGGCGCTGCCAATCGCAAGATGCGCTTGCGACTGCGACTGCTGGGAGAACGAAGAGGCAGACGTCGTCGAGCTGAACGCTCGATTGCGCGTGTGGCGCCCTCTACGTATCCCGATCCCAGCCATGGTGGAGCCTGACTCTCCTCAAGGAAGATTCCGATGGACGTGCGCCAGTTGTCCAAAATAAGAGCTTGGTCGCACGCGTCTCTCACTTAAACTCGGCCGAGCGTGCGAAAGAAGAACGCTTAGACTATGGCACGCCAGGATCCCACAGCAGAGATGACGCAGGGTGAAGGGAGGAACAGACAACTTCGAAACAGGGACATTCAGCTTGATTTGCGGCTTCTATCGAGGTGGCCAGAGATGAGGTAGAATAGGTGGAAACAAATAGTTAAAGGAGGTTCATTACTGATAGATTACCAGATCTGGTGGCCACCCGAAACGACAATGTCGCTACCGTTGCAGAAGCTCGAGGCCGAGCTGGCCAGCCAGACGGCGACACCGCGCATCTCAGCAGAGCGGCCCAGGCGGCCAAGAGGGTTCGACGTGCTCCACTTGGTCAAAAGGTGGGGGTTAGCGTCAAGGTAGACGGACGTCATGCGAGTGCGAATGTGACCGGGCGAGATGGTGTTGACACGAATCTGATTTGTGGATAAGATGATAAGGTCAGAGGGCGCACGCGACCACTGGACAATCGTTTCTCTAACACTCACGTTCTTGGGGCCCCACTCGGCGGCGAGGTTACGGCCCATCTGGAGTACGGCCGACTTGGAGGCATTGTATGCCACCCAGTGGTGGTCACGGTTGACAATGGAACCTGACATGGAAGCAATGAGGATGATGGAGCCGTGGACATCCTTTTGCTTGTGCATCATGCGGGCGGCAGCTCGGGCCGTGAGGAAGACACCAGTGGTGTTGACATCGAAGATCTGCGAGTCGATCTGATTAGCTTTCCCTCCAATTGCGCCCGGCAAGACGTATGCTCACCTTCTTGAAGTCCTCGACGGGGTAGTCAAGGGCATCGTAGGTGCCGAGGATACCGGCAGCGGCAACGCACACGTCCATCGAGTCGGTGCCCGAGTCCTTGACGATGAATTCCATGACGGCGTTGATCTCCTCGTCGTTGGTGACCGAGGCAGAGATGTACTTGAGGTCGCGGTTCATTATGCGGCAGTGCTCGGCGACAATCTTGAACTCCTCTGAGGGCTGCTCGGGCACGTCGACAGCGTAGACATGGGCACCAGCTTCGACCTTGGGAATGTATCGGCAAGATATCAGCAAAAGAGATGCCGAGATGTATCCTAAAGGGGCGCGTATGACTCACGAAGGCGAGGGCCATTCTGAAGATGCCAGGAACAGGGTTTGTCAGCTCGGGAAGCAACAGTAGCAGCAAAGACGGGGGCAGATTCAGCTCACTCAAGACCTGTGAAAGATAGAACAAGAAGGGCGTAAGCGGGGGCAGCGACGAAAGGCTTATCTCTTTGCCAGGCCACCACTCACCGAGGCCACCGTTTCCACCAGTGACGCATGCCGTCTTGCCCTCGAGAGAGAACTCCGAGAAGATGGTCGTCGTGTGCGTGTCTCCGTCGGCTGGGTTCTCGCGAAGACTTTGAGGGGCAAAGAGAGAATACAAGATCAGCAAAGGTCTGTACAAGATGGAGACGTAAAGACCCAGGGAAAGAGTCGAAGACTCACATGGCATCGACACCGATGTTCTCCGTCGACGGGGGCATACCCGGGTTCTTTTGGATCTCACTGAGCTTGGGCTCCGAGGAGGGCGCCCAAGTGACGAAGGTGTTGCGCATAGCCGTCGCGGAGCCGGGCGCGGCCATGCGGGCGGCGGCGGCCACACGGGGAGCCGCCACGGCTCTGAGCGAGGATCGAGCTGCGCCGGAGCGAGCAATGTTAAACAAGGAGGCCATACTGAACGGGGATGAGGACGGCAGTCGATGTCTGGAGGAGATAAAAGTCGATATGTTGGAGCTGTCCAAGCGACTTTGGGTTCTTCTGATCCGAGGCGAGGCCAGACAGTGGCAAACGATAGATCGATTTCGCTGGCGGGGCACGACGTCAGTACGAAAACTTTAAACGAGGTTGTATGTAACCGTACATCCCTCCACTCTACTAAACTACTACTCTTCTATCTGTTTTCGCGCCTGCCTTCTTTTTCCTCCTTATTTTTTTTTCCTCCTGTATCTTATGTTGTTCGCCTGCTGGCTTACAACTCGTCGACTAGCTCGCATTGGCCAGGGCAGCAGCAGCAGCAGGCAAGAAAGTCCCGTCCCCACCGGCAGGGGGCCTCGCCTGGGAACCGAGCCCGTAATACACCGCCATTCTCTCTTAGGACAGTGCTCCTCAGGGATGTGTCCTTGGCGCCGAGCGCTGTGTGTGTGTGACCATTTCAGGCATATGCGCTCGGGTTCTGCCTGCGATGCCTGCAACGCATCCAAGCTTATCCGTGCTTGTCGTTCCCCACTCCGGAGCCTTTACGACGTATCTGCACGGATCTCAGGCCCGTTTGCAATTTGAAGCCTGTTACTCCTCGGCCCATTGGCAAGCGCCGCGCATGTAATTCTCCTTCATTGGTCCCTTGAGTAGCTTGAGCGCACCGAGGTACACAATATATACACAGCAACTTGTCCCTGGTCCAGGATCTCAATGCAAGCAGACTTAATCTCCACGGCCGGGCAGCTAGCCCAATTCCCGCCCGAGGAGCAATGACATTATGCACGTGACGTTTCTTGCCTTGGCCCCTCCACTTTTGGCTTGGTAGGCCGGTTCTTCGCGCGCGCGCGCGCGCTAGAGTCAACTTGACGTCGAGAAGAAGATGATCAAGAGTCCAGGCCTGAACAGAATGTTGCTGCCGGCCTCCAGTGCCGCTGCGAGAGGCATCTCAGTCGGTGTTTCAAGGCGGCTCATCCACTCGTCGTCGCGTTTGGCCCGCGCGGCTGATCTGGAAGCGCGGAGCATTGTCTACGAGGCCAATGGCGACCCCACCAAGGTCCTCCGTGCGCACAAGTGGGCCCTGCCCGAGCCGAAAAGCGGCCAGGTCGTGCTCCGCGTCGGCCTTGCCTCGATCAACCCGGCCGACATCAACGTGCTGCAGGGCGTCTATCCGGCCAAGCCTGCCAAGCGGCAGCTTCCGGGCCTCGCGGGCGACGCCTTCATCGGGGGCAACGAGGGCTTTGGCATCGTCGAGCACGTCGTCGATACCGGCGGAGACCTCCAAGAGGGCGACTGGGTCGTGTTTGGCAAGCCGCAGATGGGGACATGGACGAGCCGGATGGTGTGTGCGCAGGACGACGTCATCAAGATCAACAGGCGCAGCAGCAGCCTCACCGAAGTCATGGCGTCGACGCTGCAGGTGAACCCGGCGACGGCGCTGCGCATGCTCTCTGACTTCCAGCGCCTGCAGCCGGGAGACATTATGGTGCAGAACGCAGCCAACTCGGCCGTGGGCCAGGCCGTCGTCCAGATTGCGGCGCGGCAGATGGGCGTCGAGACGATCAACCTCGTTCGCGACCGGCCCAAGCTCGATGACATGGCGGCTCACTTGGCAGCGCTGGCGCAGGGAGGCGCACCCGCCCACCTCTTCACCTATGAGGGCCTCGACGACCGGGACAGCGGCGTCAAGGAAAAGATCAAAGACATTATCGGAAAGAGAAAGATCAAGCTCGGACTGAATGCCGTCTGTGGAAAGGACGGGAGCAACATGGCCAAGCTGATGGGGTGAGTTGGCTGCCCGCCCCTCACGGAATCGACGTTGGACCTGGACTTATACTTTTGCAAACCCACAGACCAGACTCGACGCTCGTCACTTACGGGGCCATGTCGAAGCAGCCACTGAGTGTGCCCGCGGGCCTCGTCATCTTTCTCAACATGTCGGTGCAGGGCTTCATGATGAACAAGTGGTACGCCAGCAAGCAGTCGACGCCAGAGGGCAGCCAGGAGCGGCGGCAGCTGATGGACACGCTGACAAAGTGGTACGAAGACGGCAGCCTCGTCCCGCCAGAGTCGCACATCGTCCACATTGCACCATCAGACGACGTCGAGACAGTGGGACGCAAGGCGCGCGAGGCAGTGGGCTCCAGCATGGCCGGCTATGGTGGGAAAAAGTTCTTTTTCAAATTTGATTGAAATTTCATCTTCGCTTTACTCCATCATCATCACCACCGAGGCTGAAGAGGAAGAGAGGGAAAAATGGGAGGGAGAGAGAAGGAGAAATTTACAGCTGGGCCTTCTTCTGGGCCTCCTGGAAGCGCTTCTCAGCCTCCTGGAAGTTGATGACGGACCAGATGGCCTCGAGGTACTTGGGGCGCAGGTTCTGGTACTGGAGGTAGTAGGCGTGCTCCCACACGTCAACACCGATGATGGGGTGGTGCGTCGTGAGCGGGTCCTGGTCCTTGGCCGTGACGACTTCGAGCCTCTGGTTGAGGGGGTTGTAGCCGACCCAGCCCCAGCCGGAGCCCTGGATGGCGGCCGTCGTCTTGTTGAAGTGCTCCTTGAGCTTGTCCAGGCCGCCAAAGTCCTTGTCGATGGCCTGCTTGAGGGCACCGTCCTGGAGCTTGCCGCCGCCCTCGCTCGTGGGCGCCAGGTTCTTCCAGAAGAGCGAGTGGTTGATGTGGCCACCGCCGTTGAACTTGATGGCGCTCTGCAGCTCAATCTGCTTGCGCACGTCGGCGCTGCTGGCAGCCTGGCTGTACGCCTTCTCGGCCGCGTTCAGGCCGTTGACGTAGGCCTGGTGGTGCTTGGAGTGGTGGATCTCCATGATCTGAGCGCTGATCGCGGGCTCGAGCGCATTGTAGCCGTAAGGCAGCTGGGGCAGCGTGTGCTCGTTTGCAGAGGCTGTGTGACAGAGAGGCGGGGTCAGCATCGTACGTCGCTGTGCCGCCGACGTCGAGTGGACTCACCCATTTTGGAATGCTGAGTTGTCAAGCTTGATAGATGGTTGTTGGTAGGAGTAAAGAATGTCCTTGCGCTTTCTCCACTTTAGAAGTAGCTCTGCTCAGAGCCGGGCTACCCTTTGCTCGCTTGTAAGGTTACAAATTGCGTCAATCATTTCTAAAAAGGTTAAAAGCCGGACTCGAAAGCCGGAACACATGGCAGGACCTGAGCGAAGCTCTCACGTGTTCTACGTCCTTCTTTTTCACTTTTTTCGATTTCTTCCTTCGGTCGCCTTCGTCATCATTTGGGCGGCGGCTTTTTCTCTTCTCCCCTTTTCTCCATCCATCAAAGGCACACACCCTCTCCGTCGGACCATCTATAAACATGTTTTCGCGGGGACTTCGCTCGGCGGCAGCACCGGCTGTCCGCTCGCTCAACCAGCCTCTGCGAACAAATGCCCCTGGTGTGGCGGTGAGTCCTTCTGCCACCATCAAATCGATGCAAAGGAAGTGATCTGTGTATGCTCATGGTATTTCTCTGTTCCTCTACGACTTTAGCGGCTTGCTCCCATGAGCGCACGATGGAACTCATCGAAGCCTACCGGACCTGTTATTGGCATTGACCTGGGAAGTGAGTAGCGGCCGCGACTTCGAATCTGAACGCGCAGTAGTCATGGTTGCTTACCCCGGGTTTACTCAACCAGCCACCAACTCGTGTGTTTCCGTCATGGAGGGACAGCAGGCTCGTGTTATCGAGAACTCGGAGGGCGGGCGAACAACGCCGTCGGTCGTTGCCTTCACAAAAGATGGCGAGAGGCTCGTTGGTGTTCCGGCCAAGCGTCAGGCCGTGGTCAACCCTGAGAACACCCTGTTTGCCACCAAGCGTCTCATCGGCCGGAAGTTCCAGGACAAGGAGGTGCAGAAGGATCTGGACAACGTGCCCTTCAAGATTGTTCCCCACTCCAACGGCGATGCATGGCTTGAGGTCAGGGGCGAGAAGTACTCGCCCAGCCAGATTGGTGCTTTTGTCGTTGGAAAGATGAAGGATACGGCCTCGGCGTACCTCGGCAAGCCTGTCAAGCACGCCGTCATCACTGTTCCTGCCTATTTCAACGACGCCCAGAGGCAGTCCACGAAGGACGCTGGTACCATTGCCGGTCTTGACGTTCTCCGAGTCATCAACGAGCCTACGGCCGCCGCCCTTGCTTACGGTCTCGACAAGCAGGACAGCGCCCAGATTGCCGTCTTCGACCTGGGTGGTGGTACGTTCGACATTTCGATCCTCGAGATGCAGAAGGGTGTCTTCGAGGTCAAGTCGACCAACGGTGACACTCACCTTGGTGGTGAGGACTTTGACATTGTGCTTGTCGAGCACCTCGTCAAGGAGTTCCAGAAGGAGAGTGGTATCGACCTTGGCAAGGACCGCATGGCTATCCAGCGTATCCGTGAGGCCGCTGAAAAGGCAAAGATCGAGCTCTCGAGCACCAGCCAGACCGACATCAGCCTTCCCTACATCACCGCCGACGCCTCGGGCCCCAAGCACATCAACACCAAGATGAGCCGTGCCCAGCTCGAGAGCCTGTGCGCCAAGCTCATTGACCGGACTGTTGAGCCCTGCAAGAAGGCCCTGTCTGACGCTGGTGCCAAGCCTAACGACATCAACGAGGTCATCATGGTCGGCGGCATGAGCCGAATGCCCAAGGTCCTCGAGACCGTCAAGGACATCTTCAAGCGGGACCCCTCCAAGGGTGTCAACCCCGACGAGGCTGTTGCTATTGGCGCCTCGATCCAGGGTGGTGTTCTTTCCGGCCAGGTCACCGACATTCTCCTCCTCGACGTTACACCTCTCTCGCTCGGTATCAACACCCTCGGCGGCGTCTTTACCCGTCTCATCAACCGAAACACTACGATTCCCACCAAGAAGAGCCAGGTCTTCTCGACGGCTGCGGACCACCAGTCGGCCGTCGACATCCAGGTTTACCAGGGCGAGCGAGAGCTGGTCCGAGACAACAAGCTCCTCGGCAACTTCCAGCTTACCGGCCTGCCCCCGGCGCCAAAGGGTGTTCCTCAGATCGAGGTCACCTTCGACATCAACGCTGACGGCATCGTCAACGTGTCCGCCAAGGACAAGGCAACGGGCAAGGACCAGAGCATGACCATTGCCGCCGGCTCGGGTCTTTCAGACTCGGAGATTGACCGCATGGTTTCGGACGCTGAGCAGTACGCAGAGGCCGACAAGGCCCGCAAGGCTGTCATCGAGGAGTCGAACCACGCCCAGAGCGTGGCTGCCGAGACGAGCAAGGCTCTGAACGAGTTTGCCGACAAGGTCGACAAGGAGGAGAGCGAGAAGGTGCAGGCACTTATCAAGGAGCTCGAGGAGATTGCTGCCAAGGGCCAGGCTGGCGAGGCTGGCGTCGAGGCTGCTACGATCAAGGCCAAGATCGACGAGACACAGCAGGCGTCGCTCGGTATCTTCAAGAAGGTCTACGAGCAGCGACAGGCTCAGGCCGACCAGAATGCCAACGCCCAGGGCTCCGGTGAGGGCGAGAAGAAGGAGTAAGGGACTGGACCGGACTCTTGTTAGAAACCAAAAGCCATTATCCTCTTCATATCAAAAAGTAGAAAAGCCCGCTCCTCTCTTTCTTTAGTAGTAGTCTCAATGTACACTGGATCACCATTCACCGCTTCATCTTGCTTGTCCCTTCGTTGTTGATGTGTGTGTTTGCTCTGCTCTGAACACGTTTGTCGAAGATCTTGCGCTGCTTCTTTCGAGACCCCCGAGGCTGGGAATGAGTCGGAAGACGAGAAAATCTCCTTACCACGTGGCCTGTCCATCGCTTTCCATTTTTTTTCTGCCTCCATCTTCCGACCGAGCAGGATCTTCTCGGGCCTGATGTCAGCTTTCCCTTCTTAGATAAACTTCGACCCGGACAAAGAAGCGGCTGTCCGTTCGACATCCTATCTACAACCATCCGTTTCCTCGCCCATCAGCTGGGGCAGGCTGAGCCGAATCCATAAGCGAGAGAGGCCACGCCGCACACCAGCCCCCTGATCGCTCTTATATGGCCGAGGTTGACGTCTGCACACGGGTATGCGCTTCCATGTGGTCGGGGTGGGCGCTGTCGGCAGCCTGCTTGCCTTCCACCTCAAACGCAGCTCTCGACGGCTCCTCGCCGCCACCGCAGCGACGCTACCTGGCCTCGGTGGCAACAGCGGCACCAGCGGCACCAGCGGCAGCGATAGGAGCGACGAAGCGCAGCGGTACCTGCGCTCGCTGCCGGCGCCGCATGCCCTGCCCTATCTGCCGCCGCCGCACGAACAGGGCATCGTGCTTCGCATGCGCAAGTTTGCCTATGCCTCAAGAGCAATACGGCGCTCCGACGCCAGCGTCGCTGTTCAGCGCGACGATGTCTGGGACAAGGAGACGGCATTCGCGGTCATCCACGACGGTGACGACTACAGCGGGATACCGAGCTCGACCGAGCCAGGCACAAAGCTGCCAAGGGACAGCGAGAGCCAGACGGTGGAATGGGGGCGATCTTACTGCCAGCAGGCCGGCTTCGGAACAGAGGAAGCCATCGACAGCATCATTGTCGCGACAAAGGCGCAGAACGTCCTCGGTGCCCTTCAGCCAATCTCGCAGCACATTACTCGCGCCACGACGATTGTCCTGGTGCAAAACGGACAGGGCGTCTTGGATCTGCTCCTCGAACGACTGTTCCAGAACCCAGAGACGAGGCCAAACTTTATCCTGGCGAGCAATACCCATGGTGTCTTTCGAAAGGGCCAGCTGCATGTGCTCCATACAGCCTTTGGGCGACTGGACTTTGGCATCGTGCCAAACGCGTACACGGGCAACGACTACGAGAAGCTGCTTGCGAAACAGAACGATGGAGAGGGGGACCGAAGTGGGCAAGGGGAGGATGAGAAGAAGGAGGAGGGGCAAGGGAGAGGGATACGAGCCGAAGATGGGAGTGACAGCGAGGGCAGTCGACAGAACGAATGGGAGGCTTTCCTCCCCAAATCTGCGCAAGCAAGAAGACGGATAGAGAGGGCGAGAGAGCGAAGCGCAGGGATACCCAATGCACCGTTGCTCGACGTCGGCGCGATTCCAGACCTCCCGGAGACGCAGACGCTGCGAGCAACAGTGGCGATGCTCCTCAATCTGCCCCTTGACGTGCACTGGCATCCGATCCGAGGCCTGCAGATGATCGCGTTGCGGAAACTCGCAGTGAACGCCTGCATCAATCCCTTGACGGCGCTGAGCGAGGTCGAAAATGGCCAGCTGCTCGGGAATGGATCGGCAGAAGAAGCCATGCGTGACGTCTGCACGGAAGCCAGCCAGGTGCTCGAGGCCCAGATCCTTCGTTCGCACCACGCAGCCCTGGCTCGCGACACGGAGCGCGAGGCGGGACAGGAAGGCGGCGAGGAGCAAGCAAATGAAGACGTGCGCGACCTCATGTTGACGCCCACTTCGCTTCCAGGCTACTCGTCGCAGACGGGCGTGCCCGCGCTGGACCCTTCACTGCGCGCCGGTGCGCTTTTGGCAGAGGCCAAGCGCGTCGCTCGTCTCACGGCCCGCAACAAGTCAAGCATGCTGCAGGACGTCATGAATGGCGCAAAGACGACCGAGATCCAGTTCATCAATGGCTACCTTTCCCGTCTTGGCAGGTCCTTTGGCATCCCGACGCCGGTCAATGATCTCCTCGTCAAGCTTGTCAACTTTAAGATTTCAAAGAATTCGGCGCCGGGGGCCAGGAGCCGCTACCCTCGAAGCGGCCTATGAGTTTCAGCTCCTTCATACCATTGAACCACGTCTTCGCTTATAATTCATCATCGTCATCATCGTCATCATCATCATCAGGATCGCCTACAGCATCTTAGACAATCACCTCTCTTTCGTGCTCACTCTCTCCCAATCCGCAATACTGTATTGTTGTATAGCAGAAAACAATGCATCTCTTCACAAAGTCTTTGGCTTGCGCCTATTTGTGCAGGGGCAACTCCCTCCCTCTTCTTTCTCTCTTCGTCACTTTACTCTTTTTCGAGCAGCGCGATCGCCTCAGTCCGCCCGCTTCTCAGTGCGACTCGGCACAAGCGTCTCCCTGCTCTCGTTTTCCTCGTCCCGGCTCATGAGCCCCTCCCTCTCACTCTCTGAACCCGGGTGGTCCGGGCCCGCGCCTCTCGTCCTCTTGGGCGTCTCTGCGTCCTCCTCGTCGCCAATCTGGAACACGACTTCCTCGGCATCGGCCTCCGTCGTCGCCACGCTCGGGCTCCTCGCCAGCGCCGCCTGGTTATTTCTCGCCGTGCCTTGCCCGCTGCCAGCCTTGGACCCAGGTCCCGCTGCACCGCCCTCTTCCTCGTCAAAGTCCCCACCGGGACCCTGCTGGGTCCCGAACTCGTCGATTTCGTAGTCCTCACCGTCGAGCCCCTCGTCCTGCGCCAATTCGTCGGACATGGACAGCCTGAGGTTCTGGCCAGTCGGCCTCCAGAGCCAAGCAATGAGACTGAAGACGACGAGGTAAAGGATGCCCATCCAGCCATCAAGGAGGAACCAGCGATAGGGCCACGTCGAAGGACTGAACGACTCGCCGCCCGATTGGGAAAAGGCAATCGACGTGAGGACGAAAAAGGCAAAGATGGCAACGACTGCGCCAAGGAGGATCCGATAGAGCTGCGAGAACATTTGTCTCTTGAAAGCTGTGAACAGACATCGTCAGCCTTGTGATCTTAATGGGGTGTTTGTGAATCATAAATGTCAAGCACAAGAAGGTACCCACTCTGCTTTCGGGCCTTGAGGTATTCGATGGTGGCATTGAGCGAGTGCAGCGTCCACATCATGAACGCCGTCAGCGTGAAGGCGAGGGGGAAGATGAAGACAAAGATCCAGCCACCGCCCTGCTCTGTGACGATGAGGACGATGCCGACCGAGTAGAGGACACCGCAGACGAAGTGGACGGCCGTCAAGATGCGCACACGCGTCATGACGGAGCCGATGGTGGGACGGACGACACCATAGCCCATCGAGACGATGAGAAGGAGGAAGAGAGACGTCGAGTTGCGCGCTGCGTCGAGGATGCTCGTCAGCACCAAAAGCGTTCTAGCACTTGCAGTGACCGAGGCCACATGATCCAGCGAGGAGATGCGCCAGTAGTCCATGGTGTGTTTGTTGAGGTAGGCGTAGTAGCCCCATTGCGCCGAGCAGCCCAGGATGAGCAGGACGATGGTGGCAGAGACAAAGTGTTGGACCATGAGGAGTCTTTTTCGTGAACCAGTGTCAGTTCTGCTCGACCACTGTGGACCAACGCTATAATTTGGACTCACTCGTCTCGATGTCGGACGCAGAGGTATAGCCAGCAGCCACCAAGAAGCATGTAGACGGTGGTGAGGGCAAAGTAGAACTGCAGTTTGGGATACTCGGTAGCCGGGAGGTCACCCTCAAAGGCGTTGATGAACTTGATGCGGCCCACAAAGTGCGAGTGGAAGTCGCCGCTGCCGGGAGGTTGCGTTGTCATGGGTACCGCGGCTGCAAATTGCCAAGGAGGACCGGGTCAGCACATCTCTTCAGCTCGTGGACCGAAAGCCGAGGTCTACAAGCCTCACTCGCACCAATGCAGTAGTACCCGGCCTTTGTCACATTGTATCTCTACATCGATCAAGTCAGCCTCGGCAGTCCAAAGATCGAGTATTGTCTTTGCAAGAAAGCGAGGCTCACAGTAATTGCTCCATCGGCCCGACCGCTACCGCCGCCCAGGTTGATTCTCTCGGTCACGATGCTCGTGCCGTTTGTGCCATCGGCGATTATGAAGGTGCCCAGTTGATCTTGGGTGCATATACCCTGCCCTACGGCGTGCGAGGTGCAGATGTAGGTCTTGACCTGGCAAAGAGCAAAGGAGACGGGCACATGAGCAGAAGCAAGCTGAAGACAAGAGGTAGCGGGAACGCACTGGAAAGCCAAGAACATCTCGATCCTTTGACTCCTTTCCCACTTTGTCGAAGTCGCTGTACTCGTAGAAGAGTGTCGAGACGGTGCCAGCCGAGGAGACATCGAACGACACTGTAGCAAGAAGACGGACAGCGGCATGTGAGCTCCAGCTCCAGGGCGATCCTGAAAAGATTGACAGCACTCCATACTCACACTCTATGCCAGTATCTTTCCCACTCCACATGCCACTGCACGACTGCCGAAGGGGATCTGCATCGGTGATCTCTACTTGATAGGCTTCGACGGCCGGTATCGCAAGGCTGACGACGAGCGCACCGGCAAAGGCCACGAGGCCACCGAGCGTGGAGCGCAACATGACGCCGTGAAGCCGATCGCTCAAGACTGCTTCCTTTCCCTGTGACACCCACAGAGTCCACGAATCAGCGAGCGATGATCACTGATCCAGAAGTGAAAGGAGAGGAGGAAGAGAGAGAGGCCGGAGGCCAGGTTGAAGTCGAGGTGAAACTCCAAAAAGTTAAAAGACGTTTCGCTGACGGCTCGAGCGCTCGAGCCGTGCGCCGCCACGCCGGCGCCACGAAAAGCTCTTCTCAAGCCACGCGACGCTCTTCACGCCTTCCTGTCCAAACAACACCTTGACATTGCCGCAACAACTCAAAGACGATCGCAGCGTGGTCGCAATCAATCTTGACAATGCTCGACCATAAGCTCCGTCCTCTCCTGCCTTCCCTTTCTCGTACCCCATAGAAGATGAAGCCACTGACAACTGCCAGCCACTCCACGTGGAAAGTGTTGCTTTCGTCTTGAGCTTTCTTCTTAGAGCTTGCCTGCTCCACAAAGGGACCTCGAACAACGCAAGGCCTCCTTTTCTCGTTCCCTTTCTCTCGTTTTCCTGAAGGAAGGCCACCATTTGCCTGCTCAATGCTTTCTGTCAGGCAACCAAGACTGCGGCGACGACGAGGTTAGGCTAAAGGGCGGAAAAGGCGCACGGTTCGCCGGACACTGGACGCCGGCTTTGGAGTGAACGCCTCACGCGAGGCCAGCCACTTTATCTTTCGACGCCCGCTCCTTCCTGAGCAAACAGCCCCTCCTTCCTTTCACCATACATCGCTATGAACGGCCCATCACCCACGGAATGGCCCTCGTTGCCCGCTTCGGCGATGCCCAAGCCAGTCGCCAACAGCCAGTACCGAAGCGGCAACTACAAGGCTTTAGGGGAGACTATCCAACCCTCTTCGCTCGAAGGCCCTCGACCGGTACCAGTGATGTTTGGCAGGCCAACACCGATGGGGCACAACAGAGTCATGTTTACAAGCTTGCCACAGCAGCAAGCATATCAGATGGCCTCTGGTTGGCAGCAACAACAACAACAACAACAACAACAACAGCCAGGAGCTTGGGTGCTGACACCTCCTCCGAGGCCGCCAGTGCTGCCACCGAATCCGCACGCAATGGCCGCGCCGGCCCGATCGGTACCGACCGGCATGCCTCCACCAGGCCTTGGACATTATCGTCCTCGCCCCGGTAATCGACCCCAGATGGCAGCGCCGAGACCTCACGAAGCCCCTCCTGTTCCTCCCGGCCTTGTTCAACGAAGCGCAACTGGGTGGCCTGTTGGACCCCAAATACCCCCGTCGATGTCGGGAGGCAGCGTTAGCATCGGAAAAGAAGCACATCTCGACAGTGGCAACGACAATGGTCGAGCTCAAGGCCATGACCTGACGATAGCGAATGCCACAGCAATGCGCTCGAACTCTTCCTCTAATGGACACCAAAGCATCCTATTGGACTCGTCTTCCCTGGGTCAGCAGAGCCCAGATCTGACCGAGACCCATTCATCACCGCCCACGACGCTGCGCAAGTCGTCGAGCCAGGAGCGTGTCGCAAATGAAGATCAGCTCCTCACACCAGGCCTCGATCGATATGCGCCCATCTACACGCCGTCCTGGCTCCAACAGGTCAACGAGGACCGACTGTTTACATTGCACCCTCTACCAGAGAGACTCCCCATCGATTTCCAGGCCTATTCGTCGGAGTTTCTACCTCCAAGCCTCTATTGGAGCGAAGCGGACGAGGATGAAGAAATGAAAATTGACGACGAAGAGGCCGCACTCGCTGAAGACCCGCCGCTGGAAAGAGCAGATTCTTCCTGGCTCGCATCGGGAAAGGACGATGCAGCTGAACAAGCGCTCGGAGGCGAATTGGAGCCCGAGGGTCCTCTTGTCGACGAAGCACCTGCCAACGATACGGCTCATGCCTCTGTGGGTGCCGTGTCGCAGCAGGCTCATGGCGACGGTGAACCTCTTCTCTCGGCGGGGCTGGCCTCTACAGCGCAATTGGTAGCTGAATGTCCCTCCCCTTCGGAGCCGATACCCCCACTGGAACCAGAGTCGTATGCGGAGAGGTTTGACATTCTCGAGCGGCTCGAGGTCGATCATAGAGGAAGGGAACTCGCCAAACAGACACTCTTTAGCGTCAAGCTCCGTGTCTACCACCCGCCGGGAAACGCTCACGGCGACAGTCCATGGAGCTCGTCAAATCTCTACATTCTTGACTTACCCGGCGTCCGTGAAGACTACCCTGCGCTGATGCCTGGCGACCTGATGCAGCTCCGAACGCTGGCCTCGCAGTCCGACTCATGGCTCAAGGTGGCCTTTGAGGCTCGTGTCCACGTCGTGCGCAGGGTAGAGGGTACCGTCATCCTGCGGTGCGATGCTCTGGCGAGAGAATTGAGGAGCCTCTTTCCCTCTGTGGAACAAGCGAGGTTCAATGTGCTTTTCATGAGCCTGCAACGCAACACGACAGAGGTAGTACAGGATGTCGCTAGGCTTGGCAAGCTGCTGAAGCGCAAGTCTAGGCCGGCCAACATCCTCAAGCGCTGGATTTTCCCGACAGCCCACCACCTGGACACAGGGAGAGAGGGCGAGGGATGGAAGCGCGAGGACCTTGACTGGGTGGATGGAAGTCTGAATGCAGAGCAGAAGGTGAGCCACAAGTGTCTCGCTCTGGTTTCGTATATCGCGAGCTGACAGAGGAAAGCTAAAGGGAGCTGTGTTCGACATTGCAATGCGCTCCCACCGCATTCCCTACCTCGTCGCGGGGCCACCGGGTACAGGCAAGACAAAGACACTGGTGGAAGCGACGCTGCAAATCGTCCGAAATGACCAAGACGCCACGGTGCTTCTCGCTGCGCCCAGCAACACGGCTGCCGACACGTTGGCCCTCCGACTGGCTGCACACTTTGGGCCTGGCCAGATGGTGCGACTCAACGATCCGACCAGGACGTTTGCCGAGGTGCCCGAGAGGCTCCTGTTGTTCTGCTGCATCGAGGAGCAAAAGGATGGAGAGGATGACAACGCGGCTGCATTTGGCCTGCCGCCGTGGAAGAAGCTCATGGGCATGCGCGTCGTCGTCATGGCGACGCACGACGTGCCGCTGCTCCATCGTACAAGAGGAGCCTCTAATGTTGACTTGGGCAGGCTGCATAACTGCGTCGTGTCGAGTTTCAGGCAGGGTGGCGTTGTTCCTCGGCCAAGGAATCACTGGACGCACCTCATCATCGATGAAGCGGGACAGGCGACCGAGGCAGACCTCTCGAGTGCGCTCCTCTGCGTTGTGCCTTCTCCCTTTACCGACAAGGCCCTTCCTCCCCCCACGGTGGTGCTGTGCGGCGACTGCAATCAGCTTGGTGCACAGATCCAGTCCAACGCAGCGAGGAATGCCGGTCTGGACGTCTCGCTTCTGGAGCGATTGAGCGAGCGGAGCGTGTACAAGGACGAGCTCAAGAGGCTCAGGAAACAGGGCAGGGAGGCCCTAATGGCCGGCAACTTTGGGCCCGGCGTCGATGGCATTGTGGGCAGGGTAGTCGACGGAGGAAATTCGACGGCTGCACACCTAGTTCGAAATTACCGAGCGAGAAACCCAGCACTGCTGTGAGTGAAGGAAGACTTGGAAACTGTCGCCTCAACTCGTAACTTGACAGGATGAGCTGACACTGGGAGGCATTTGGCAGGCATGTCGTTTCGAATCTCTTCTACGACGATGCACTACTGCCGTGTGGGCCATTGCCCACTCTACAGACGTCTTTGTGGCCGCTCCTTCCAAACAAAGACTGTCCTCTTCTATTCGATAACGTCGAGGGTCAGGACGCATGGGTCGACGAAGGTGCCAGCTTCTACAACAACATGGAGATCGACCGCGTCGTGGAGCTCGTCGAGAGCCTCACTGGACGGTCATCCACCACCACGGGTGACAAAAAGGGTACGCGGATCGTGGGCGCCAAGGACATTGCCGTCATTACGCCGTACCGCGAGCAGGTGTGGCGCATTCGGTTGGCTCTTCGGAAACGCGAGTTGGCCGCTGTTAATGTGGGCCACGTCGAGGTGTTCCAAGGCGCAGAGCACCTGGTGACGATTCTGTCGACGGTGAGGACCTCGGCGCGGTTCCTCCGAGTCGACGCGGCCAGGTCGATGGGCCTGCTGTTTGAGAGAAAGAGGCTGTGCGTGGCCATCAGCAGGGCAAAGGAGCTACTCATCGTCGTGGGGAACGCGTCGTTGCTGATGAGGGACCCCTACTGGAGGAGCTTGCTGGAGCACGCAGTCAGGACGAACACCTTTAGGGGCCAGCCGCCGGAGAAGCTGGGCATCGAAGCAGGCTCAGACGAGGTCAATGGAGGCGGTCAGATCAGCGCGCTGGAGTACGCGGCGAGGGCAAATGATCCATCTTCTGCCGCCGGCGATACGGCGCTGCTGGCTGGCCGCATGGCAGCCTCTACGCTTCTCGAGGACGACTGACTGGCAGAACAGTCAAACGGCAATGCTCGCATTGTTGTATGCTAGAAGAAACCAGGCAATGGCAAACACACACAGTGAGGCCTAATATATGCCCTTATGGCAAAGGCACTCTTGAGTCCTTTTGATCTCTCAGAGACCAGCACCACTGGATGATGCGGTCTGCATCGACGTCCTTTCTGCCCGCGTGGACGTTGACGAGTCTTTTGAACTTCTCCTCGAGCTCCTCTCTCGAGAGGGTGTTGCCCGGATCGCCCTTTGGCTCGTCGCACCTGCCATGGACGACGGTGCCGTCGCTGAGCTCGACGTCGACGCGGCCGAGCCAGCGAGCGGGGTAGGCGTTGTCGACCTCCTTGTCGAGCTCCATGTGGACCTTGTCACGGAAGGCGAGCACCTCTGGGTCTTTGAGTGCATACGTCTCAAAGTCCGACAGGGCCGCGGCGCCCTTGCATGCGATGAGGGCCAACGTCGACTTCATGCTGAACTTGGCCGCGTGGATCGACTGTGGGCCCTGCTCGAGCGCATCGACGGGGCCCAGGACGTCGAGGGCGGCCTGGTGGACCTTAGCTGTGACGCGCTTGATGTTGGCGCGGTCGACCTTTGTGAGGGCGTCGAGGAGGGCGTCGGCAGAGGGGTGCGTGTGGCGGCAGCAGGCGTGCCACTTGAAGCTTGTCTCGAGGAGCGCCCAGCGCGGCTGTCCAAACGGTACGGCAAGCTTGGCCGCATCGGTGTCATCCTTTGCCATGCCGACCATGAGGCCCTGGGGCCCTTGGACAATGTCGTCGGCGCCCCTCACGCCATCGCGGGCGAGGTAGGCCGAGAGGAGGCCCGTGGAGGCAGCATGGGCGCAGTGCAGCTGCTTCGACTCGCCTGCGCCCGTCCGCAGGAACTCCCAGAGCCCGCTGGCCTGGGTGCCGCTGGATCCGAGGGCCGACGTGAGTCCGGCCATGTCGAGGTTGAGGAGCTTGGCGACGGCGAGGCCAGCGGCAACGGTGCCCACGGTCGACGTCGTGTGGAAGGTGCGGTAATGGGACCGGCCGAGCGACTCAGCGAGCCGTATGCCTGCCTCGTATCCCGCAATGCTCGACAGGAGCATCGCCCGGCCCGACAGACCAGCGTCCTGAGCGGCAGAGAGCGCTGCAGGGAAGATGACGCTGGTCCACAACACGGCACCCTCTTCTCTTTCAGCAAATTGATGACCAACCATGCAGCCAGCCAGTCACTCCTATACTCACGTCGCGGGGTGCATGACTGATGAGTTGTGCAGATCGTCCTGCTCGAGCGTGTGCGAGGCAGCACCGTTGAGCCATGCGGCCCAGTATGCGCTCGTGGATGTGTTGCCACCGCCGACATCAGGCAGCGCGAGCAGCTGTGAGCGACCGTTGTGGGGGCCCATCTGCTGCATCAGGCGCGCAAATGCCGGGATCGGGTGCGTATGGCACGACGCCATGGCCGAAGCGAGCCAGTCGAGAAAGAGCTCCTCGGTGCGGAGCCAGACCTGCTCGGGCAAATCGGCCTCGCGCAGCTCGTGCACATTGTGGAGCAGCTGCTGCGTCTCGGATGACGTCGAGCTCGACATGGTGCGTATGGAAGACGAGGCAGCAATCCTTGAAGCGGCGATGGGCAAGCACAGCAATCTAGTCTTTCTCGGTGCTGTTGTTGCTGCTCGAAGAGGGACGGCAAAGAGGCTGTACGATCTGTGGAAGGTCATGGTCCCCACCGTCGATGCTCTGAGCATTTCCCTCTTCTTTTTGTGGAGAAGGGTGGCTTTGGGGGTTTTAATTTAAAGCTTGCGCTAACGGCCAATGTCCCAGCCGGGTCCACGCCGGCTTAGTCGCTTGCTTTCATTCGCCGAACGGGTTCGCCCTTGCAATCAAGACTAAGACCGAGATGTGGTGCTAAATGACGGCATTAGTCGGACGATGAGGTACACATTGCATTGCACCAAAAGAAATCTGAACTTGGCGGGATGGTGCGTGAATGTATCGCAGCGCAGAGAGGAAGGCTGGAGGACATGGAGATGGAGCGCGGAGAGGAGAGGAGCCTGACTCATGCTCAATGGACACGTCCAAACGTAAAGGTCTAAATTTGCTTGCATGAGAACGAAGGCGTCCGGTCACCACCTTAAGGGCTCAGAGAGAAAAGAGAAACGGATGGACAAGGGAAGCTTGGAACAAAGAGACAGGCTCTAGAAGTCGCCGCCACCCATCTGTGCACGAGGAAAGAGAAGCATGGTTAGGCATATTAAAGTCGTAGGCACCGTGCAAGCATTCAACTTACGTCATCACCGCCGCCAAAGTCGCCTCCGCCGCCATCGTTGTTCTGACCATCGTCGTAGCCATCTCTGTAGGCGTCATCCTGCATGTCGTCAAACTCGTTGGCGATGAGGGCGCCGCCGAGGAGACCGGCACCCGCGCCCAGGGCCATGCCGCCCATGCCCATGCCACCCATGCCACCCATCCTTCCACCGCCCAGGCGCCCACCGCCGAGACCGCCGCCTCCCAGACCACCGAAGCGGCCGCCGCTCTGGGCCATCATTGGCTGCTGCTGCATGTAAGGCTGCTGCTGCATGTACGGTTGCTGCTGCATGTATGGCTGCTGCTGCTGCTGCATGTAGGGCTGTTGCTGGTAGGGCATCTGGCCGCCGTAGCCTTGCTGCTGCTGAGGCGGAGGAGGACCAGAGGGTGGAGCAAAGCTGCCAGATGGTCCTCCCTGCTTGCTGTTGCCGCCCTCTTCGTCGTGTGGGTGGACCCAGATCGACCGAGGCGGATTGGCCCGCGTGTCGACGTAGAAATACCGGTTGTAGTTGCTGTCCCACTGCTTGACCCAGCCCTCCGGAAGCGGCCTGTCGTCGCCCTTGCTGTCGCCTGCTGCTCCCGAAGAAGGGGTCGGCGAGGTACCGCCATACTGGGGCTGTGGCGATGGCTGGCCGTATCCGCCCCCACCGGGTTGGGGAAAGCCACCAGCATACCCGCCGCTGCCACCGTAGCCACCGCTGCCACCGCTGCCTCCATACTGGCCTCCATACTGACCGCTCTGTGGCCGTCCGCTGCCTTGCGCCTTTGCAGCGAGCTTATCGAGGAGTCCCATGATTGTCTTGTTGTCGTGGAAGGAGGTGGTGTGAAAGGGGATGAGGCAGTGTCTCGGTGCCAAGCATAGAAGCCTCCACTAGTTCCATCTCCACGTGCGCAGCAAGCCCCTACTTGTTCAACGTGCCGGGCCATTCCAACCGACCGTCGCCATGGCTGCAGCCAAGTCAGAAGCCATTGTCATCAGTAGAAGGGAGCGTTGACGTCTTTCACTTCGAGTCCTGTGATGGTAGATGAGCAAATCGATCAGTCAGCAGCAAGGGTGGACCAAAAGGGAGGAAGGGTGGTGTGAGTGGGCCGTGCGTGTTGTATGTTCACGTGACCCGAACAAGAAGCTCGACGCCTCTCTCTCTCTCTCTATTTTCGTGAAGACGGCACTTCTTCACGTTTGGCCTTGAGGAGGAGAGGGACCAGGCGACCAAGAAGATGGTGCTCTCGGCTTACCATGCTCAGGTGATGTCGCCAAGCGGGGCGGCGTTTGCCGTTGCCCTGCACTTGATGCCATACAACACCTCCTCGACGAGGGCATCAACGTCATCGAATCGCATCGTGCCAGACAGCTACGCTCACCGTGGCCAGCTCGTCGCGCATGTCGTGACCGCCAGGGATGATGTCCTTTCCGTGTACGAGGTTAGACGACGACTAGATGCAGAAGATGTGCAGATCTACCTCCTTCGGACCCATCGTCTCTTTGGTGTCGTGACGGGCTTGGGCAAATGTGCCATTGGATCTCCAAGCTCTTCGTCGTCGGACCCCTCGTCGTCGTCGTCATCGGAGCGGGACCGAGACACCCTCGTCGTCTCCTTTCGTGACGCAAAGATGGCCCTTATGCAATGGTCAGAGGCAGATGCAGACCTTATCACCGTCTCGATACACACGTACGAGCGTGCCCCACAAATGGCCGATGGCCTTCCTCCCAACTTCCTCCCCATCCTCGCTCTCGATCCGGACTCGCGATGCGCAGCACTGCTCCTTCCCGAGGACTCGCTCGCTCTTCTTCCCTTTTACAACGACACAGCAGCTGAACTCGACGAAATGCTCGAATTGGCCGAACGTCAGGCTAATGGGACCTTGTCGCTGGACAATGCGCTACCCTATGCGCCTTCCTTTCTTCTCTCGTTGCAAGAGGCCGACGAAGACGTCAAAAATGTCAAGGACGTCGTTTTTCTTCCCAATTTCCAGAGACCGACGGTGGCCATTCTCTTCGAGCGCGAGGCGACTTGGACGGGCCGCCTGTCCGAACACCTCGACACCTGCTCGCTTCACCTCGTCACCCTCGACCTCGCCTCGGCACCTTCATCCACCACAAGCTCGCACAGTGTCATTAGCACCAGAGACTCACTCCCATTTGACTGCCTCTACATCCACGCCTGTCCCGCCAGCATCGGTGGTGGTGTCTTTGTCGTGACGACCTCGGCTATCTTTCACGTCGACCAGGGCGGTCGCGTCGTGGGGCTGGCCGTGAATGGATGGCACGAGCAGACGAGCAAACTAAATCTTCCGAGGTGGAGATCATCAGCTGGCAAGGTGGAACAAGCCAATGGCACAGGAGGAGAGCAACTCAACCTCGCCAATTCGCACCTCCTCTTCCCGGATCCAGACAAGTCGACCTCGGCGCTGCTGTTTCTCGAGGATGGCGACGTGTACTCTGTCCACTGTGAGCTGGACGGAAGAACGCTGTCAGGCTTGGGCTTGGAGAAGCGCGCAGAGACGGTACAGCCTGCTCTTGCGACAATGCTGCCAGAGTCGGACCTTTTGTTCGCTGGAAGCATGCTGGGTCGGTCCGAGCTTCTCAGGGTGCGGCAGAAGAGGGTGACCGCAGGGCCTGGCCAGGCCTCAGAGGCACAGCAGGGAAGCAACGGAAAAATCGAAGAAGACGCAGACATGGACCTCGACGATGGTGAGTGAGACCGCCCCTGACAATTAGAGCGAGCCTTTTCTGACATGCGTCCGACTCAGATCTGTACGGCGATTCGGCCATGCCCGCCTCATCGAATGGGGGATCTGGAGGAGAGTTCTCAAGATCCAGACTCGACTGGGAGATCGAGGCTGTGGCCTCGCTGCCGGCCATGGGACCTCTCCACTCCTTTACACCAATGGTCAGCGCCGAAGAGAGCATCGATGGCGACAGCGGCGTTCCTCAGACGGCAGCCTGCGTGGGAGGTGGCAGAGAGGGAGGTGTAGCGCTTCTCGAGCCCAAGGTGGTTCCGCGCAAGAGACGGAGGCTTCCCCTGACTGCCAGTTGCGGACTCTGGCACCTTGACAGCGACGCTGCCCAGGGACAGATGACGATTCTCGTTTCGTACGACAAAAGAAGCGAGATTTGCTCGGTGAAGCTCGACGACTGCACCGTGGCGTCGAGCGTGCATCTCGATGGTCGGACTCTGGCAGCCTGTTCTCTAGGCACCAAGGCAGAAGGTCTGCGGGTCCTCCGCGCAACTTCCCAGGGCTTGCAGCTTGTGGACGACGATGGACAGGTCATCTGCGATTCGGCACCGAAGAAGGGGAAGGGCAAGCGACAGCAAGCAGAAGATGGCCTGGAAGTCTATCAGGCCACGCTGCAGGCCCCCTTTGCGGCTCTACTTCGCAGTGATGGCTCGCTGAAGCTGTTCAGGTGCGATAATACATCACTGGAAGAGGTTGAGTTGGGCGAAAACTTGAGCCAGGGCAGGTTCATGTCTGCCAACATCTTTGAAGATAGGTACGGGATACTGCAAAAGAGACCAGAGAGCGGAAAAAAGAGCGCCAATGGTCACGAGGCCAGGGCAAAGCCCTCGCGAGCGATGGATGAGGACGAGGAGATAGATTATGGCGACGAGGAAATCGAAGAGGCGCTAGCGAAACCTGTCGCAAATGGGCTTGTCGAAGAGAACAAGCTCTCACTCTGGCTCGCTCTCGTCTCGAGTCGCGGCTCGGTGCAGCTCCACGACCTCGCCTCGGTCTCGCAGTGTGCCTGGCGCTCCAATTCCCTGTATCCCTCGCCGTCCCGATTGGATCTCGTTGAGGGCACAGTCGAAGAAGGTGGCACGGCGATGGATATTGGCCAGGTCTTCGTCTCGCACATCGGCGATCTTCTCCACATCGTCGTGGTTTATGACAACGGCCTTATGAGCGTGTACGAGGCCAACGCTGGGCATGGCAATGAGGATCTCAATCTGAGCTTTGTCAAGGTCTTTGCTTGGCATCTGGACCCCGCTGGCCTCAGCGTTCTGCGCCCGCCCAACGGTGAAGTTGCCTCGGGCATTCGGCCCTCGTTGCGCGCCTTTGTTCACCAGGATCGCCGCGCCTGCGTCTTCGTCGGAGGTCTGAATCCTGGCTGGCTAATGCGGACGCCGCTTGGTCCCCTCAACTTTTTCGAATGCGCCGTCTCGCCCATCGATGCGTGCGACGTCACGGCTTACGAACAAGCAGTGCCCACCACATTTGTCTACTCACAGTATGGCATGGTCGGCCTCGCTCAACTTCCCGATCTCGACTACACGCTGCCCATCGCACATCGTCGACTCCAGACGGGACGGACATACACGAATGCTGCGCCTCACCCGTTCACAAAGACGCTCGTGGCCGCCTCTGTCCTTGAGCAGGACTTCGTTCTCTTCGATCCAGAGAGCGGCGCCGCTATCGAGGATCCATCGATGGACCCATCACCGGCAAAGGCGCCGAGGAGCACCCTGGAGCTCTTTGCTTCCGGCTCCGACGAGCCCATTGACGGGTACGAGTTTGAGCAGTGTGAGGTCGTGTGCTCTGTTGAGCTCGTCACGCTCCGAAGCATGACCACCGTCTCGGGCCTTAGAGACTTTATCGCAGTGGGCACGATGATCTCGCATGGCGAGGATCGTCCTGCGAAGGGAGCGACATACGTATTCGACATTGTCGAGGTTGTGACGAGCGCCGAGGATCCTGCCGCTCGCTACAGGCTCAAGCTTCTTGCCAAGGACGACGCCAAGGGACCGATCACGGCTGTGACGGACATGAACGGCTACCTCGTCGTTGTCATGGGCTTGAAGCTGTTTGTCAGGAGTCTCGAAAACGACGAGTGGCTCGTCACCGTCGCCTTCCTCGACACGCCCTTCCACTGCACCTCTTTGCGGCGTCTCAAGAACTTCTGCCTCCTGACGGACGTGCAGCGCAACGTGTGGCTTGTTGCATTCCAGGAAGAGCCCTTCAGACTCGTCGTTGTCGCAAAAGACCAAGACGAGCTGTATGCAACGACGGGCAACTTCTTGCTAAGAGGCTCAGCATCGGGTTCGGACAGCGATGAGGCGAGGACGTCAGCATTTGCCATCGTCACAACGACGTTAGAGGGCGTGCTGAGGCTGTTGGACTATGCACCGTCGGTGCCCTCGACGCACGGGGGCCAGAAGCTGCTGTTGTGTACAGAGTACGGCCTTGCAAGCGAGGCGACGTGCTCCTTTGTTGTGCCTGGCGACACCGCCGACGATGGGCTTTCGACCACGTCGGAAATTGTCCTAGGCATGAGGAACGGCGCCGTCGAGATGGTGGTGCCCGTCGAGGAAGCTGTGTCGAGGCGTCTGACTGTGCTGCAGGGTCAGATGGTCCGCAACGTCCAGCATACGGCCGGTCTCAATCCTCGTGCTTTCCGGTGAGTTTGACTTCCTTTCCCCTTTTCTTGCCCGTTCGCTCACCTCGATCATTTCTCTGCTTCAGCACGGTGCGGAATGACTTTGTTTCGAGGCCGCTCACGAAGGGCATCCTCGACGGCACGCTGCTCGAGGCCTTTACCAAGCTACCAAGGGCCCGGATGGAGGAGCTGGCGAGCACGGTGCCCGATCTCAAGGGAGGGGCCGACCAGATCCTGAGGGACATTGCCTCGTTGAGGGGCCATTGGGGCATGTTGTAGTTGTATCAGCCTTTGTGCAAGCATCTTCTAAAAATTTTCAGACTTGTCATTTCAGAAGCTTGTGTGAGACAGGAATGGGCGTCTATAGAACGGGCAGGTGCCCATCTTCGTATGGAGAAGAAAAATGATAGCATGTCGAATATGGATGGGGAAAAGGCAATAGAGTGCCAGGGCACGTTGCTAAACCAGCCCCCTACACCTCGTCGCGACGGACCACCTGCGTCTCGAGCTTCATGGCGAAGAGCTGCATCGTCATCGTCTCTTGGCATTTGCTTTCGCCTTGCTCGTCTCCCTTGACCGACGACAGATCGAGAGGGACTTCGCACGCGTCAAAGACGCCGAGATCCTCGAAGCCGAACTTCTTGTAGAAGGGCCCAGCCGAGACGGTGGGCGCCGCCTCGAGGTAGATGGGCAGCCCGGCCTTTTCGGCATCGGCACATACGTGGCTCATGAGTGTGGTGCCAACGCCCCTGCGCTGCGACGTGGGATCCACGCAGAGATACTTGAGATCTGGATGTGGACGTCGTAGGGGTCATCTACTCCGCTCGGGCCTTCAGGGCGAGAGAAGGACAACACTCACAGCAGCGGGGCCGGTCGCCCATCTTCGTCCTTTGCACCGCCGACATAGCGTCGCCAAAGGCCTGGTACAGCGCCGCACCCTGGCCGGGTGGAAAAGGCGGGAGGGGTGGGAGCGACTTCTTGACCGTGTTGCTCTCTTCGTGGTCATCAGAGGACGACGACGTTTCGCGCGGGGTGACGTCGAGGATCCACACCACAAAGCCCAAGACGTTGCCTGCACCTCCTTGCTTGTCGCCGTCTCCATCGGTGGCGACGACAATCTTGGTGCTGGCAGGCTGCAGCTGGCACCGTGCGAACAGGCGGCGTATCTGGGCCTGACGAAAGGCTTCGTACATCGGACTGCGGTCGAGGCCAAAGAGGGGCGCCATCGAATCGAGGAAGACAGAGAGGAGGATGCGGCCCATCGAGGGCAGATCTGCCTCAGTAGCCGAACGCAAGAGGGGCTGCGTTGAGGGGCTGCGGTGCTTCAGAGCCGTGGCATTTTCGAGGCGGCGGCAAGTGGCAAGGCAGCTCGTCAGAGCGGGAGAAGCTATGGTCATGGTGATGGAGAAAAATGATGCAACGGGCCTTATGTGACTCTGGTGCTCCTTGGCGATCTGGAGAGAGGCGGTGGACTAGAGCGAGAGGGCTCGGAGGAAGAAGAAAGTGGACGTACGAGGACCAGGGACCGTATGTAAGATGTGCGCCTCTTATACACGCACGACGCCAGCCCTCTGAACCCAGTCTAAACATTCGCCCGTGGGTAAAAGCGGACGGCCACACACACACACACACACACACACACACACACACACACACCGCGCTCAGTGCACGCCCAGGTCAAGTGAGATTTGGGATGGGAGAGAGAAGATGAACTAGCCAGGAACTGGGGTAGTATGGACCGTGAGATGATTGCGGCATTAAAGCAGGCACTCGCTCTCTTCAGCGTCGTCCAGAGTTCTTCTTCATCATCAGCACCGACCACCCTTGTTCAGAGTGAGAGGTGTTATATGACGACCTGAGTTAGGTTGAGGAGGAAGGAGGAAGTGGAAGAAAAGAAGAAAGAAGAAGAAGAGGAAGGAGAAAGAGAAAGAGAAGCTGGAGAAGAAATTCAATCGCGTTGCGCCCACGGCCAGGTCCGAGGCGGCGGCGCCTACGGCTCGGAGCTTAGACTTAGCCTAAAGCGCGCTTTGAACTTTTCGTTCTCTCTCTTCTCGCATTATCAGACCGCCTGCGGCTAGCTTCACTCGAGCAAGAGCAAGTCCGCTTGCGAGCCCTGTCTGACCATCGACAGGAAGAGACCGCGGATCGATGAGCGCAGGGAGTAGCGGAGGTGAGGCGACGGAGCGCACGCCGCTCCTGCGTCGCTCGGACAATGGCGACGGCAGTGGCGGCGAACAGGGGCGCGATATTGCCATGCCGCCCCTCTCACGCCTGGCCCCCATCTGCGTCGCCATCTGGGTCCCCGTCTTTGTCGCCTCGCTCGACTCAACAATCGTCGCCACCCTCGTGGGATCCGTCTCGTCGTCCTTCAACCGGTCCGAGCAGGCTGCATGGCTGGGCTCCAGCTATCTCCTCTCCGTCTGCTGCTTCACGCCCATCTACGGCAGGCTGTGCGACATTATGGGTGCGCTTTGACGGCTTCTGTTGATTACACACTGCACCATGAGACTGATGCTGAGAGCTTGATTCGATAGGACGCAAGTATGCCATGCTCCTTGCCCTGTCCTTTTTCAGCGCCGGCAACCTCCTCTGCGGCCTTGCACCCAGCATGGAGATCCTCATTGCTGCGAGAGCCATCGCGGGAGCCGGCGGAGGCGGCCTTACTGTGAGTAGCCCTTGTCTGCTGCTGCTACTGCTGCTGCTGCTCCGTTCTGCTCCGATTTGCTCTGCTCCGACCCGGCATGCTAAATTCAATATGCGCTGTTCAGACTTGCACGAGTACCATTCTCTCCGACATTATTCCTCTGCGCAACCGCGGACTCTATCAGGGCTTGACGTGAGTCCCAGCTCCGATGCGGCACTATCAATGAGATGCCGGGAAATTGAATGCACCCTGTTCAAACAGCAACATCATCTATGGCCTCGGTGCAGGCCTGGGTGGGCCCATGGGCGGCCTCCTCAACGATACCTGGGGCTGGCGAAACGCATTCCTGGTTCAGATGCCCTTTCTGATCCTCTCGCTCGCGCTCTGCCTCTTTATCATCCCCATGGGCCCAAAGATCAAACCAGACGGCCAGATGCTCGACCGCGAGGCCGAGGAAGAACCAAGCATCTTTGAAAAGCTCAAGACGATCGACGTCATTGGTTCTTTGACGCTTGTCGGCTTCGTTGGCTCGATCCTCTTTAGCCTCTCTTCGATGTCAGCCGACGATCGAACCATCGACGAGCCAATCGTGTGGGGCGGTCTCGTCTTCGGCACCGTCAGCGGTGTGCTCTTTGTCTTTGTCGAGACAAAGGTGGCGCGTAGCCCGATTCTGCCCATGAAACTTCTCACTTCGCGCACCGGCGCTGCTGTTGCCATCTGCAACTTGACTCAGGTGAGTCACAAGGAAAGAACTTGGGAAAGCTATGTGGATCGCTGACGTACTGTTCCCCCAAACAGTCGATCACCAACTTTGCCTTTCTCTACAATTACCCGTTGGTCCTCCAGGCCGTCCGACTCGAGTCTGCTTCCAAGGCGGGCCTGCATCTGATTCCCAACTCGATTATGCTGTCGATCGGCAGCGTCATGGCGGGCCTCTATATGCGCAAGACGGGCTACTACCACAGGTACAACGTCTTCAGTGCTGCGCTCATCGTCGTCAGCATGTCCTGGATCCTGCTTCTCAGCCCCAAGACACCTGAATGGATCACGTACGCCGCCGTCGTTCCCACGGGCTTTGGTTTCGCCAGCGTGCTCACCTGCACCCTGCTCGCCCTCATCAACACGGTGCCTCGGTCTGAGATTGCCGTTGCCACGGGCGTCTCCTACCTCTTTCGCACCACCGGCCAGGTCGTGGGCGTCGCCGTCTCCGGCGCCATCCTGCAGAACTCGCTCAAGCACGAGCTGCGCAAGCGGATTAAGGGAGCAGGCGCCGAGGAGCTCATCACAAAGATTCGGCACCAGTCGAGCATCATTCCCCAACTGGCAAAGGCACAGCAGAAGGCGGCCATCAGGTCGTACGACGTCAGTCTCAAGCATGCCTTCTTCTTTGCCCTCTGTTCCTCCCTCATTACGCTCCTGGCCACCTATATGATGGAGAATCTGAAGCTACCAGAGGTCGGCAATAAGCCCCTTCAGGCTTCCGAAGAAGAAGAGGCTACTCAATCATAATTACCTTACCTCATGTTCAACCTTGCACATATAGAATTGGACGAGCTCCACCACTCTTTCTTTCTAATAAATCTTCCCTCCACTTGGGTTTTCTTCGCTTTCTGGTTGTAGTCCTCAGATGGTGGACCTCCTCTCACTTTCCTCTCTATCTCCGAACATCCCGACATGGCCAAACTCCATACATTCAAGCTCAACACGGGCACGCTGATGCCTTCCGTTGGCATGGGCTGCTGGCGTGGCCAGCCAGGCCTCGGTCCGGACAAGGAGCTGATGCGAAGCCTGAAACTCGCCATCCAGGCGGGCTATCGCCACCTCGACACGGCGTCCATGTACCAGGTATGTTACTTCTCCGCTACTCCATGACCCTTCTTTTGCACTTTTCAGGGAAAGGACTAAGCATCCATCCTGGCTCCCAGAATGAAGCCGACATTGGACAGATCATCAAGGAGAGCGGCGTTGCTCGGTCCGACTTCTTCCTCACCACCAAGCTTGGGCTTTCGATGCACGACAATGTCGAAAAAGCCATTGACGAATCCCTCGACAAGCTAGACACTCCATATGTCGATCTCTACCTCATGCACTGGCCCCAGGGCAGAGACTCCAACGGCGACGCCTACGGCGACGGGACGGGCAAGGGAAAAGGCCCGACGTTCCAAGAGACGTGGGCTGCAATGGAGGAGAAATGCTTCAAGACGGGAAAGGCAAAGGCGATTGGTGTCTCCAATGTAAGTCGGGAATTGTTTGAAGAGAGTACTCGAGGGCAGGAGAGAGAGCTGACTGTGCGTAATTTCCCCGTGGTAATAGTTCTCGGTCCAGAACCTGGAAAAGCTGCTCCAGACAGCTAAGGTTGTGCCGGCGGTAAATCAAGTCGAGTGCCACCCGTACCTTCCCGAATTGGAGCTGGAGGCCTACTGCAGGGAGAAGGGCATTCACCTCACAAACTACTCGCCCTTTGGGGCCTCGCACCTGCCCATCCATGCCGACAAGGACATTGTCGCCATCGCGGCTGAGAAAAACGTCTCGCCCGGCCAAGTTGCGCTGAGCTGGGCTGTCCAGCACGGTCACTCGGCATGCCCAAAGAGTGCCAATGAGAAACGGATGAAGGAGAACCTGGAGCTGATCAAGCTGTCGGACGTCGAGATGAAGCGAATCGACGACATCTCTAAGCTCGACCCCACGAGGCGGACGAGGCTCAATGTGCTGGCTTGCGACGAGAAGACGGGCCTCGTCTTTGGCTGGACGCTTAAGCAGCTAGGTTGGGACATCGGCTTCAAGACGCTTGGTGTCCCGGGCATCGTCGAGTGAACGAGCGATAGAACGTCATTTCCATGTAGTAGTAGTGGTCAAGGCGCTGCTTGTCTCCTCAGCGTGATCCTCAGAGTGACTGCGAATCAATGACAAAAGTGAATGACAAAAGACACTACTGGTCCGTGCGCGACAGCAGCACGCAATCCCTACAGTTCTTTGCGAAGACCTGTCGATTGTCAATTTAGGCGGCTTATTTTCAACGATCTTCTCTGATGGCTCGCGCTCGGTCTGACCTGAGAAGCGCCTGCCTGGGTCGGATGACCGGGGTGGAGCTAGGCGAGACAAGTCACAGGCCAAATGGAATCTCGCTTTTCTTCCTGTTCTTCCCTGCACCATCACGGTATTCTCTACAGGCAGTTGAGGAACGCTCAAGGCTAACACACTGACGAGAATGTCAAGCACCGATACGAACCAGAAGCGCTGGGTGCTGTGAGTATCGGACATGATCAATCGTTGGGCTCAACACACCGTTACTGACCTGGATGCGCTCAGCTATGGCTTCATCATGGGCTGCTCTGGCCACCAGAGCCCCGGCCTCTTCTCGGTCCCATCGGACAAGAGCGTATTCCACAACAAGCTCAGCTACTGGACCGATACTGCCAAGCTGGCCGAGCGCGGCAAGCTCGATGGCCTCTTTCTTGCAGACGTCTGGGGCGGCTACGATGTCTACAACAAGAATCTCAACGCGGCCCTCTCGAGTGGTGCCCAGTTCCCCGTCATTGATCCCCTCATGACCATCTCGGGTATGGCGGCCGTGACGAAAAACCTCTCGTTTGGCATCACGGCCACTACGTCGTACGAGCACCCATATGCACTGGCTAGGCGCTTCTCCACCCTGGACCACCTCACAAACGGAAGGGTCGGCTGGAACGTCGTCACGGGCTACCTCGACTCGGCCGCCCGCCAGTTTGGCAAGAGAGACCAGGAGTTGCACGCCAAGCGATAGTGAGCACACCGTAAAAAGGCTTTGCTTTTATAGACAAGCTAGAGGGGCGACTGCGAGGCTGACGAGGTGTTCTTGGCTTCATAGCGAGATTGCCCATGAATACATGGACGTCGTTTACAAGCTGTGGGAGTCATCGTGGGCCGATGACGCCGTCGTTCAAGACATCAAAAAGCCTCTTTACACTCGTCCTGAACGTGTTCGCGACATCAACCACAAGGGCAAGGTGAGAAGCACTGTTGGCAGATCGAAGCACAGCTGCGAAGCTGACAATTAATCGTCCTGCAGTACTTTGAGAGCGTCCCTGGTCCCCACATCTGTGAGCCCAGCCTGCAGAGGACCCCCGTCATTTTCCAAGCTGTGAGATTTTGCTCGCCCCTTGCTTCGATGAAGGACCTCGCTCATTATTTGATAATAGGGAAGCTCCGGACCAGGCCTGGCTTTCGCAGGCAAGCACGCAGAAGTTATCTTTGTCGCTGCCCACCGACCCGACGTCGCTCGCTCCCGCGTCGAGGCTGCCCGCAATGCCGCAAAAGAGGCTGGCCGTAACCCAGCAGAACTCAAGGTGCTGGCTCTCCTGTGCCCGATTGTGAGTCCTGTCAAGTCGCGATTACCCTAGATTGCACTGACAAGTCGAACCCACAGATCGCGGAGACGGACGAGCTCGCAGAGAAGAAGCACAAAGAGCTGTTTGCGCATGGTAGCGACGAGGGTGCCCTTGCCCTCTTTGGCGGCTGGACAGGCATCGACCTTGGACCCTACGGAGAGGATGAAGAGCTGCGAAACCTGCCTGAGGGAAATGCCATCAAGTCGGCCGTCGAGGGATTCGCGCGCCAGGATCCTTCAGTGCAGAAATGGACAAAGAGGGCCGTGGCGGATCTGATCAAGCTCGGTGGTCTCGGCCCAATCGTCGTGGGAAGCCCCGCTTCGGTGGCCGACCAGCTCGAATCGTGGATCAAGGATGCTGGTTGCGACGGTTTCAAGTGGGTGCTCCTATTACTGATTCAAGCTTGGCTTCTTATCTTCTCATCAATTTTTGCTGATCCTCTTGCCCTTTCTGTTCCGCTCCTACCCTTTACAGCTTTGCATAGTGAGCACATGATAGCGAAACGGAGATTGGTAGATCCTCCTCGGCTGACCCAAATGCCTTCACAGCGCCACTTCGCCTGGCACATTCATCGAAATCGTCGATCTGCTTGTCCCCGAGCTGCAGAAGAGGGGCCACGTCTGGCCCGACTATGATGCACCGGGCAAGGCGCCCGCCAACTGGCCTGGCGGCAAGAAGACCGAGGGAGCTCCCAAGGGCTACGGCGAAGACGAAGTGCTGGGCCTTACCACCCGCGAAAAGCTCTACGGAGCAGGACAGCGCCGTCTTCGTGACGACCACTACGGCTCTAAATTCAAGTGGCACGCTGGACAGGACGCCCCCAAACTTGACTGAGCGAGGGTCCTTGTCTCCTTTTGGGAGGAAAATTTGAAAGAAATATCACCATGAATGCACACTCAATCAGCGCTGGTTGGCTGGCTGGCTCCCTTTGTCCGAGATCACCTTTTGTTTGTTTCGCGCTATGAGTCCGTGCGGTGTGATTTTGTGCGCGCGCTACGGAAGGTCCTTCCTTGTCTCCATCGCTCCACCCACTTCTGCCACACCACCCGATTGCTTGTTTCATTCTTCCCTTCGCAGCACACTTTTGCGGGGCATCTGTGCTGGATATCAAAGTTGTTGTCATCGCTACTCGCTCTCTCACTTTAACTTTTGACAAGTCCGGAGCTCCCATCGCCAACAGCCACACTTGCAGCAGCAGAAGTGGACGACAATGGCGGAAACCGGCAAGGATGCCAAGCTCTTCCAGCGTGGCAAGGTCCAAGAGCTGCGAGCGGAGCTGAATAGCGACAAGAAGGACAAGGGATGGGTCCGAAAGAAAACGACGTTGAAAAAGGTCATTGCCAACGCCACGATGGGCAACGATATGAGCCCGCTCTTTGACGATGTTGTGGCTTGCATGAACATCCAGGTCCTAGAGATCAAGAAGATGATATGTGAGTGCTGTTCTTTTGCGGGAGAGGCGCAGAGGATGTTGACTGAGCGAGTATTGCTGGGGTGACAGACCTCTACCTGATCAACTATGGACGATCAAAGCCGGACAAGGTCGGCCACGCCATTCCCGGCTTTCTGTCCGACTGCAACGATCGCAACCCCCTCATTCGTGCGCTGGCCATTCGGACAATGTCTTACATCTCCGTCCCTTCGATTCTCACCGCCCTCGTGGACCCACTCCGACACTCGCTCAAAGACTCAGACCCATATGTGCGCAAGACAGCGGCCATCTGCGTCGCAAAGCTGTACATGCATGATCGCAAGCTCGTCGACCGACAAGGCTTCATCGGCATGCTCCGCGACCTACTTGCAGACGGTAATCCGACCGTCGTCGCAAACGCTGTTGCAGCCTTGACAGAGATCTCCGAAAGGAGCGACAACATCCAGCTCAAGCTAAACCTCACCATCGCCAGCAAGCTTGTCAGTGCGCTACCGGACTGTTCAGAGTGAGTCAAACGCTGCTCAGGGCTTCAGTCTTGCCACTTTCCCGTCGTCTAACAAATAGATATCCTCGACAGATGGGGGCAGACATACATCTTGGAGGCACTCATGTTCTTTGTCCCAAACGATTATGCCGACGCGGAGATCTTAGCAGAACGCATCGCCGTCCGACTGCAGCACTCTAACTCCGCCGTAGTGCTGACGGCGACAAAAGTCATCTTGTATTTGATGAACTACATTGCCTCGGCAGAATTTAGAGAGAGCCTCTGCAAGAAGCTCAGCCCTCCTTTAGGTGAGTCAACCGCGCCGCATTTCTTGGCTCGTGCTGATGCGAATACTCTCCCTAAAGTGACGCTTCTCTCTTCGGGCCCGGAGGTACAGTACGTGGCGCTTCGAAATATCCTTCTCGTCATTCAGAGAAGGCCCATCGTGCTGCAGAATGAGGTCAAGGTGTTCTTCTGCAAGTACAACGACCCGGTATACGTCAAGATGGCCAAGCTCGAGATCATGTACAGGCTGGCGAATGACAGGAACGTCGAGCAAGTCCTGGCTGAATTGCGCGAGTATGCGACCGAGGTCGACGTCGACTTCGTCCGCAAGGCCGTGCGCTCCATTGGGCGGCTGGCCATCAAGATTGAGTCTATGGCGGATAGATGCATCAGCACTCTCCTCTCGCTCATCCAAACCAAGGTCAACTACGTTGTCCAAGAGGCCATCGTTGTCATCAAAGACATCTTCCGAAAGTACCCCAACCGATATGAGTCGATCATCTCGACTCTGTGCGAAAATCTCGACTCGCTCGACGAGCCAGAGGCAAAAGCGGCCATGATCTGGATCATTGGGCAGTATGCTGACCGGATCGAGAATAGCGATGAGCTGCTCGAGGACTTCCTCTTCAGTTTTCTTGAAGAGCCAGTCGAGGTACGTTGTTTTTTTCCTTTCTCGTTCTTATGAACTAGCCTGAATAATTGCTTTGCAGGTGCAACTGGCACTACTCACCGCAACGGTCAAGCTCTTCCTCAAGCGACCGACGGTGGGAGGCGAACTGGTGCCGAAGGTGCTCAAGTGGGCTACCGAAGAAGTCGACAATCCCGACTGCCGTGACCGAGGCTTCATGTACTGGCGTCTTCTCTCAACAGATCCGGCCGCCGCTCGAAACATTGTCCTTGCCGAGAAGCCATCAATCAGCACTGAAACAGACAGGATGGACCGACAGCTTCTCGACCAGCTCCTGCTCCATGGTGCCACGCTCTCGTCGATCTTCCATCGGCAACCACAGACATTTATTCGAGGATCCAAGGCAAGATATCTGCCTGACAGTAACGCTCTCGACGAAACAGCGAGGAGGTATGCGAGCACACATCTTTACAGCAAGCCGGTTGCGAAGAATCCTTATGCACCTTCGACTTCGGGTTCTGCCCCTGCTGCTGCGCCCATTTCCTCCCTCACGAAGCCGTCGCTGCCATCAGGCTCATCAAATGACGGCAATGAAGAACCCATCAGCACAACGACGTCCATGGCGGGCGCTATGGCGGCCATCTCCAATGTTGACGAGGCCAATCAGGCCGACGAAGAGAGTACCGCAGTCACGAATGGCTCCTCAGCAGCACCGCCATCGCTTCCTTCTCGTGCACTGGCAGCCAACCCGGAAGCCACTGGTGTGCCAACAGACGCGGATGCGAACGACCGCTCGGATCCTTATGCAATGCTCGGTGACGACTTTGGTGGCATGGACGACGACTATGCAGTTGATGCCCCCAAACCAAGAGCTGGCGGAATCGACGACTTGCTAAGCTGAATAACATGAACGACCCACCCCGATTGGACCATTGAGAAACATTGTATGACTACCACACGCTACCGCTCTGAAAACCATTCTTGCGTGTGTGGACGATGATAAAGTGGAAGCAGAGAAGAGTGTGTTCTGATGATGGCATTTGCTTGCTGAGTGAAAGAGAGTGTCCGTATGAAGATGAAGGTAACGAGCAAGGAATAGAGAGTACAGGTTCGGCGTTGAGCAAAGCAGAGAGTCGGACCGTGCCGACAGGTAGAATCAGGCAATAAGAAAAAGGGAGCACTCAGTAGTCTCGGTAGCCCCCTTGAGCACCGTAGCCGTATCCACCGTATCCACCGCCCTGCGGTGCATACACTCTTGCGCCTTGCCCGTAGAACTGTTGTTGTTGTTGATGCTGCGGTGGTTGCTGCTGTGGCGCCGCCCACTGGACGTGTTGTTGTCTCGGCGGAGGTGAGGCCGTGTAGTTTGGTTGTGAATATGGCGCCGAATACTGCGGTCTCGGTGTAGCATTCATTGCGGGTGTGAAGGCATTCATGGCTGGCGTATATGGCCCTCGCATGGCTGGTGAGGCTGCTTCTGATCGGATCGAGGAAGCGGGGCCAGGCCGCCGTTGCGACATGGGGTATGCCTCGTGGACGGACGAGGTCGAAGAACCATCGTAGCTTGTGTCTTTGTACGAGTTGAAGTGTGTCGAGGGCGTAGGGCCAGGGGCGGGTCCGACGCCCATGCCGACCCGTCGGGCGCCCTGGGGGGGTGCGTCGTACAGGTCGGCGTCCTCCTCATGCTCGTTACCCAGCGCATGATACCGGGTCGTGGAACCCTTGCGACCGGCAAGTGCGCCTGCCGCTGCGCTGATGTTCGCCGCAGTCGTGCTGCCTGGTCCCTTGTATCGTCCGTCGGGGGCGATGCCTGTGCCGGGCCCTCCTCGTCCAACGACGCCGTGCGCGCCGCCCATGTCATTCTTCCGACGGCGGCGGACGCACCAGACGATGAATGCCCAGAGTGCAATGAGGCCGACACAGGCGGCCGCGACGGGCACGCCAATGCGGAGGGCGGCATTCTTGGAAAAGGACCAGGTGTCACTCCCGTCGTCGCTGCTCCCGCTCGACGAAGACCCGCTCGACTTCTGGCCAGTCCCTCGCACGGAATCGTCGAGACCGGACGTGTCCCCTGAGCCATCCCAGCCGCCCTTTGGCAAGTTGGAGGTGAGCTGCGCGTTGCCGGGCAAGTTTAGGCCACCATCCTGAGCAGGCTTCTTCAGAAATGGGATCGAGTCCTTGGACAGCTGGAATTCGGGCTCGCTCGTCGTCGAAGAGTTCTGGCCGGTGTAGACCCAAGACGTGACAGAGCTGCCGGATCCAACAGTGGTCAGATTCGCGTCGCTCTGGTCGGCGCACGTCACGGTGAAGCTTTTGACCTCGGTGGCATAGTAACCGTTCTGCTGGTATTCTGACGTCGACCAATCAATGGCACCGCCGGCCCACTCGATGGTGCCCTCGCCATTCGTTGAATTTCCTCCGGCCCAGGTACTCAATTGCAGTCTCGATGGCGAACGAGGGTATTTTCCCCCGGCGTCGCTTGCCTTGAGCGTGCGAACCACGTTCCCGTCCACAAGCCACTGGAGCTGGTCCGCCTGCCAATTGAGGCCATACGTGTGCCAGTCACTGACGTTCAGACCTTGGGGGTAGACATCTTCCGCTGCCTGAATTCCCTGAGGGGCCACGCCTTGGCCGTAGAAGTTGGTCTTTCCCTCTGAGCTGTTGGCTGTGGTGAATTCCCAGTCGATCTCGTCCTTGATGTCCGACATGCTGATGAAGGCAAAGACAAGGCCGGCTCGAGCATCGTGACGGGCCTGCACCTCGAAGCGGCCATAGAGGATGTAGCGAGTGGTAGAGATCAAGGACTGGCTCTGTTCTGTCATGGCGAGCAAGACACCTTCGGATCCTTTGGCGAGCGCCCCATAATCGAGCGTGAAGGGCGCCTCGGACGGATCGCCATTGTACAGAAGACTGCGAGGGTTATTTCAATCTCCATCAGCTCATTTTTCCGGAGGATAGTCCGCGGACTCGACATGGAAGAGTTGATGAGACGAAAGACAACACTCACACTGGTCGGAAGGTGGCAGGATCGTTGTACTTGTCGCTGGTCAGGCTGACATTTTGGTTGTTGCAGATGGGATTGGGCAAGCACGAGCCAGCGGAATAGGACGCCATGGGCTGACAACCTCCCGCGCATTGAGCTGCGCCGGAACCACACACGCCATTGGCTGAGCAACAGGGGCTGCTCTGTGGACACTTTGAGCTGGAGGAGCACTGTTCTCCAGCAGCGCTGACGAGCGCGACGAGGGCCGAGAGCGCGAGGAGCGCAACGAGTGGCGGCAGTCTTGCCATCTTGCTTCGTCTAGTCAGTACTCTAATCTTTTGCTCTATCGTCCTTGCCGGAGTTGATGGTGATGAAAGACCGACGACGACCAGAACTCTTTAAAAAAGGAAAGTCAATTCCCAGATCGTGCGAACGAGTGGAGATCACTGGGGTAGTAGAAAGAATTCAAACCCTCGAAAGGGGGAAAGTGAGGTACCGCGTCGCTCTGAATGCCGTGCCCAAAGAGGTTGCCTAAAAGGCGCTTTTTGGCTTGGTCGATGGAGATGCGATGATGTCGATGGTAATCGCTTGGCTTTGGGCAGATGAGAGAAGTTCAAGGGATCTCCAAAGTCGAAAAGCTGTTCTCGATCATTTCCACCTGCTCGGCATCATGCCGATTTCTCTCTCCAGTGCCCCTGTGCCACTACTCTAAAGTAAAGTGCCTGTGTTTCCCGCGCTCTCTCTGCGGAGGCAGCGGAAGTCCGCGCGCGTGCATGCGCACAGCTTGTAAACTACACTACCATAATCTGGCGCGCCGAAACACCAGCCACACGCTCCTACTCACATCTGCGCACACCGACGTGCTCGACGATTGGCACTCAATCTCGACCATATTCGCAGCCGAAATGAGAAAGATTGTGAATTTGGAGTACATCTAAGGATGCTTACACACGCAGAGGGATAGTGAGGAGGAGGAGGAGGACCATGGGGGAGCTCAAGAGAGAGGAAAAGAAAAGAGACAGTCTACAGATCAACCCAGCCTGGACAGCCTTCGGCTGGCCTGCTGCGTCTGCATCGAGCTGAGCCTGCTCAACTCGTTGCTGTTCATGTGCACAGTCTTGCCGCCCAGACCAATCTTGCGCGTGGCGCGCTGGAGGAACGTCGTACGGCTTCGGTACAAGCTCTCGTGACGGCTCGTCGTGCGGTGCACCTCTGGGTTGGCCATCTCGGCGGCGCGTTGCTTCCGTCGGTCAGAGGTGCTGTGAATTCCGCGAATGACGCGGCGCATGCCAAACTTGATGACATCGAGGGGAAAGAGCCAAATGATGGACCAGACCCAGATGATGCCGATCCAACCACCGGAAATGGGCTTGACGAGAGTGAAGCCCCAGTCGGCAAAGGCGGCAATGACTGATGAAATAGCCTGAGCAACGCAAAAGGCGCCCATGAGGGCCATCGAGGGCCGCTCGGTGAAGAACCATCCGTGGGAACGCGTGATAAAGATGAGTGCCTGACTGGTGATCGAGGTGTAGAGGTAGATGATCATGTGAAGCTCGCCTGCGTTAACGTCCGAATGGTAACCCTTGACGCCAAACTTGTCCTCGAAGAACGTCGTGTGGTAGGTCACTGCGAAGAGAGCGAGCGTGGAGGCGACGAGGTACACGCCGTAGCCGATCGCATAGGCGAAAATTTCGACAAGGTCCCAGTGGTCCGGCTCGTTGCTGGGCAGGACACGATCGAGGGAGAGCGTCATGATGGTGCCATCGTTGAGAAGAGCGACAATCAGAATGAGGAACGGTGGGAAGTCAAACTTCCAGGCGAAGGCCATCACGGCGAAACCGAGGACGACACGGATCGTGATGGAGCAGGCGTAGATGCTGTAGTTTCTCATGCGCTGGAAGATGATCCGGGAGCCTCGAATGGCCTCGACGATAGTCGAAAGACCGGGCTCGACGAGGACAATGTCGGCGGCACCCCTAGCGGCGTCAGTAGCACCCTCGACGGCGACTCCGACGTTGGCTCGGGAAAGAGCAGGAGCATCGTTGGCACCGTCGCCAGTCATGGCTGTGAGGTGACCCAAGGCCTGTAGGCGCTTGACAATCTCAAACTTGTGCTCAGGGAAGACACCAGCGAATCCATCGGCCTTGAGGATCATCTCATCGAGCGTCTTGTAAGGGCAGCCCGCGGGCACCTGTCCCGTCTGGAGCGCCTTGGCATTGTACATGTTGTCCCCAAGTCCCAGTCGACGGCCAGTCTCCTTGGCAATGGCCAGCTGGTCGCCAGTAGCCATCTTGACCTGCACGCCCAGGGCCATGGCGTCGTCGAGAGTCTGCTTGGTGTCGTCACGGGGCGGGTCGAAGATGGCAAGAAGGCCGACGAGCTCGAAGCCGGTACCAGGTCCCTCCTTGGTTCCATCAGGCACATCTTCGTATGCGACGGCGAGCGCGCGCAGACCGCGGTTGGCAAATTCCTCGACGTCGTTCTCGAGGGCCATCTCCTGAGCCTCCGTCTTATTGCGTGAGCAGAGGTCGATAATGACACCAGTCATGCCCTTGGAGACGCGCTTAACTTTACCCGTGGCCTCTTCGAGGTACGTAATTTCGGTGCGCTTATCAACGGGATTGAAAGGCTTGAAGTCGAGGAGCTTGATTCCAGCACGAGCCCGAGAGGCGTCACCGACGGCGCCGACGATGCATGTGTCAATTGCGTCCTGGTTCTCGGTACGGGAGGCATAGGCGGCGTGCAGGATAACGTCCTCAGCGTTCATGAAGCCGTATGTCTTGACGAGCTCGCGGTCGATGGTCAGCTTGTTGGTCGTCAGCGTGCCCGTCTTGTCCGAGCAGAGGATCGTGACACCGGCGAGCTCCTCGATTGCCGTGATACGCGTGACGATGGCCTTGTGCTTGGCAAGCTGGCTGGCACCGACAGCCAGTGTGACAGAGAGGACCGTGGGCATGGCAATGGGAATACCGCCAATGAGAAGGACGAGGATGTTGTCGATGCCGCGGCGGTAACTGTAACGGTGTACGGCGTAGAGGATGATGATTTCGGCAACGACAAAGATGGCGATGGATACGATGCAGAAAAGACCGATGCGGGCAAGGACCTTCTGGAGGTGACCGGTCGAGTCATCATCCTGGCCGACAAGGGCGGCGGCACGGCCAAAGAAGGTGTTGGCGCCAGTGGAGATGACAATGGCCTCGGCCTCGCCCTGCTTGCAAGTCGATCCGCTGAAACATTGGTCACCGACCTTCTTGTTGGTGGGCAACGACTCGCCAGTGAGGGCCGCCTGGTCGATGGAAACGTTGATAGCGTCAAAGAGACGGCAGTCGGCAGGAACGACGTCGCCGATCTTGAAGGCAATCACATCACCGGGCACGAGTTCTGAGGATTCAATTTCAATCCATTGTTCGTTGCGGCGACATCTGGCCTTGGGCGCGAGCGAGTCCATGAGGGCCTTGACTGCATTTCCGGCGTTGCGCTCCTCGATGAAGCCAATGGTTGAGTTGATGATGAGGAGCAGAACGATGCCGAGAAAGTCCTGCCAATCCGGAGGCTTGCCTTCACCGTTGGAAAGGGCGATGGCGACGATGGCGGCACCCTCCATGACCCAGCTGTGTGAGCGGTCAGTCACTAGTATTCGGAGCAGAGCAAGAGAACTTCGCCAAGATGGACACTCACGAGAGGGGGTTCCACATAAAAGAGAGGAACTGCAGGATGGGGTTCTGCTCTTCGCTCTCTAGTTTGTTGGGCCCAAAGAGCTCTAGCCGACGCTTCGACTCTTCCTCGGTGAGGCCGCCTTCGGTGGCTTGGAGAAGCGTGTAGACATCCTCAAGCTCGATGGACTCGAGATCAACCTTTTCCTTATCGTACAAGTCCTCGGCCTTGAGCTCGATGGTGCTCATGTCGACTAGAGCATGCTTTGGTCCCGATTCATTGTGCTCCTCATCCTGTGCGTGTCGCTTTCGAGGTGAGCGGGCCTGGCTCGCAAAGCAAGAGTGCATAGTCTGAAGGCGCACTCACAATGTCACGGTGCTTTGTCTTGACTTTCTCTGACCCGGACGTCGACGACGGGTGTTCCTTGCTTTCGATGGGCGACGGCATGGTCGGTGTATACGGGTGCGCGAATGAGGGATTCTAAGATAGAAACGAACGAACAAGTGAAGAAAGAGAGAGAGGAAAAGATCGTGACTCTATCCAGAGAGCTCGATGTGTTGGGTTTGAGTGGTAGCAAGAGCAGTCCAGCTGGTGGTGGGAGGAAGAGAAGGGAAAAAAACAAGCGAAGCAACGTTGAAGAGCGAGTCAGTCATCTGCCCTTGAACCAGACGTAGACCTCCTCGCACGCCAATGGAGTTATGACGGCAACGGGGCAAAATGGGGCGTCGGCTGAGACTCACAAAATCGCTCGCCAATTCTCCCCTTTCCCTCAGAGATGTGACGTCAGCAGTACTTGCGAGTCGCTCGTCTGTCGACGTCGCAGTCCAGATACGAGATAAGAGAAGGGCGAGGGCGTCTTAGATGTCAACGCGAAAGAAAATCGGGCGAGCGCCGAGGGCTGAGACTGGGTTCAGATTTGACAGATCTTGGCCAGAGGGCGCTTCATTGCCTATAAGCATTACTCAAACGTCATTGTCGGCACCAACCATAGTCTCGACTCACCAAAAGAGGGCAATGGATGACAGTACGAGAGAGTAAGAACGTGTCGCGGTGTTGCCAAAAGGAAGAGGAGCGACTTGTCTGATTCTCGTGCTGCTATCGTCCACCTTGTCGCGGCGTTGGCTTCTAGGAGGGCGATGGAGGAGCACCACCCCTGTAAAACAAGGCGCTTTTAAGGGCAATACATTTGGACGCCCCTTCACTACTCGCCCAGACGAACTTGCTTGGCGCGAGATAGCACGCAGTGTCGCTCTTTTGCCGCATGCATTGCATTTCCAGGAGTCTAGCTAGCTCTATTTGCGTAGCCGGCCTCCTTTGACTGCACTACCACTAGCTACTAGTAGCTACTGATTCTATCTATGGTAACCCCCTCCCCTTTCTTGTCCTATAGCAGTCTCAGCGGAGTGACAAAGACACATTCTGCAAACCTCTTCACTCTGCATGTTGGAGACACAAATAATCAATACATGATTCCTTCGGTCGCCAAGCACGCGGTGCAGGCCGCTCTCTTTCTTTTTCTAGAAGCCAGGCACGCTCGCCTCGGTCTTGGCTGGAGTGCAGCTTATCTCGCTGAAAAGAGCTTGCTTGGCTCCTCGAAGGAAAGGTGCGGCATGTTGTCCTTGAGCAGCACAGTCTCTGCAATGGCAAAGGCTGGGCAAAGGCTGGCAGAAGAGAGATAGGAGGGAAGGCGCGACTGCTCCAAAACAGAAATAGAAAGCGTGCCTGTCAGGCGCTTCTTGGCCTGCCAAGACCACGATTTAAAAACAGCAACCGTCCAAGACGCGCGAGGCTGAAACGTGCGACGCCTCGTTCTGTGGGCAGCCTCGCTGGGCTGCTGCATGCACGCTCACCCTTTTTAGGACCGCTGTCGACTGAAAAAGAATGCTCGGCGCATCTCCTCGCTCAAATTACTAATTGACAGGGGACGGAAGGGCTTGGCTGGGCGTTGCGCATTTCAATAAGCAGTTGCGGCACGTGAACGAACGCGACCAAATTTGACCTTTGACTGGTGGTGCCTCCACCAACATTGCTCGAACAGCACGCTCGGATCGCGCCGTACGACGCCAAGGACAGGGACAATGTCGTCCGTCTCGAGGCGCAACAAAGGCCCTGCGGTCTATGGCAGACGGAACAGGGGCTATGGACAAAAGATCACCCAGCACAGCTTGTCGGAAATTCTGTCGGATTCATCATTTGGTTCTTCGTCCTCGTCTTCGTGCTCGGAAAGCGCAGATGAAGATGTGGGGAAGGAAAATACATCGTCCCCACCGGCCAAAGCAACGGCAGCGGCAGCGGCAGCTGTCACGAAGTCTGGAGGAGATTTCATGGCCGTCATCGACGCTAATGCGCAACGGTCTGTGCTGACCCAACGAAACAAGCCGAGAGTACAATGTATGGTGGATCGCGCTGCCAGCCGCAAGGACGTCATTGAAGGCGGCAAGAGGGAAAAGGATGAAGAAGATGAGGTCGAGCATTTGGTCAACAGCGTCGAGGCTCTCAAAGTCACAAAATCGCGCGCTCGCAGGGGTGGCCGAATAGCTTCATCATACAGGCGGAAAGCGCATGTCTCGCCTCGTCAAGAACAGGAGCTGAGCCTCCTTCTGTCCGTCTGTCAACCGCAGAAGTTGGCTCCTCAGCCCTTTGATGCTCTTTTGGACGAGTTAGAGTCGAGGTGTAGTGAGCCCTCTTGGTTCAAGGTCGGCGAGGCCAGCTATTCAGAAGTCTTCCGACTGTCATCGAGCAAACATGTGCTCAAGGTCATACCCATTCAAGCTGCCGACCCGGTCCCCGACCGCAACGAAACTCTTCTCCCAGAAGAGTCTGATATCTGCGACGTGAGGCGAGAGGTGCAAATGACTTCAAGACTCTCGCGGATACACCCGGGCTTCGTTGCGCTGAAGAGGTGAGTGCACAGACTTGCATCGTTGGCGCCACCACAACCTTTTCATCCAGCTTATATCCCGAGCAGCTCCCATGTTGTCAAGGGACGTTACCCTGATCGCCTTCTTCGCTCCTGGAGTCGTTTTGCGGACGAGAAGGAAGATTGTGAAAATATTTGTCCAAGAGTTTTCGGGCCTTCGCAGCTGTACGCTGTTCTGATTCTCGCCGAAGGTGGTCCAGATCTGGAGCACGCCAAATTGACAAATTGGTGCCAGGCCTCAAGCATCTTCTGGCAGGTGGCTGATGCTCTGGCTGCTGCCGAAGAAGCCTGCCAGTTCGAGGTGAGAGCCAATATCTTTGCTGACTAAAGCAGTCTAGGCTAACCTAGTCTTCCAGCATCGCGATCTGCACTGGGGAAACGTGCTCGTGGCTTCAGCACGTAAGGGAAAGTCAACCGCTGTCCGAGCAACAATTATCGACTTTACTCTTTCTCGAGCTGCATTCGACAGCAAGGTCACCTCACACACTTTCCAAGACCAAGAGGTCTTTGAGGGTCAAGGTGCGCAAGGGCAGAATCGCTTGATACAAGAGCATTAACCACTGACCATGTGCCACCGATGCAGGCGACTTGCAATTCGAAGTTTACCGGCAGATGAAGATTGCCACAAAAGGCAGGTGGGAGAGCAGCTGTCCACAGACTAACGTCATGGTGAGCAAGCACACGTATGCGTCTTTCGGCGTTACCGGCGTGGGCTGACCTATCAATCTAGTGGCTTGGCTATCTGCTCGATAAATTGCTCAGGGCAAAGGGCTTGCGAACTCCTCGCAAGGCGACTAAGAATGAGCGAAGTTATCAAAGTCTCGTCTCCCTTGGTCTCCACCTCTCTGACTGTACTTCAGCGAAGGAAGTCGTCGAGCGGTGTATGGATGCAGCTGCATGCTAAGTGATTCTGCATGACGCAGTGACGCTTGGCCGACTGGAATACCGAGGGAGCCTTTGAGGGAGGTCGGGAAAAGCGGTCAGGAAAGGCGCTAGCGGGACCATCAACTTAAATGTCTCACTAGTCGCCATTGTTCTCCATCATCTTGAAGCTGGACAGCCTCAAAGTGCTTATCAAACCGAGCTCGGGACTATCACTCTACTAGCGCCAATTAATCTTCTGCCAAAACAGGTGGACGGACATTCCTTCCGAAGAGGACGAGAGCTGTCAGAATTGTACTGTCATCTCGTCGGGCTTCAATATGGGTTATTGGCGCTAAAAATTGTGAAAAGCCACAACTTTCCTGACGACATCAGAGAACAATGGGACTGACTCTACTTTCGTGCATGCACCGACGACTTGGGTCGTGATGGGACGAAAAGCAGCAGCAGCACTTTCTTGAGCACGATTCAGCCCAGTGGCACTACCCCGCTGTGCTCCTCATGCTAATTTACGAGAGAGGAACGGTGTGGCTGCTTCAAGAAATCGCGGCGTCAGAGCCGGCCAACGCTCGAGCTAGCCGGTCCACAGCAGTAAGGCAGGCTCCCCGGCGGAAAACCCCAGCTCAGCAGGGAAATAGGCCAAAGAGTGGCCTTTGTTTGTAGATAAAGGGTCCCTTTGTCCTGTAGTCGTAAAGAAGCTCCACGATTGACGGTCTTCGCCCTCATCGACTGCACTTCAGCTTCCCGACACAGTAACTAACAACTGACCTCGACCTGCAAGTTGCTCGTCCGAGCGCCCAACGTACTATCTGTGGCTTGATTTCCAAACAAAGGGAAACCTAGATCGAGTGAGCAAACTGTAAAGCAAGTGAGTAGTGGTTCGATGTGGAGATGGGGGAAATGGGGCCGAGGTTCCCTTTGTCGCTGCGCCTTTGTTTATCATGGATCGCAGCATGTGTGTCCATTCTTACCTGCCCGCCCTCCTCTTCTCTCTCCTTGTCCTTCACCTTTACGACTACTACTAACGTCTTGATCCTACCCTCTTTTCTCTTTGAACTCCTGGTCCTCTTCCTCGACAGTGTTTGTCGCTAACCGACGACGAGACTCGCGTACGGCTGGACCGTCACGGCGTAGAACGCATTGCTGCAGCAGTGACATATCTGGGACCATGAAAGCGAGCACCTCCAAGAAAGATGGAGCATCGCCAAGAAAGAGCCCCATAAAACGACAGAAGAGCATCGTAAGCCGTCGTAAAAAGTCAAGCGCCCGTAGCTCTTCGCCCTCGTCTACCTCCTCGACAAATGACAAATCAGCTCAGCTGAACCCCTCCGGGAACACTCAAATGGACCCATCGAGCCTGATCACCAACCATCACGTTCGAGAGGTTGAAGCTCGGCATGCGAGGGCCAAGCAGCGCTCGGCATCCGAAGAGGCTGCCCACGCGGTCATCGCAGACTCACCTTTTGCTTTCCAGAGTGCGTTGTCTACTCAGCTGACTTTCTGATGAATGAAGAGGAGCTGACCGTGGGCTTTGCAGTACCTGACTCTCACACGGACCGTTCCGAATCAGCGTCATCGCCGGGCTGGCACGAGAGTGATCGAATGACGGCGACAAGCTCTTATCGAGGAAGCAGCGCGGGCGCAAGCGATGGTCTCGACTCGCGGCCAGCCACAGTGTCCGATTCACAGACGGAAGGCAGCGGTGGAGCAAGGGCACGTACCAAGGGCAATTCGCATGCCCGCAAAAGAGCTCCCGGCCATATCCCTCGGCCACGCAATGCTTTCATCCTCTTCCGATCTCACGCGCTTGCAAACGGCCTCGTCTCGCTCCAGAGTGTGTCCGATCATCAGCAGGTCAGCCGTGTCGTCGGCCAGATTTGGGGTAGCTTGCCAGCCGAAGACAAGAAGCAGTGGCAGGCAGAGGCGCTCAAAGAGAGGGAGGAGCACAAGCGCCTCTACCCAGACTATCAGTACAAGCCCGAACGGGATCGGACCAAGACGCCGAAAACGAAAAAGAAGCTACAAGACGAGGAGGTAAAGGCAAAGGAGACCGCCGATTTCATTCTCCGAGCACATGGTCGTGATGGAGTCAAGACGGAGGACGATGTCACTGCGTGGTCGTTGACTTCGCCTGGCAGTGCCGACTCGCGGCGCGTGCTTCGAAGGGCAAAGGCAAAGGCAAGGAGCAAGAGGGAAGACACCACATCGCCATCACCGTCCATCTATGCTCCCTCGGCCTCTCCGTCCTTGTCGGTCGTTGATCAGCACCACCCGGACCTGATGACAAGCGGCAGCGACCACTTTGCTAAATTGCCCTCGTCTTGGCTTAGTGGGCGTCGTCGATCGTCCTCGGTTCCTCTGGGAGAAAGCACTTCCAATTCAGCACAGCATGAGGCCAACTTCTTTGAGCACCACCACGAAGAAGACCTAAAGCCGCTGTCCAGCAGCGAGGTCTTTGGAGAATGGCACCAACGAAGTGCACAGAACTCTTTGTCGGGCGAGGCGTGTTCTTTGCCCTCGCACCCTCTTCCGGCTTCGGCTATGCCTCTCTCACCGAAAGGCAAGGCTGCCGTCCTTGGCACGTCTTTCGACTGGCACAGTCAGAATGCCTCGTCGTCTTTTAGCACCCGCCGCTCTTCCAATGCACGCCCTCGACCGCTTGCCTTTCACCAGGCTCACTCGCAGTACACGAATGCTTCCTTTCCTACTTCTTTCGCATCGCCTACGAATCCTTTGGGAAGCGCGACGCAGTCCTTCGTCAGGTCGCCGTATTCGCTCGCCACACCTCGCCGGTCTGTGTTTCAGCAGGTCCCCACGCCCACTGCCCCGGCGCCAGGACCAGGATCTGGCGTGAGCTCGCATCGTCACTACTCGCAAGAGCCTTTCGTTGGTGGGCATTACGAGGCCCCCCTGAGCCGTCCTCGCTCGGCTCAGGATGTCACACCACGAGCAACATCGTTCCAGGCGGCAGCAGTAGCGGGCCTTCATTGGTCTACGGCAGCCACGACCGATGCGATGCTCGTCTCGCCCCTTCGAAGCTCATTTGGCGATTTTCGACGACCATCGGCCTCGATGCACCACACCCACTACCTTCCTCACAGTCCCGCTCCAGGTCCTGCCGTATCTTCGGGTGCGCCTGGCGTCGGCCTCGCAGGCGGTGTGCACAACTGGGGCTGGCAGAGCTGGGCGCGCGTCAACCATACCGCTGACGTGGCCTTGCCCGTCATGAAGCCGCGCAAGTCTTCGCTGGCGAGCTTGCACCAGATCCTGGAGCAGTCTGCTGCTCAGCAGCAGCAAAGTCAGCCACAGCAGGATACGTCGGCATCGACGGCGCTCTGGAGCCCAACGATGCCCGTCGCCCGTCCGAGGATGACTTCAATCGAAGATCTGTTCCCGGAAGCGGTTGCAGAGCTTGCTGCTGATACTGCAACCTCGAGATCGGAGCCTGTGGTACCGCCAAAGACCCAAGGTGGAAGAGGAGACGAGGCGCATCTCTCGCTACACCACTCGTCTCCTTTGACCCTCTCCAGGACAACAGTACGGCCGAGTCTCAAGGATGGCGAGATCGTCACTGCCGAACAAAGATCAAGGACAGACGCAGCTCAAGTCCAGGACCCATTCCATTTCGGATCTGATTTCTTGGATGAAGGCTCGTTCAGCACACCCATGCTCGGCCCTCTCGCATCTGTTCTTGCTTCGCAGAGGAGAAAGTCCAGTGTGACGACGGTTTCTGCACAAGATGCATATCCGCAAGAGAACCCACAGCACGATGCAGCAGGGTTCCCGTCCGAGCCAGATTCTTGTGCGTCGGGGTTCGCAACGACACTCGAGCCTGCCTTCTTCATGCACGCGGAGCCAGTCTCGCAAGAAGACGATGGACAATTAAACGAAGGCAGAATTCAGATGCCTGTTGCCAGACAGTACGATGAAGAAAGGCAGCAGCAGCAGCCTCTTGACCAAGACGAGGAAATGAAAGAGGCTCATAGCACCTTCCGTTTCGCCGACTAACTAATAAGTATCCCCCCAGCATAATATCGAGACAATTGCCGCTCTCACCATCCTCTCCTCCAACCTATTCCTCGTTAGCAATCCGCTTAGTAGAAGTAATCCTCTTATCGTATAGTACCTACCTATTTGCCAGACTCTTCCTTAATGTCTTCTGCTAATCTGCTAATCTGCTCTTTGCTCTTTGCTCTTTGCTCTTTGCTCTTTGCTCTTTGCTCTCACTTAATTTCACTACTTAATTGCTAATCAAGCCCTCCTCATCACTATGGCTGCCCTTTTCTTGATCTCAGACGCGCAGTACAGTACAGTACAAGATTAAGTTGAGGACAGAAGGGGACATTAGGCCAGTTGCTCCCAGCCAGGCAGCGTTGGCGGCCAATCGCACGTAATTTGCCCGCCAAGAAGCTCCCTCTCCGGCACTGGCCTGTAGACCCAGATCTCGCCCGACGTAAAAGATTTTGGTCCCAAGTCAAGTGTGGTCTTTTTGGGGAGCATGCTCGCGGCCTGATCCACCGTCGTGATAGTCCCCAGCTCCCAGGGGGCCAATTCCGGCTGGTAGTCCTCAGCGTCCTCTTCGGCCTGCTCTTCTTGCCCAGTAGAAGAAGGTGCTGGGGGGAGACCTTGAACCAGCACGCGCTCGCTGCAACCAGAACACGGCACGGCAATCTCCTCTGCGCCCATTGCGACTTCAGCTTGTGTCAAGATGAAGTGCGAGCCGCAGCGGCATGGATAAGAGAAAGAGTATTCATCCCCATCTTGGTCCCCTTCGAGGGCATCGAAGGCTTCTAGGTCGAGCGTTGCCGAGATCCTCTGCTTGTTGGCCGAAGCAAGATAGGAAGCAGCGCGACCGTGCCGGAGTGACTCATCGTATTCGCGTCTCGACGTCGCGTTGCTCAAGGTTGCATTGGCCTGGTTAAGCAGCCGAATCCGAGCGTCGTGACCTGAGGCTTTGTCCGGATGGTAGGACCTCGCTCCATGGAGGTACGCTGCGCGAATATCGGCCTGCGTGGCGGTCCTCGACACGCCCAGAACTTTGTAGAGATCATCTTCATCGCCCGGTGCTAGCGATGGCTGGTTCGATGCCTTCTGGCGCGTGCCCAAGCGCTCTGGCACAGGAGCGTTAGACACAACGACGCCCGTGTGATCAGGTTGTGAGGGAGGGTTGCCCATGCGCATCGTGGCGCCTGGCTGACCAGAAATACCGAGCTTGGCGGCCCGATACTCGATGATGTCGCCCCGTCGAATGCCGCCCCAGTGATTGCGTATCCGATCGCCACCACGCCATCTTCCGATCTGACCGTGGACCTCGTCGGCTCGGCAGGCAAAGATAAGGTGCCCGTGCGTACGACCGATCGTTTGCACTGTGTTTGAGAGAGAGAGATTCAGCTATCGAGTTTCGGCAACGAATAAGTGTGATCCCAGCTCACTCAAGCGGTTCTGAGGCGTCAGTCTAGCTTCCCGATTGGTGTACTTGATGGCTTCGTCAGCCAACGTCCAGCATTCTCCATTGCCCACGTGTTGCTTCCTGGCCGCTGCGTCCTCGGCAAAGTTGGCTATCCAGTCTCCGTATGTTTCGGCAGCACCCTTGAGCCTCTCCTCGTCTTGCCAGGCAGGCGGAGGCGGTCGATAAGCCACCTCGCATCTGAACGTGTTGGCTGCATCAGAGGCATCCCAAGTAATGTGACACCAAAGCACGGAGAGGTCGTCAAAGAAGCAGCTGAAGTTAAAAGTGTGAGCGGTTCCCAAGCTCATCGTCTGACCCTGCCAGGACATGTCCGATCGATTCTGCAGCGGCGTCGGCAACTTGTTGGTCCCGCCCAAGAACCAGGGCGATGGACCATCCCACTCAGGGAAGGATTGCGGGTAACAGAAAAAGGTGGCCTGCTCGAGTGCTTTGCAGACTTCGTCGTGAGAGCGTCTGGACGAGCCGAGGAGAGGGTAGGTGCCTGCCCTCGGTGCTGCTGGGAGAGGTGGTGGTTGCGGTGCAGGAACGTGGGATGGAGACGCTGGCACCATGCTGACCGTGGGCTTCGGCTTAGGTTTTGGCGGGCCAATGTTCACTTTGGGACTGATGGCGGTGGGGGAAGTCAACCTGCCCCCCTGGCTGGCAGGTTCGCCGCCCGACGAGGAAATGTGGAGCTTCGATTCGAAGAACTGGGCGAGAGAGAGAGTGTGTGTGTGTGTGTTTGGGTTGTATGAGTGAGCGAGCGAGTGAGTGAATACCAGCAAGAACACGGAGCTCTCCGTCAAGGAGCTTACCTCATCAAGAAGCTCGAAGAAGGCTTCCTTGTCCGCTTGCGTAAACTTGGAAAACTCGATGTAGCCTGGACCCTCGCTCTGTGTCGCTGATCTTGGAGGGGGTGCTGGGGGGCGGGTGATTTGGCCATATGAAGGCGGAGGGTTGCTGGTGCCGTTCTCGTTATCCATGCGTCTTGGAAGTGTTGGCGGTGGTCCTCTCACTGCTGGTACTGTCGCTGGGGTAGCCATGCTATGACTGCTAGTGCCGCTCCGCTGTGGCGGTGGTGGGGGAGGTCCCTTGGATGGGCCTGCGAACCTGGACGCTGCAGCAGGCGCTTGTATCCGTCTCGGCACGATGTTGTGCGGATCCTCGCCTTCATCAGCACCATCGTCTTGCTGCTTCGACTTGGAGGTTTTCTCCCAACGGTCATCGATGCCCCTCGCGAGCTTTAAACGATCACCCACAGAGGCCTTTGGGCCTGCATTGGTCGATGTCTGGTATTTTTTCTTTTGTGCTGCGCCCCACTCGTCGAGCTTGCTCATCGAATCCTTCATGGGATGATACGGCATCTTTGGCAATCGTCTTTGCGCCTTTTCGTCCCTCTACCTTTGGGCGTCGAGGTCGATTGACAAGGTCCAGGGAGGGGTGGGCGTTGCTCGAGGCGGTGATGTCGAACCGCCCCGCTCAGAGCCCACGTGCTGCGACAAACCTGTGGAGGGAGCAATTAGGCGTCGCCCGCCAAAGCCACAGCTTTTGGCTCTAGGCTGTCAAGACGATTCAGCAGTACGCGCAGGCACGGCAGAGGCGCAATTTGAAAAGCGAGAGTGGCGAGAGTGGCAAGAGTGGCGAGAGCGAGAGGGTGAGAGGGTGGCAAAGCTGAGCGTTCCAATCACTCTTTTGCACCCTCGCTCTTCTGTGCACTGTCGCTCTCTCAGTCCTACGCTCAATGTCGTCCTAGCTCTTGAGTATGCAGGCTGTACCCACGACATCATTATGGAGCATGGAGCGGGGTCGTCAAATGCGGACAGAAGTGCGAGAGAAGTACAAGCACCTTCTTGACGATGTTGGTAGTGGACAGGAGCAGGAACTGCATACAAAGGCCAGAGATCATCCTCGCTGGAAGGAGCTGCTGGATCCACACCAGAGTCAACTGACGAGGCCGGATTCAGTATCCGTCTCATGGTCCGATGCAGCAAAAGAAGACGAGAATAGCAGACTCTTTGGACCTGCCTATGTGAGTAGAGAGGGCTCATGACGGCTATGCCTTTCGTAGGAACCCGATGAGCTGAATGCTAGCCTGTAAAAGATTGCAGCAGAATCCAGAGTTCGCAACGACTACTCGCAGCATTTTGTCGATACGAAAGCTGGCCAACTACCTGGAAATGCTGTCCGAAACCCTTGGAAAGCAAGCCGGTTCGACGAATACCCCAAGCTCAAGCGTCTGATCAATGCCAAGGCAGATCTCCTGTCCAGCATCTCACACCCTCCAGCATACGTGCAAGCTGACTTGCTTCCCTCGACCAAACCATCGCCCATTCAGCCTTCGGCGCCTCGAGGACCTGATGCACCCTTTCACCTGTCAAGTCTTCTTCCAATCAAGTACGATGCCGTCATCATCGACCCTCCCCTGGAGTCATACGAGTGGGAGGGCGTCGCCAGGAGTGGATCGTCTGCCAACGAAGTGTGGAGCTGGGACCAGATCGCAGCGCTGCCAATACCCCAGATTATGGCAAAGGAAAGCTTCATATTCCTCTGGGTCGGCAGCGGCGCTTCAGATGGCCTGGAAAGGGGCAGAGAGGTATTGTCTCGATGGGGCTACCGCCGAAGCGAAGATATCGTTTGGGTCCAAACGAATCACGAAGCCGTGAAAGGACAGACCAACCTCTCTCGGAGCCCCACTGCATCGGTATTTAGGTCATCCAAGCAGCATTGTCTGATGGGGATCCGTGGAACCGTGCGGCGCAGAGACGATACGCGCTTTGTCCACTGCAACATCGATACAGATGTCATCGTCTGGGAGGGAGACGCTGACGAAAGCTTTGACGCTCGGGCCAAGCCGCCAGAGCTGATGGATCTCGTCGAGAACTTTTGCCTTGGTACGAGAAGGCTCGAGCTCTTTGGCAGAAACCGTAACCTACGAAGGGGCTGGTTGACTGTGGGAAAAGACGTAGGCCCCGATCGCCCAGGGTGGGAAAGGGCGAGCAAGGGAGAGAATGCTTGCTCGGCCACGAGCACAATGACGACGAGATGGAGTGGCACGCCTCGAACTGTGGGGTCTTCGCCAAGAGGAGTGGGTCTCTCGTCGCCAAAGGGAGAAAGTTCCACCTCGCAAAGGTCAACTGCCTCACCAAGGTCCGGCGATGCATCGCCACGGGCAGGCGGCACACGGTCAAGGCTCAGCAATGCTTCGTCGAGGGCGAGAGAAGAGCTGCCAGCTGTTAGCCGCGCTTCGGACGAAGCCCCACATGCCTACGAGAAGCAGTGGTACGATTCCTTTTTTGGTGTCGACAGGGTCGGAGCCACACTGATTGAGCGGCGCAACCTCGTCCCGTTTTCCGAGGAGATTGATCGACTTCGACCTAAGAGCCCTCACTACAAGCGGGGAGAGCCGACATCCACCCCTCCCACCTCGTCTGGGCCTCTGCCTCCTAGCGGTGGGGGACAGGGCGCGCCCTCTGCCTCGTTATATTCGAATACAGGCACGGGGGCCGCTCACGGTTTGGGACTTGTCGGGGGTGGGGGAGCGCTCGGCCTCGAATCGCCTAGCACGCCGTCGCAAATACTTCGCAGTCCTCTGGTATCCTCTCGTTCGCACCAGCAGCATCAAGTCCTCCGACCGGGCGGAGCAGGCTTTTCGGGCCTTGGAGCGGGCGGCCCAACTATTGTGAGCGTTCCAAGTGGAAGCGAGAACCTGAGCGGACCACAAGCGAGCGTCCTGCTGGCTCAAGCTCAGGCCCAAGCTCAGGAGGCGGCTGCAGCTTCCAATTCCGCCGGAGGCCAAGGCTCCAGTGCCACGGCGAGGCGCGGTGGAGGAGCTGCGACAACTTCGACGTCTGGCTTTGTGAGGCCACCGCACCGAAAGCATTAAGATGGGTTTTAGATGCTATTCTCTCTCGCTTTATCCTCGTCTCAGAGGCGCATCGTTGCACTTCTCCTGTATTTGTAATAGCAGCCGCTCTGCACTTCTGACACATAGAACACACAACCCTCCTCCCGCCCCTCTTCTTCTGCGTCGCACTGTATTTACTACTCTTAGCAGCACGCACGTCGCTGCATACGTTTCTCTGGCACCGATCCTCATACGCCCTTGCTCCGACACCACAAATATCAAAGGAATGCTATCCATCATTGCGTTGCGATACTATGCATTTAGACAAAATAAAGTAAGTCGAAGCTCCTGTAACGATATACTAGTGTCCCTAAGAGTATTATTTCGCGGAGCGTCTATGATAGCTTCTGCTGGTCTTCGGAGCTTGACCGCCTGGAAGGGGGAGGAGACGGGATCGACGTCCGAGGATCTTGGCCAGAGAGGAGTTGCTGACTAGGATGATGGTGCTGGTGGTGCGGATGTTGTTGTGGTTGCTGCTGCTGCTCTTGCTGATAGTGTGGCTGCTGTGGAGAGAATGCTGGCTTGCTGTCGGGCCCAACGGAGAAGCGTCGACCGACGCCCGCAAAGCTACGTATGCCTTGTGCACCCGACGTGGTGGCTCCCGCACTCAAGGGCGATCTGCCTGGGTAGTGAATCGTGCTGTATGGTTCTGCCACGGTATGCTGGTGATGGTGGTGAAAGCGAGGAGATACTGCCGCTTCTGCGACATTGAGGTCTCGTAGGCCTTCTTCATTGGATGTCGGAAGGCGCAGATCGCTGAGCCGCTCCTCTCTTCGCAATTTCTCCTCGCCTTTGTGAATGCTCTTGGTTGCCTTGCTGTCGTTGTACAAGTAAAGCCCAACAAAGGTAAGGACGATTCCGACCCACTGGAGCAAACTGACCGACTGTCCGAACCAGACGATGGCAAAGCAGATGACAAAGACTCGCTTGAAGAGAGAGGCAATGCTGTATGTGACGGGCGAGACGAGGGCCAGGACGCTGAACGCGAGAAAGTTTTGCGCAAAGTGCACAACACCGTTGGCGACGAGGAGGTAAGTGATGTACGCGCTCGACGATGAGGGCAGAATGGACTCCTGTTGCTGATCTAGCATCGACGAGGCAGCACCAGAAGTACCCAGAAGAAGGCTTGCACCGTCGTAGTAGAGGGCCATGGGCAGCATGATCTGGAAAGAGAATTGAAGATTAGCGCGGCTAGATTGTCTGGTGACGATGAGCACTCACGACAACAGAGCATGCGCTCGAGTAGTAGAGAATGTTGATCTTGTCCAGCTTCCCGTCTGGACCAAAGCCGTGGCCATGCCCGTCGCCGTGTGAGCCTGCCAGCTTGCCGCCGGCCTTGTGCTGACCTTCTCCTCGTCCAATAAGCTTTTTACTGTAGATGCTCTGGGCGACAAAGACGAGCGTGCTGCCTAGAGCGGTGGCGAGTCCCATCAGATCGTTTGCGGAAAACGACAGGGTAGTGCATGCCATCATGACTCCAAGAGTCAGGGGGAAGAGCGAGACGTAAGTGAGCATCGAGTAGGTGACACCAAACATCAGGCGGAAAGACAGCACTGTAAAGAGAGGTGTGAGGGCCTGTGGCGGGTTGTCAGCGAATGAGAATGACTCGAATAGAAAGAACAGCTTACCTTGATTGTGTGTACAGTGCTGACAGGAACCCGGCTCAGAGCTATGCTAGAAAGGGCATGGCCGACGACGTTGAAGACACTGAGCTTCGCCATGTCGAGGATGCGATCACGGCCAGGATTCTTGACGATCCTCGTGATAGGCTTCCTCACGCCGGGGACCCATCGCATTATATTAGGCGACGAGATTGCACTGCTGAAGATGTGTACGAAGAAAAATTGAGCCAGGGTCAACGTGACGGGGTATGGGAACAATGGCGGCGGGCGAGGTTGGACATGTTTGTTGGATGAGAGGAGAGCTTTCGAGGTGTTTGACGACAGGGCGCTGGAGAAGTACCAAAGTAGGCAGCTCAGAATGAAAGCACCCGTTCTGGGCGATGGGACGCTTATTCGAAGGGCGGGTAGCGATGCCTTCAAAGAAGACCACGTTTCGCTTGGGCCATGTCCATGTTGTTTGTCCACATTGAAGCGAACTGACCGTTTCGCATCCGTCACGAGCGATGAAAGCGACGGCCTGCTGCCTCGCCCCTTGGCCGGGAACGTCGATTGGGGCAGCACAGAAGCCATGGCGGTTCCTGTCTACAAGGGCTTGCCGAAGAGAAGAGGTTGACGATCCGCCGTCGGTGAGTGAATTGATCTCTAACCTTGGTCGTAGCAAATCCGTTGACACCGCCGATTGAATCTCGAGAATGTTTGTACGGTACAGACCAATGAACAACGCACGTGGCCATCGACGCTAAAGTTTTCGGCTCGTCTAACAGACCTCATTTTGAGACGCGCTGACCATGGCGACCGGTAATAGCAGCAACAGCAGCTCTGTGCTGCTCAAGACGTCGATGGGATCTGTCGTCCTTGAGCTCTATTGGGATCATGCTCCCAAGACGTGTAAGAATTTTAGCCAGCTGGCGCAACGTGGTTACTACAACGGTGTCATCTTCCACCGAATGTAAGCTGGTGATCGATCTCTCCTTTTCGCACAAGCGACCTTAGGAAGTCGACTGACTCTCTGTCTCCTTGTGTTTTCTCCAAAAAAAAAGCATCTCCGACTTCATGATCCAAGGAGGCGACCCTACTGGCACCGGACGAGGAGGGACAAGCATCTACGGCGACAAAGTGAGTCTGCGCCTTGCCCTGTCAATCGAGTAGGCTGATCGGTTCATGTACGGCTTCAGTTCGAAGACGAGGTAAGCCCTGAGCTCCGCTTTACTGGGGCGGGTATCCTCGCCATGGCAAATAGCGGACCGAACACCAATGGAAGCCAATTTGTGCGCAAGAACGTAGTTGCCGGAATTCTTTCGGCTGCACACTGACCTTTATGCGGCCTCATAAACACAGTTTATTACCTTGGCTCCCACGCCATTCCTCGATCGGAAACACACGATCTTTGGTCGCGTACAGGAAGGTATGAAGGTTGTCCAGCGCATGGGACTGGTGGGCACCGACTCGAATGATCGGTGAGTAAAGCAGGTAAAGCAGGTGCTCCAACCCTGCAGGTGATAGTCGGGGAGGAAGAGAAGTCGAAGCTGATCCTGCCGGCGCCTTGGTTCTGCAAACCGGCACGGATGAATTAGACCGCGAGACGAGGTCAAGATCCTGGAAGCACATGTCATAGATGCGTGACCGTATTCCCAGGCTACGGAACACTACATAAATCCGGAGAAACAGAACACTCCGAACCCCACCCGCATCGATGTGGCCCGACATGTCAATGGCCAATCTATCAAGCGTAATTTCTCCTCGCAATCGCATATTCACGACGTTTCATCTGTATTTGTTTTTCCCCTAAATTGCCCAAGGCGCGACAGAGAAAGACGTCTCAACACTCACCAGCCAATCAAGAGCCCATAAAAAGCGATCGGAAGTTCGCCACGCGTTCTTACTCCCCGTGTTGGCGAAGAAAAGAGGAAGAAAAAAAAAAGGGGCAAACTGACAGGGGAGATGGTGCGAGGTAGGGTGGGGAGAGTCAATTGAGGTGGGGCCGGTTGAGATTTAGAAGCGAGATAGTGCAGTCTTCAGTTTCTGATCACTTTGGGTTTCGGTTTCAGTATTATTGGGGTCAAGGGGATATGTACTGGGATTCGTTTGTATCTAAGTAGTACAGCTAGAGTATAGCCGAAAAACTGGCGCATGAAAAGCGTGGTTCCTGAGTCGATCGCTTGCTAACAATGCCATCCACATGATCTCCCACTCGGAGTAACCTCGAAGGTCGATCACAAGCTTGTGCCAGGGCAAAGCATGTCGGTGAATCGAGCCAGCGTCTGCGCGTCCCGGAGCGCGCGGCCTTCGGCTACATTCAGAAGTACCGTTAATTGGGGAAGAAAGAGAGGTCGGAAGTTGCGGCCAGAGAAAGGCTGGCGAACTAAGGCCGTCGAAACAGACGTCCCACGCTAGCGAAAGATAGGGTCTGTCGGAATGCAATACGCCGCTGCGAAGCAGCAGTCCAGGCATAGCGAACCGCAGCCTTCGTGGCTTCTTCCTTTATGTACAGTTGAAGATAGATGTAAATTGAGGTAGTCAATCAGATGGCAAAAATAACAGATGATGCAGGTTCACCCTCATTTTCCCCCGCTAAGGCGACCTCGACGGTCCCGGCCGATAATAAAGCCCTCGGTCGTGGTCGGGACCCCTCACTCGCTTCGTCGATGTAGTCAGTTTACTTTGCTTGATTAACGCTGCTTGCCGCTAAACCGGGAGACAGTGAGGGTTTCAGTGCCTGCCGTCATGCACCAAGTGACCTTGTTGCTGATTGTGTACAGTGTTGGTCGCAGTCCTTGATAGACGGCAACTTGCATGAGATATTGCGCTGGGTCATCAGCCGACCGCATCTTCAGGAGATCCGGTGGGGGTGGGATGCTGGAGCAGAGAATCTCGAATCTTCCGAGGTGGGTTATACTGCATTTTGCTTACGAGCGACTTTCATTGGCGTGAGTGTTTTTTGCTGCACACAATGGGATGAATCTTCACAACCTCGGCCTCTGTGAGTTTGTCCCCGAGGGAGGCCAGTCTCGCTGCGTCAAGCTGGCTTGCAAGTGACGTGCAAATGTAAACACATTCTTCCAGATAGTTGTCTCAGAAGTTGCAGAGAAGAAATCTCCTTCGTCGGGTCAGGTAAGCAAGGCCTGTTGCAGCTACTTGCACCGGGGTGTACCTTGCCTTCGCCGGATCTTGAGCTTTCCGCGACGGGAGTGGGTACTTCCACACAAACAATAGACGGGCCTAGCAGTGTCCCGTTCTAAGTTGTGAGCAGACATTGGAGAAGTATTGAGGAAGGCCCCCTCGGCTTCTCTGCAGTAGCTAGCGTAGAGATCGCCCGTTTGCGTTTCATCTCCCCACGCTCAAGCCCTTCCCGTCGCCCAGTCTTTCGTCTTCGCTACTCTCTCCACCAGCACCATCAACACTCACTTGGGACAAGGACACAAAGCATTTCGGAGAAAGAAGTAAAAAGAAAAGAAGAAGTGAGAAGAGAAAAAGGAAGCCGGAACGGGCCGCCGTGTACTGATCATTCTTTCTGCCGCGGAACAGGCTTTAGAAAGAGCGGTACAGCGTTTCTCTTGTGTACTCCCAGCTTCGCACGAGCGGTCGAACATTGGTGATCCCATCACTCGCCTGATAGTCTCCTGTGGAAAGGACTCTCCGCTCAACCTGTCTCGCTTCTGTACACCGTCGCATACTTGCGAGGTGATCGCCAACGTGTCGCCTTATCGCTCTCTCTGCCGATCCTTAGTCCACTTCGACCACTATGGAGGACAGAGCTTCAAAACCTCGGCTACCACCTCCATCACTGCTGCTTTCACAACACCATACCCCTTGGGTAAGAGACAGTACTCAGGGTCAGTAGCAATTGCGCAGGAGGAGAGAGATCGTATCATGGGAATTTAGGCTAAGTTTATCATCGTGACAGGTAATCTGAATGGCGAGAGTCGTCAGCCTCAGAGCCCGGGCATGCATGCATACATGCATGGTCCCCCAGCTGGCCGGCAAGAGCCGCCAGAACATATGTATGCTTCGTCGCCATCCTCTCACGATGAGACGTCGCCGACGGTCCCGCGCCGTGTCTTGCACCAAGCTAACAGTGTGTCTAGTGGTAGCAGGAAACCCCTGCAGATGTCGATGCCAACAAATGTTGAAGCTATAGCTTCAAGGCATTGGCGGCAGGGTCATAACCAGAGAAGCCCGTTCTGGTCCCAGCGCGGCGACGAGGGCGAAGATCGGACATATGCTGCCCGGCCCCACCTAGAGCAACGGCAGCAACATCGACGACCTTCTTCTCCACCATCTCCCATGCACTATGAACCTCACCCTGTCTCATCATCCCAGTCTCGGTCTGGCTACTCTCCACAAGACCCGAGCATTCGCAAGCGACGTCTCACCGACGAGGTACGCCCTACATTCGAGTCAAGAAGGGCAGCCGAGGAGGAGCAAGTGCAGCGCAATCAATACCTCGGCTTCCAACACCCTAGCTCTAGCATGGGACCTCCAATGCCTAGATCTACCTCGTCTTCGTACGCTGCTTCATCGACAGGCAGCATCGTCTCGCCCACATACCCCCCTCATCATCCTCCCTTTCCTTCTCATCACCATGCTGCTCTCCCTCATCATTATTCCTCGCACGCTCCTGGTCACCACCCTGCCATCAGCTCTGCAAGTCGATCGCCGCCTCTCCTGGCCGGGTTCGACCGTCCTTTGCACCAGCACGCCGTCTACGATCAACATTCGGTGCCGTCGGCTCTTCACGAAGCCGATTTCCGCGATACCGAAGCGGGCATCATTGGGCCAGGTCGTGGACTAGTGTTTGTAAGTGGAACAGGGGCCTCAGCTCCCACTATGATGGCGGATCAAGGGTCGACAGACAAGCACAAGAAGCGACTGAGGATCTCTCGCGCATGCCAACATTGCAAGATGAGAAAGACTCGATGTGACGCAGTCGGCGCTTTGCCCGGCGATCTTGATGGGGGCCACAAGCGCACGTCCGAGAGTGGCTCGCCTGTATCGGGATCTGCTTCGACAACGGCTGGAGAAGCTGGACAGGCGACAGGATTGCACTCGCCTTCTCTCTCATCTTCCAATGCCCCGGCAGCAGATGGAACGAAGGCACAGGAAGAACCAAAAACAGACACGATGATAGTCGTTCAGCCGTGCACCAATTGCGTCCGCTCCGGCATCATCTGCTGCTATTCCAAGCGGCAGCTGAAGAGGGGCCCAAGCAAAGGCTATATTAAAGATCTTGAAAGGCGGTTGGACTCGTTGGAGAACCACCTCTCGGCAACTGCTACAACGGCCGCCCCTGCGACCAGCCATACTGGAGGTCCCGATAGCAGCGAGTCGAATCAACAAGGGCAGAAACAAGCTCAACAGCACGAGAAACCGGAGGAGAGACTCATCAGGCTGGAGAATGCCCTGTCAGCGACGTCAAAGAAGCTGCAAGCGTCAGCATCGCCAGAGGTCGATCACGGCACTTCATCGAGGAATGACGGAGACGAGGAGCGAGAGCTTACGGAAGCGTACGAGATCGACGAAGAAGAGGAGGACGACTTCAGCAATGAGACGTCACTGGAGGCGATGCCTTCAGGTCGGGTCGTGACAAAAGACGTCAGAGACGACTTCGCTAGAACCGACGTCGGCGCCTGCGTGCCTATCGTAATATCGGGTTCCGGCGAGACTGCAGACCGTGCGCTGCTCCACGACGCCGTTGTGCTCGTTCTGAGCGGGTCGTCCCCGTCACCCGAACATGCTCGATCGCAAGCTGCGAAGCTCGAGAGAATTATTGGTCAGGCGATCACTGGTTCAGCTCGAGCCACTCCTTCTGAACCAATGCAGAGCGCGGTCGCCCTACGAATGGGTTGCGAGATGAACAATACTCAGCGTGCAAATGAGGCCGACGCCCTCATGCTCTGCTACCTTGCGGGGCTCTGCCAAGGCCGTGCAGATGGTGCAATCCTTGCGGCTGCCGCTTCGAAGCTCGTTGTTCGGGACAATAGTGATCTCCGCCGTCGAACCATTGCAGCTATCTTAGATTGTTGGCATACCACCGCCTTCAATGCTCCGCAGCAAGTCTCGATGCCCAGTGCCAACCATTCGATCGAGAGCCTTGTCGCCACAATAGGTCTCAACGAGACGTCGTCGATGCCAGGCGCTGCAGCCGAATTGCTTAGATGCGCATTCGTGATCAGCCAGCTTCGCGATATGCTACAATCAAAGCAAAGGTCATGGGAAGACATTTCCTCTGGCGATGTCGAAGTCATGTTCTCAAATTTGGGGCCAGCCCACGTCGAAGATCAGCCGAACAACGTCAGCAAGAGCACGGTTCTGAGGCCTCTGCTGAGAGATGCTATCCGCCTTTATCATCGGCTACATCGCCAGCACTCGCTTTTTGCCGCTGGCGGTGCAGATGGCGACGGAAACGCATCCTTGGCTGCCTCTGTCGCTGGTCTTCTATATCTCGTTGAGGGCGTTTGCAGCATCGGTTCAGAGGATCCAAGTATGGCCGACTCGATGCAGACGCTGCTGCGCTGCTTCGCTGGACCCCACGTCCTTGCAATCGCTTCCGTCGCCTTGGCCTTCATCTCCAACTACCTGGCTTACTCCGTCGCCCAGGCAGTTTACCCGTCGGTGAGCGAAAGCGTGAGATCGCGCAACCTCTCGACATTAAAACACCCTCAGCGACGGACCCACGACCTGCTTCAACATCTTGCCTCCATCACCCTCTCTGCGGGCAGAGAAGATACTGGCCCCTTTAATTTTCTCTACTTGCGACTGACTGCCTTCATTCGCTCGACTATCGACAACATCGTAGAGTTGGGCGATTTGACGAGCGTACGTACAGCCGAGGATCTCCCGAAGAGCAGCCCAGCAAGAAGAGGCTCATTCGAACAGATGGAGTCCGAGGCTCTTGACTTTGCCAGGTCCATCGAGGAGTTGGGGCCGTTAGGACTGGTGCTGTGCGCCACTTCAGAACAAGAGGCTTGGGGGCTGTTGCGAAACCGCAGCCCTCGCTGAAGCAAGCAGACTTCCTCCTTTTTCAACTCTTTTCTCCTCTCCCCAAACTTAATCGCCCACTTTACATGTCTTTCTCCTCTTTCTCTCGGTCTCCTCTACATGTACACTCCAACGTCGGATTCGGTCTCTTTCATTCACTTTGTAACTATCATTCATTTGAAGCCCATGTTGGTGTCCCCCTCCCATGGTGACACGCTCGGGCCTCATTGCATGCCTGTTCGTCCCAGCCACGTGTACAAATTCCTTATCTCGCTCGGGCTTCGCGCCAAACGCTTATATTGTTATTTGTGGCACATCCTCGTCGAAGCCAGTGATAAGGGGACAATAGGCGCCGGTGACAGCTCCTGCGCCCGAGGCGAGGTGAGCTTGCGCAGAAAAAAGCCGGGACGCTACAAGAGTACAGCTACTGTCGTTCACTCGATTTGGTCTAGACCAACAAATAATAGAGGTGAGTATGGTAAAAATGGCAACAAAGGCAAGAAGATGGGGTGCAGTAGGAAGATTCAAAACAAATGTCCGGGTCGCAACGATATTGGCTCGGAACGGAAACTAGATGTGGTACAGCAACAGCAGGCTTAGTAGCAGCTAGTAGTTCTGTGCATTGCTTCGGCTTCGGTCTTTGGTTCCTGCTCTTAGTCTGAGGAGCATGGAAGAGGAAGAAACGGCAACTCAGCCGAGAGGTCCGAACTTTTTTTTTTCTGCTGGCTTCAGTGTCCTCTCACGCAGGTTGCTGTCCTACAAGTCCTCTCTAGACTCGATTCTAGACTACTCTCCAAACAAGGTCCCTATCCGGCAGCACTACAGTCTTCTCACAAAGACGCCTGTTTGCCGCTGCCTCGCCTCGCCTCGCCTCGTTGCCGTACGAGCTTATCTCTCAGAGCATCGGGCTCGGGGCGAAGGAAAGGCTCGGTCGGATCGTCCCCTTTGTTCCTCGACGGTCTGAAGGTTCTAGGTGCTCGGCCTTGACGTCCGTCCAATGAGGTCTTTTCTTTCAAGGAGGCAAGCTGTGCTCATCGTCGCTTTCTCCTTCTCCTGCACCCTTTTCCACTTTGCTCGGCCGGCCCGTAACGCTGCTTAACCGTATTCAATGATGTCTGACGCCCCCACGGATCGTCATGACCGCACGATCAAACCGCTCGGTACTGCACGCCGACCTGCTCGATCACGAACACCGACGCCTTCCAATCCTCACCCGGGACATGCACGTCCGCCCCTGCCCACTTTTGGGCACACTTCGACACCCTCGTCCTCTTCGTCTTCACTCTCGTTTGCCAATCCCACCTCGAACATGGGTCCATTTGCAATCCGGTCGTCGGCCGTCCCCTCGCCATCTTCATCTTCGAACTCCTCGTCCTTGCGACGGAACACGGAACGGCGGCCATGGTTCCCATATCCTCCTCTGACCCAGTCTCAGTCCCAACCTCAAGTCTTGTCATCGCCGTCGCCGTTGGTGCCCGCCGGTGACTTGCCCCAGGCCCGAAGAACATCTACTGTCTCAAATTCTTCGTCGTCTTCGTCCAACTCCTCGCTGTCCTCCTCCTTCGACTCGAACGCTTCGTCTTCTTGGGGAGACGGCCCGCCGCGCTGGCCTCAACACGTGCAGCAGCTTCAGCGAGAGCAGCGGGATCGGCGAGCATTTAGTGCCGAGCCCGAAGACTGGAGCACGTCGGTGTCGAGAGGCAGACTCCCAAGACCCAAGATGACTTCGATTCTGGACGATGTAGGCCGTGCAAAGGCTGCTCGGGCCGCTGCGACTTCAACAATAACTTCAACGGCAGGACCTTCGAATTCAAGGGGAAGAGAGCCTCAGACGATGGGCGAAATCGGATCGAGCAGCGATGAACAACAGCTGCATCGGCCGCAAGGCGCAACAGGTGGAGCTGCGAGCGACGAAGAAAAGGAACGAGCGCACTTCCAGAGTGTGCTGAGGGCCTTTGATGCTTATCTTTCGCATTCGGTGGGTATCACTTCTTCTCACCCCCGCTGTGGTGCTCTGTGAAGATCAGAAGATCAACTAACCGTCCGTTTCTCAGCTTGCCATCAACAACACGCGGCGAAGATCATTTTATGCGCTTCCGCGGTCACACCGGCTGCTACTCTCATCCTTGGGGCCCCCCTTGCCTGGGCCGGTCCTACCAGAGAGAAATGCTGGGGCCGACGAGGAAGCGGCCATAGACGGAGAGGTCGGAGCCACTCGGCTGAACGAAAAGGGTGAGGCTGCCAAAAGAGGAAGGACGAGCACCCGAGGTTCGTCCCTCTCGTCCTCGCCGTCTGTTGCGGATACGTCGAAGGAGACCCTCCCCAACGGTCCGCTGAGTCTAGGTGGAAGAGGATTCAAGGCGAGATTGGACGAGGTTGACGATCGGATCCGGCGAAATGCAGACGTTCTCGCGCAGATCGTCGATGACTCCAGAGGCTTCCTGACCGGCGGTGAGGTGGAAGTGGAAGAAGGAGAAGGAAGCAGTGCCCTTGGGGAGGGCTCGGGCGGCACGTTAAGCGAGAAATCAAACCAAGACCAGATAACGGGCCAGAGCGACGGAGAGGCGGAGTCTGCCGATCCACCAACAAGGTCAGACGATTCAGTTTCTCATACGAACGCAAGGATGAAGTCGAGCTCGAGGACGCGCAGGGCTAGGCTGGCAGGCTCCGGCTCCGGCTCCGGCTCCGGCTCCGGCTCGGGATCAGGATCAGGATCAGGTTCGGGATCAGGGTCAGGTTCGGGAGGATCGGGCTCTGGCTCTACGATAAAAGCGCGGAAGAGGACGCGATCGACGCCGAGGGTACCGGATCACGACCTCGACAAAGTGCGGAGCACCATCAAGCAGTTTGTGCGCGATTGGAGCGAGGAAGGTGCCGGAGAGCGAGAGGCTGCGTATGGGGCCATCCTGGATGCACTCGACACACGCTTTGCGAAGGTGCCCTCGGCCCAACGCAACCAAATTCGCGTGCTAGTGCCCGGCGCTGGTCTGGGCAGGCTCGCCTTTGAGATTGCCTGGATGGGTTTCAGCTGCCAGGGCAATGAATTCAGGTGTGTAGGAAGAAAGAAACCTTTTCCGCGATACATCGTTTCAATCGACTGACAGGAAGACGACAGCTTCTACATGCTTCTCGCTTCACATTTCATCCTCAACAAGACGACACGACCTCGCGAACACATGATCTACCCTTTCATCCACTCGTCGTCCAACTGGCGGGGCGCAGTGGACATGCTGAGACCCGTCGCGATCCCCGATATCAATCCCTCAGATCTGCCTTCGCACGTTGATTTTTCAATGGTTGCCGGTGAATTCATCGAAGTGTACAGCAAGCCAGAGGAACGCGAGGTCTGGGACGCCGTGGCCACATGCTTTTTCATCGACACGGCCAGGAATCTCGCGCGGTACCTGGAGGTCATCAACCATGTCCTACCCATTGGCGGTACATGGATCAATGTAGGCCCTCTGCTCTGGCACTACGAGGGCGCAACAAGCGGCGGCGAGCTCAGCATCGAACTGACGCTCGACGAAGTATACGATCTTATCGCCCTGATGGGCTTCGAAGTGGAGCGGCGTCAAACGCTCGGCCCGCAACCTTACACGGCAAACCACGGCTCGATGCTCTCGTACCTCTATGCGCCCGAGTTCTTCGTCGTGAAAAAGGTGAAGGCGATTGCACCAGCACCCAACGTTTAATATAGAGCACCATCACCATTGTACTGTATTATTCCATCTTTCACGTTTTTCAAAGCGATGATGAATTGGTCCTCCCTTTCAGCGACTTGATTCAATGGACTCTGACGCTGCTGTGATGCGCTCTAGGAGCTTTTCGCGCTCGAAGCGATGTCGGCCAATCTCCTTGCCGTCCATGTGCAAGACAGGAATGTCGTACTGGTACATTCGACGCCACTTGCCGACGTCGGCCGCCGAATCGTCGCGGATATTGTACGTGTCCAGTTCAAAGGGCACCTGCACAGGGAGAAGTCGTGAGCGCGTAAACAACAGAAAAAAAAGGGGG